ATCCAAAATTTCCATGACCACAAATTGGCATCATGCAGTGTTTCCAAATACCCTTGCGGACGCGCCTGATAAGGTATAATTTTTAATGTCAAATATTTGATTCAATGCAGGGCCTTTGTCATATGTTTTGTCAGAGAGCCAGCAAATATGTTCGTTAAAGTTTTTAGATTTCCCGCGCGCATCTTGCGTTGTTTGTGAATGTTTTGGACAATCAATAAAATTATTTGTCTAATGAAAACAAAATTTTCTTAATTCAAATAAAACCTTGAGTTCCTTCAAATAAATAGTAATTTGAACCAACTAAAAATTGACTAAATATGAAGCACAGAAGGTTGGCAGTTTAGTAAAAGATGACTTGATTTAAGTCATATGATGACTTGACTGGAAGGCGCAACTGCAAAAATTCAACTCTATCCATGACTTGATTCAAGTAAATAAATTAGTTGATCCAATGACTTAGGACAACAAAATATCATGACTTAAATTTCAAGACATGAGCATTTGTTGGCGCAAGTCATGAGCTGATTTGGCTCAAAATCAATCAAAAAAGTGACTGAATTCAAGTAAATATGATTTCATACAAGTAAATATTTCTCTCAGTGTACCTGGACTGGACTCCAAGTAATTTTTGTGAAGGTTTATCCTCTGGAGCAAATATAGCTCCAGATGTTTCTCAAGCATGGAAATATTTTTCACATGGCAGCATTTTACGATATAGTGCGATTATTATTTTGTATAATATTTGGGAGAAATTCCCTTTTTGAATGTAAGCATCAGATGCTGAGGGGGCGATAATCTCCCTGCAACGGCAGCAACAGGTAAAATAAAAAAGAGCGAGATGTCTCCGGCTCTCGCGCCGGATAATAATAAGGCCATATATAGGAGCAGCATCGAGATTCGCATCTCTGGGGGACACATCAACAAAACCATTCAAGGCCCTCAAACTGCCTGGATATCGCGAGGCACGATCGAGTGCGCTGCACGCTCGCCATCATATATACCTTGCTTGTTTCTTGATTAATAAAATTCCCTTTATTCCAAAATAAGAAAAAATAAAATTGTTAAAGTTGTAAAATTTTTATTAATTTTTTTCGGGATGTATTAAAAAGGATTTTGAATCAAATTAAATATGTTTTCACTATTTCGAGCACACGCGTGATGGAAATCTGGCAAAGCATAGAAGAGACACAGATGCAGAGCACCGCGCGCGACAGCCACAAAAGCTCTAAAAATATTTCCCATTCCCACCTCGGCGCAGATAAAGATCCAATGGGTGGTGAATAAAAACAGCTTGGAAATATTTGGACCAAAAGTTGTAAAGGGTATCCACTTGAAGAGCGCTTATTATCTATAAACCCTTCCGCCGCCTTTGAGGCGCAGATGTGAGAAAAATCTTTTACTATATGAACTTCCGAGAAATTCCTCAATAATATTATTCAATTACGGGGCCGTTATTTTAAGATTGAATCAGATTGAATATTAAAATTAATATCTTTTTTAAATGCATCATGTACGCTCTTTTAAATTCTATAAATAGCGCATTATTGTTGGCGATGAGTTAAAAATGAGAGTCGTGATTTCTTTCAGAATTTTATTTTTGAATAAATTTTTTGGCAAGCTTAATTTGCTCATTTTAAATTTATTTAACCTGTAATTCAAAATATTAAACTTATTCAATATGCTTATTTTTCCAGAGCAGCAGCAGCAGCTTTTTAATCTGACGAGCTTAGGCGTCAAAGGGCTGCTGAGCAGCTTTGCTTGGTTATATAAATTTTTTATCTGGTTACTTGAAAAAAAAAGAAGCTTGAGTTGAATATTCGCGCATGACTTCTCCCTTGAGGAGGGCCTCGGCTTCTAATTCAGACACCGCACAAAAGCAGCGATTTGATGGCCCTCCGCTCCAGCAGCACAAAGTAAAACTAGGCCGCGCGTCTCTCTTTATTTTATTCCAAAGGAAAATCTGTCTTTAATACACTCTCTCCAGCGTGAATAAAACTGCTCCCGTCTAATCTATATTTTACACAAAAGGGGACACGCACAAAAAATCTCCAACAAAAGGCTCCCTTAAACTAACATTATTTCAGATAAATCTTGTATGTTTTTTTTTTACTCAAGAGCAGAGCTTGTACACGAGGTTATTCCGGCAAATTTAGTCTCTTTTCCATTCGAATCAGACGATGAATGCTGTGCAGATAGAAAAAATGACCCTCGCAATTACTGTCAACTAGATTGTGTGCTCCTTTTGAATTTTCGGATGCTGAATAAAGTTTATGCAGCAGCACAGGAGGCTTTGATCTTTTCCTGCCCTGGCCTGCAACCATTGTCGAGAGGAAAACCTGCGCGCGCGTTTGCTCTCTGTTCTCTCTTTTTACTTTGCTCTCTGGAGAGAAGGAAAAATAAAATAAAACATAATGAAATGCTGCGTGGGACGAGAGACGAGTGTTGTTTGTGTTTTCCCTTGAGCTCTCCTTTTGCAGCCAAAGTGCGAATAATAAATTCACTTATTGGCGCCTCTTGGGATCTTTCTAAAACTTTCCGAGTTTTTTACAATACATTTCCCTCTTCCTATTTCCTCGAAGAAATTATTTATCATCTGAGAGTTGGTGTTGGTGAATTTTTTAAATGCAGCCAATAATTGTTTTGTTTAATTGCCCTCGGAATTTAATTAGATAAATAAACTTGTGATACAAAATAAAAATATTTCATTTTTTGGTTTTTTACAATTTCAAAAACGGTCACATCTAATATCCTCATTTTTTTTTAAAGAAAACACAAATCTTTGAATGGAGCAGCGACTGACCGCGTTTTGTTTGTGCTGCGATCACCCCCGCATCTCGGCGTAAAATTGCCGCGTGTGTTTTCACTTTCAACAAAAATGCGGGCTGTCCGCAAAACACAAAGGGTGCAGGTCGTTTCCTCTGCTCTCTGGCTAGACAGCATTTTTCCAGAATACACAAGAGAGACAATCGCCGCCGCGCCAATGCGGTTTGAACAAACAAAAATCGGCCAGCGGTGACCTTCACTAATAGCATGGCAGATTACACCAGAAAAAGAGGCCAACAGATCTTTTTTGAACCCGGCACTGATCTACCACATAAAAGCTTTAGGAAAAAGGCTGCATTCTGGTAGAATTCAGTAAATAATAGTAAATCTACTAAAAAAAGGAGACTTCATAATATTTGCGATGAAATATTTTTTCTTAATAAATGTTTATTAAACTGTTTATACTGCGCGGATCAAGTAATTTAACATTAAGATAAAAGGATTATTTAAATTAAAAATGTAATTAAATAATAAAAATGGAAAGCGATTTTTAAATTTTGCTTAATTTGAACACTTTTGGAGCAGGAAGTGAGTATCTTAATCCATGTGTAAGAAATGAGGTTTTAATAAGACAGCCGCACACATATCTGCTGTCAAATTATGTTCGTTGCTCTGCCGCTCAGTTAGGAAATATATATATTCGTTCTGAGAGTTTGTCCGCCGCGTGTGCTCCGCAGCACAGCAAAAGAGAGCGGCCCTTCTTTTCTCTTCCTGACGAAGAGAGCGGTTTCTTGATATTTACCAGCGCAAAACCGCAGCAGCTCTCCACATATATTAGTTAGGCGGAGAGCAGCAGACTAGCTTTTATATAAATGGCAGATGCAGCCCTGTCAATCACCCAGACCTCAAAACAAAAAGGCCCTTCCATGCTGGCGGCCATCATTCCTGCAAGTCTTTTTTCCACAGTGCCACGCATTCCATTTTGGACCAGCAGCTCATACAAGAGAGAGTCTATTTTTTTACCTTAAATGGATTATCAATTTCATTTAAGTCTTAAACAAAATTTATGTAAAAAAAATCATTATAAAATTCTGTACACACATGAAAAAACTTTGATAATTTCTATATATGAACGCCTCAATAATATACCAAATTATTTCTTTTAATATCAATTTCAATAGATCTTAATATATTTTTGAATTGTGATCTATAAATGCGGATTTTCTCACCATTATCACATAAGAAAATGCAGAAAGTTAATTAACAAGATGAGATAATGAAATTTGCCTGAAAGCAGCCAAGTAAGTTTGAACTCCTTTAATTTGCTTCTCGGATGACTCATGCATGCCAATAAGAAATTTCTTCCTACTCTTTTGCTGATGAGAGAATAAGTAATTTTGAATGGCGCCGTTCTCATAATTCTGCTTCCTTTGGACGTTCAGAGGGCGGCCGGCCGATTTCCTGTCCTTTCAATCAGCAAGGTCTGACAGGGGCAAATGCATTAAAAGACACTTTATAAATGGGTATTGCTCCTGCGCACGGCCACGCACAATGTGGATGTTTCAGAATCGATTCCAGGCCAGCCATGAACACGCATTTTAAGGCTGCAAGATTGCCAATCGAACTTTCTTGATTTATTATAATGAAGTAAATTTAAAAAAAAAAAACTATAATGTAATTTTTAAGTACAAATAAATATGGAGTTCATTTAATCAAAAATTTTATGAGGCAATGTCCGCATAATTCCAGAATATACGTGCATAAGAATTGTGAAATATAAAAAAAAAATGTATATATTTTTTGCGTCATTGATAGAAAAATGTTTTACCCCGGAAATAATTAAAAATGAAAACTTTTGTCAAATTCACTTTTACAACATAAACGTTTTTAATCCTTATTTGCGACGGTTTACGAAATTGAAATTATCCGTTCTCGATTTTTATACAAAATTTTAAGTTATAACAAAAAAATAATGAATTCTGGTATTTGATTTCATCCAATAAAAGAATTCAAAACATCACATCCCATTTGAAATATTTTTGGAGAGAAAATGTGTTGATCAGTGTTGATAAAAATTGCATTCACTTTTCTCTCTGCACAATACCAGATGAATTTTGAATAGCGGAAAAAATTTAAAAGGATAATCAGTGAGATACATTAATGTAAATCTTTACTGATTTTTAATTTTCATAAAAATAATTTAGAGCAAAATAAATGAGAAAATATAATTGTCCTACCTGTGGGTAGTATGAGGAGGGCAGCGGCGAGTAATTGTAGTACGGGGTGTTGTACAGCATGTTGGGGTCTTGGTGGAGGCCGGCGGGCTGCAGCGGCGAGAGGGCACTCTCGTGCGGGCCTCGCGCGCCCGGAGAAGCTCGGGGCGGCCGGGGAGCGGCGTCGGCCAGGGGCCCGACCTCGTGCAGGGCCAACGCGGCGGGGGCGCAGGGGGGCGCGACCAGGGGGGAGCTCAGGCCCGAGGCCGCCGGGACATAAGCCACGACTCACGCCTGCAATTCCGCAAACATCCTTTCAAACTTTCCACTTTCTCGGACACCGCGCCCAAATCGGAAGTTTATACAAAAATGTTCACTTTTGGTAATGTCCTGTGGCGGTGAATTCAAATAGGGGCCTCTCAGAAGGTTTTTTTTAGCTCAGTAGCTGCCTGTAACAAAAAAAATGCAAAAAAAGAACATGAATAATTGAATAAAAGTTAATTTAATTTGTGGGTATCAGTTCTGTATTGACTTGATGTTTAAGATGTTGTGTATTTTGTTGCATTTGAATGGAAAATAAACAAATAAAGTGAAATTAAAAAATAATAAAAAAAACTCATGGAATAAAATCATAAATAATATTGCTGTTTATTTTATGGATGTTACAAAATTTTCTTTTCAAAAAATATGATTAATTGAAGGGAGGGAAACATTGCATTGTGTTGTACGCAGATTGTAACCACCACTAGCAAGAATTTTAAGCTAAGAGTTAATATGAATATAATATAAAGTATATAATTAAATGATGTTGAATTTTTGTGGTGGTAATTTCTAATTGTTTACATATCTTGAATCAAATTATGCATCGCATTCTTGATTTTGGATTTCCAGTTTAGCAAAATTCATAATTGCTAATATGGTGGTGCGGTTTTTTTACAACAACTCAATGATTACACCCAACAACTGATTATTTATCGATAAATTAATAATTAATGATTTGTATTAACACTTGGTACGAGTAAACAACAAAAAAGCTGAATAACTATAAAAATTGGAAGGATTCAGCATTACAAAATTGAACAAAACCTATAAATTAATAAAATAATAGTTTAATGTATCAATCCAATACAAATATTAACTTCAGAAACTGCGTTACACATTACAAAACATAAACAAAGACATTAGACACTAATTAGCACAGAAACACATGGCATATAACAACAATTTGGAGAATATATCAAAGCACTTAAAACGTTTTTGTATCTCTTCATTAATTTCCCTTCTTAAAATAAAAAATTTATCAAATTAAATCCATAACGAAAATTAATAACAAAAATAATTTCAAAGAATATAATTTTTCTGTAAGATTTACTGCTCCAAATATTTTAATTAATCCTTGTCCAATTTTTAATATAAAATAAAAGAAAAATGCAAAGCATGCGCCATGAATGAGACTTTCTGCACTTAAACCTGCATCAATAGCAAAAAATAAATTAACATTATAATACGCACTTCTCGAGGGACGATTGTTCCCAGCAGCTAGATCTTTCCACGGCCGGCTCGGATGCACGACTGTCCGAAACGCGGCGGCACTCGGAGCACGTGGTTCGGCACCAGGGTCGTGTACGTATAAACACTGTGTCGGCAAGGAAGGATTCTCGGGTTGTACGCCGACACCGGACACCTCGGCGTCGGAAAATGCGACGATGTAATGTGTGTAAAGTGACGGAGGGAATGCAGCGGCTCGGCCGGCGATCAGCGCAGAATCATCTCCTACTACTGCTCGCTCGCGCTACCAGCAGACCCGCGAGCGATCATCAAACGTGTTTTTAGATTCGTCCCCGCGCCGACCAATGGCAGTTCGGCTCGCTCGCGGGGCCTCCGACTCGGAACGAAAGACCGACGCGCACGCACTGTACCATCTACCTGTGCAATTCACCTTTAAAACTAGCCTAGGTAACAAACAAAAAAAGACAAAGATGACTTCTTGCAATCATTCCAAAGGGTGCCTCAAGCGAAAACGGTTCAGATCGTTTTTAATTAACTGTACTCGATCTTATTTCTCTCTTATGGATCCAACCACTGATCACTGATGTAATATGCATATTATTTTCTGATTTCCTTAGAAAAAAATTATATGAACTTCATGTGATTGCATTTTTTTTACCAAATATGCAGACTATTTGGCAACCCCAGTGAAAAATTTGACATTAAGATAAACAAATTGAAACAATTTAAATTAGTACTTTTGACTAAACGCCTTACACAAAAAATTGTTCAAACAAATTTTTTTCATGAAAATGTGAAACCTGTTATCTCATTAATTGTATGTTAAAGCTTCAGCTAAATAATTATGGCCAAATTAGTGTTGAATTTTTTATGCATTAGCATTATTTTGAAGATAATATAATAAAATTATTGAATTGGGAAAACTATTTTGGAAAATTTAAACATTAAGGAAAATATTCTTGAAAAATGATTTTATTCTTAAATTTATCCCGATTTAAAATTATCAAAATATCATCAAACCTAGTTCATAGCAGCCAAATTGCGAGAGGCGAAATAAAATCAAGCCTCCAAGATATTTTTTTGATTTTATATAGAAATCTGTGAATTATTTTTTAATCATTTGAATCATAAGCTTCTCGTAAACGGATCAGAAAAGCGCAGAAATTAATTAAATTTCCAATATATTTTTATGGCTCAATTAAATATATAGTTGGTTTGGTTTTTTTTGGCGCAAATATTAAAAAATTTATTGGAATTTATATTGTTTTTTAAGCTGATAAATTTCTATAAATTTTATTCACATTGAATTGCTTGTTAAACGCAAATTATTTATTTATTTTTATTTATTCTCCATTTAATATTGAATTAAAAATTAAACAATAGGTGAAATGGCTTCATCTCTGGCAGTCGCTAATAAATTAAAAATCAGCTAAATTATTTGTGTGGTCCTTTTCAAGTTTTCCTGTAGCAATGTATTAAAATTCATGGTTCTCGATTTTCAATTTTATACACAATTTTAATTATCTGGGATCACATGCACCTTTTTGTTAGAAATTAAATTTACCTAAATTTTATTTGTTTAAGATTTAAACACATAATTCTATATCTTTATGCAAATAAATTTTTGGCAGTTATTATATTTCATTTTGAAAAGTAGGCCAATTTAATTTACACAAATTGTTGTTACACTTATTTAAAAAATTTTAACACAGAGTGCGAATGTCAATTTTCTTTCTCAAAACTCCTGTAACGCTGGCGAGAAATTTCAAAGTCAAAATTGGCGGATAAGGAAAGTTTAGGCAAATCCTCCTGTTTACTTGCGAAATGTCTTTCGCGGAAGAACCTGCGCGCGTTTGAGACTTCAGAGACTTTGAGAGACGCACCTCAAGGGCTGTTAGCGATTTCCTCATAAAAGAAGCGGCAGCGCGAAACTGTGTTTCAAGTATTGCCGAACAATTTGGGCCTCTCTCTCGAGCAGAGCAAGAGATATGAAGAGACGGGGCGGGTCGTCACCTAGGCAACCGGGATAACAACTCATGCCAGGGGTGTGACACCCGAGCCTTTTCTCCGGCGTCGCGCGCGCACATATCCATCCACCAGCACATCCTTTTCTCTGCTCTCTCCATCTGCGATGTCCTTTCCACCCACACAACATAAATGCATACCATCCAACACATCGCACGTACTTTGACTACAAACACAGCACTTGTCCGACCGTTCGTCGGACGACGAAGCGACTATTGCTTTGTGCCTTTGCCAATACCTTGCTCTCAAGTTGCATTCCTTGCCGTTTTAATAAGGTGCCCATATGAAAAGTGAAACACATATAAGAGTCACTCGGAATTCACGCACACGCTGAAATTAATCTATTGCCTAAATTATATAATAGCCCAGTATAACTATAGACAAAATCTAAAATGAAACAAAAACCCATATAAAATAAAGATGAGTAATTATTTTTTATTGTTCACATTGATTCAGTTGATTAATATTATCTAAATTTACTTCCTGGATTACGTTAAAATAGAAAAAGCAATTTAATAATTCCTTAATTTTCGGGTTCAGCGCAGCGATTAAATCGGATCAGAAACTGCAGAGGGATGGATATGCAACCCCCTCGACGTTGATGCAAACAAGGTTGCGGTGACAGAATTTGCAGGTAGATAAGTATTACTTTTTTACCGTGATAAAGAAAAATAAAATTGCTTACAATTAGTAACAAAAAAATGCTGCACGACACAAAAGCTTTTTCATTTAAATGTAATTAATTAAGCTAATTTCTTCAGTCTGGCAGTGTATAATTAATTTTTGACGGTTTTTGCTGCCAGAACCCCTTCTTTGTAGGCTTCAATTTTATCATACATGCGCCCTTTTCTTGTTAATCCTGCATTTTAATTATCAAGGAAAGAAACGAGCGCATTGCCGAAAGGGGTGAGCAAAGTTAGCTTCTGCAGCTTGGCGAGGTTTGTATTATATTTTCAGCCTCGTTCAGCGGAAAAGCTCGGCATCTTGCAAGGTGCAGACATAATGGTCTTGAGCGAATCATTAAAGTACACGCCTGCTGCCGAGTCTGCGGCCCAATTAAGAGTAAAAAGCGCGGGCGTCGAGAGATGAAAAAAGAAGAAAGAGGGTCCACCGTATATAACAGCAGCAAGAGCGTGCGCTGGCTCATGGGCAAAGGGGGCTCATTTCCCCAACGAGAACATAAACTTCTCAAGTTCAAGGGATGTCGCCTGGATGAGATGTACTTTTTCATCCTTTAAAGACGCGACCCATTCGCAAATGATAAGAGCCTCAGTTTTTTGCCCCTTTAACCCCGCACGGCACCGCCGCCTTTTTAATTACGAGATCTCTGCGTCGCAGGTGGCTTGAAATTTAACATTCAAAACTTCACAAACAAGGAAGCGCGCCCACTTTGAGATGACGAATCGTCTGCAGTGCCGCTAACTTTGCTTTGATGCAGGTTTTTTGTTGTGTTTATAAAAACGTGAAAGATGAAAAACGTGCGTCCTCTGTGTCACACACGTGAGCTTGGATGCCGCTGCAAATTATGAATAATTACCGCGATAATGATGCTGCGTAATGATGGTTTGCAGGAAATAATGAGAGGGTATGCTATTATATCACTTTTACCAAACGTATTTACTTTCCGTTTCTAACTAAAAGAAAAAAAAAACGAAATGACTGGAATTTTCGCAGATTTAATTTTACAATGTATTTTGGCGGTAAAATATTGTCGTATTTTTAATTGAAACGTTGATAAAAGTCCCAAAAATATCAAAATAATTGCCTACTTTCACCTAACTTAGTTATTTATGTCAATGTTTTAAAGCATATTTTTTTTAATTGAATAATTTTAATGCTCTAATTAAATTTCTTCCCATGATTATATATTACCATATATTACATAATTTATTTTGTGTATGCAATTTTTAGTGAGAAAAATTCTTCCGGCATAATAAATTCCATTGAAATGGGTCTCAGTGGACATGGTTATATCTTATACAAAAAAATCTCTTCTCTATATGCATATCAGTTTCTAAGTTTCTTCCCAATTGGTGCGTGCCATCGAATTCCTTCTTGTCGCGGTGAAATGCTCTGAAAATAAACACGCGCGCCAGCTTTAATAATTATGCACAAAAAGCCGCGCAAGCTTGTCGCGCCACTAAACACTAATACACATAACTTTGTACAAATTCTTCCGTCGTCCTGTCAGCCGCCGAGACATGTGCGGCGAAAGATGCACCAAGCTGTTTTTTAAACTCTACGCTGGGAAGAAGTGTGTCGTTTAACTTATGGTCGTAAATTACTAACGGCTGCCTGGCCTGTTCAGCAAGACGGTGAGTGCGACGAAAGCATTTCATATGGCCAATGAATCAATTTAATCCTGTTCGAAGAATAGATTAATCTGAAAATTTTAAACCAAAAACAAAGGCCAAATTTACCAGCGATTGATTTATTCATTAAACGTAATGTAATTTAATTGATATTTCATAGAATGGAATCAACAGAAATACAAATTACCGTATATTTTGCAGAGTATAAATTTTTTTTAATCAATTTATTATATTAATTTTTTTTTAAGCTTTTTTAGAGCTGTTTTATTTAAAATCGTTTTAAACTATAACAAATGATTTGAAACATTTTTCAGAATTTTTTCCATTATTTATATTGAGGCCTATAAAATTAAAGAATACTATAAACGGAACCAAAATAATAAAATTTGTATTTGGTTTTAGTGTGCGCGTCTCTCTATTTTTTTGTTGATGTGGAATTTTTAATGTAAAAAAATTCCTATACCCTCCAGCACGGCTATTGTAATAAACTTAAAAAACGGTCTTAAAATCAATCAGAATAGTAAACCTTATAATACGTTTGCTCCGAACAGTTATTCCAGAATATAGTTTGCTACATTTCCTCCTGAATTTACACCATGAATTTCAATTTAAATTAAAATTTTAAAATTAGTGACTGCAGGTTTCCGAAATGTTAAACAAGAAGGTCCCAACATTTCCTCCTGAATTTACACCATGAATTATAATTTATATTAATTTTTGTAAATTAACGACAGCAGGTTTCTTTGCGCAAATTTAATGAGTTACATAGTCAGTTTATTTTTTCCAATGATTCTACTTATTCTCGATCTATCTTGTAAATTTTGAATTTTATAATATGCATCTTGTAGTGATTTTCGACAAAATCAACTCAGATTTATTTTCCAATTTAGTTCCTTCCAAATGTATGGGCGTTCTAAAGTGCAAAATCTTAAGTTACTGCCATTTTAAAACTGTAATTTTGAATTCATGTCCAAGCGTTTATTTCATTTACTTAAATTCTTCTGAAATTTAATTTTATTTCCGTCGTTGCTCTTCCAGAATTGTACATTTTTTAAATTTATCTTTTGGAGATAGGAAATTTGAACTCTTTGTTTTGGGAATTTTAAATGGTTTCCAAACATCATCCATTACGGTGCTTTCATGCCTGACCCTTTGGAAAAGAGAAAGAGCGGATTGATCGCGAGTGTGTGGCGCGTTGAAGAGAAATTCGAGGAATGCCCGATGGGACGCCCGCCGGCCGGGGGTCGGCTCGTCACTCTGTCACCACAAATCCACATTAACACTCATATTCCGCAGTTATAAATCGCGTCCATCATAATAAATTCGCTGTCGCGCGCGCGGACGCGCGATGCAGAGTGAAAATAAAATTAATTACGCGCGGCGGGCTATGGCCGGTCGGATTTATTTATTTATGCACGCATTTTCTGCTGCCGCCGCCGCCGCCGCGCGTCCTTTTGACCCGGCTGGTGATGGAGAACCAGCACCGGGGAAGGTGTAGAATAATATAAAACAAGGCGCTCGTAAAAGCAGCGAGCGCGCCGAGAGTGAGTGAATTGCGGGTGACCAGGCTATCGCGAAACACGGCTTTTAGTTGTTGAAACAAGCCACGATACACACACGAGAGCTGCCAGCGAATAATTTTTGCCAGCCTCTTTCTTGCTTTCTTTCTCTCGCAAGCGGGCGAACGAGCCAGCGCTCCTACAACCTCTTTAATCAACCATCCTCTCTGTTCAAGTGTTTTCTTTCGCTAAATCAAAATGCGTGGAGAGCAAATTGATCATTACGAAAATCATTTTTATTATGCCTGTGGAAAGCCTTTTCAACCTCTTTCATTTATCAAATTTAACCCTTATAAAGATAAAACATTAAGTGAACTTGCTGAAAAATGCTAATAAAATTACAGAACTTCCTCTGATTCCTTAATATACATGCAACCTAGTAAAATTTAGAATTTGCTACACACTACACTGGCTAGGATATCTGTTTTGACCAATTCCAGGTCACTCGATTACAACTTTTTTCATAGGTGAATATCATTTTTTTTCCATGCCGCCAATGATTGGTTGTTATTTATGCAAATTTCAACTCTCCCGCACTACCTTAAGTGCTGATCTTTTTATATATGAATTATTATAAAACGAAATACTCTGCATTTTTATCGAATAATTTTTGCAAATTTTTAGTTTCAATGGATTATATTGCTACAAGGACAATTAATACCATATTAACAGCTATGAATAGGATATACAAAATTTATTTCCTCGTTCTTTCACTCCTATGGTGTTTTTTTTTTTTTAGAGTATCTTAATTAAAATCGCTCATCATTAATTGAAAACAAAATATAGATATTGAGCCTGAATATGGAATTAAAAGCTCTATACTTCAAATTCACTGTTAGTATGATAGATAATTAGTTAAGCGATTCTAGTATTATTTTTGAGTGGGTTTTAGTGATTTGCAATACAAATGGAGCAATTTTTTAGACTCTAAAATTTTTTTTGCTAAAATCCGTCGGCATTAATGTTCTAATTTTTTAACTAAATTAACTAAAACTGTTAAAATATGTTTTAATGAATTTCTTAATTAATTTGTCGCTTGCCAGTATTGCACAAATGGCGTTTGAAGGCGACGACTGACAAGTCAGACAAACGGAGGGTGGCATCGCCACCAGAGTGAACTTCCGGTTCCTGATCATGCAGCACTGACTGCCAGCTCGTTCGCCTTCAGGTTTTTGGAGCAGGGAATGCGACACCACCTCCTGCACGCATCAGCATATACACGCGGGCGTATAATATAAAAAAAGGCAAGAGCGTCGCACATAAAAATAAGACACCCTTCACAGCTGATGGGATGCACACAAGCGAATGGATCTGCATGCACAGACATGGCTTCTGTTTCCCATGGGTCTCGTTGGTCGGCCGACTTGTTCAGGTCGAAATTAAATTTTTATTATAAAATTTTAGAAAAAAAGTGGCAGCTAGTCTATCACTAGGCTGAGGTGATCAAATGACCACCCAGGACGCGCGCTGTGCAAATTTGCTTTAGTGTTAAAAAAATTTGTTGCCGTTTGGTCGTGGCTTATGATAAAAATAATAATGCGCCAAATATATAAATATGATGTTATCTGATATTTGGTAAAAGATTTTTCAGCCCAACGGTAACCCAACACTCTTTCACTCTTTTTCTCTCTCTCTATCATCATTTTTCGCGTTTGTCTCTCTATCGCACGCAGCGCGCCAGGACAAACAGAATAAACAACACACGCGGCTGGAATGACACAAACACAACTCAACACGTTATTATTTTAATATCGCCGAAAAGGCAGGCGAATAACGACACGCAAAAAGTAATAATATGCATGCAGAATGATGATGGCCGGGTTTTGTGTTACCCTACGCCTGTGTGCTGTGCGAGTCGTCATTATTTGCTGCACCTATCTCGCTCTCTCTCCGGCGCGCAGAGATTATTGATTTCCCTCTGCATCTCTCTCTATTGTTTTCGATTTCCACGAGGAAACACCTAGAGCGGTGCATTGCAGGTACGCATTCACAATGACTGACTGATGATGGGCTGACAACGGTGGTGGAATTAATGAGATCACGTGCCGCTCATCCTCTCCTCTTGCCCTGGGGTGCTTTTAATTCTGAGAGCGAACGTTGCTATGGAGATCGACAGAGTCTCACTCTGCTTGATTAGATTTTCTGGTTATTCCATTTTGTGGAAATCAATTGAACACACTGTTTTCCTCAATGATGAAATTAAACTTTAGAAAAATTAAATGTGTAAATATCTCGCTTTTATAAGCAAAAGTGATTTATGCTGGCTATAAATTTTAGGTGAATCACTCTATCTAAAATCGCGCAGTAATCAAATCTTGTAATTCATAATCAATCGCGCAGGTGGTTGACTAAACGCAGATAAAAATGAGGCGAAAAAGCTTCTAAGCGGTATTTTCATCATCGCTCTATCTTATCGCGTTGTTTTTTTGGATTGTGAATAAAAGCAAACCGCGATCCCACTCCCGATCGTCATTAACTGAAGAATGCTGCACTTGAGGAGTGTGATTGGTTTGTTCAATATTAAATGCTGTGATTTTTTAATATTATAAAAAAAAATTTCATTAGGGCTCTTTTGCCTTGCACTTTTGTGCATTGGCTCAGAGGGCAGTAATTCGAATGTGATTAATTGGAAGAAGTACAATTTGATCGACGATGACACCACCAGTGAACTCGTTTTGGCATTCAAGCAGGACAAGAAAGGTAGATTTATTAAATTAAATTTTTATAGCATTCTAAATTTATTATTCAGCTGAGGAAAGGGCTTTAAAACCATTATCTGTTCGCCTCGGCACCACATTACCTAAGCCTCTGCGTGAGAAAAGGTCCAAGCCTGTGTTGACCATCGCCGGTTTTTCGTTTTATTACGATAGGCAAGCGAGACTCGACATTGAGCATCCTTTCCCTGAGTGCACTCGCTTGACTTGGACCACTACTGCGTTCAATGAAATCAGGGACTGCATTAGCTACGGTAGCGCTGATTGGTAGAGTTAATTTTTTTTTAATTACAAATTTTTTTACTAAAATAAATAAATAGGTTCGGTGGCCCTGAACAATACGAACAGTTGTGGCCAGTCCAGAAATTAAATAAGACCAACTACCCTTTCATTACCAAGAGTGCCGATAACATGGCAGTGGCCGACCGCTACTGGCTCTCTTCCGAGGGCTCGTACATTTACGTGGACCCAAGTATTCCGCTCTTCATCGACTCCAACTCCGCTGATAACCCGAATCAGTTGTGCTTCATTTCAAGATCTGAGAGTCCTTACTACGACATCACAGAGCTTATCTTGAGGTATAAAAAGGGCTTTTTACTTTTTTTTAGAAAATTCCCCATTCGAAAATATAATATATAGTATTAATAATGGTACCAACATATTGATATAAATTGTAAATTGTTTGTTTGAAAGGATATGCAAATTTAAGTCACTGAGTTGATATAATTAATTAAAATTTAATCCGGGTAAAAATAATCAAGTATTAAAAAATACTTTATATTTTTTTGATTGATATAATATTCTTGCAATTCTTAAGTCATTAACTGCTTTGAAACAATAATAACTGCCAAAAAGTTGTAGATGATAATTATGCTAAGTGAAATTAATTATTAAAATTAAATTTAACACACACAAAATAAAATCAGGGATTCCAATGATTGTATTATAATGTTTTTGAAAATTTAATTAATGAACCAAAAAAATTATTGCTTTAATTAGTATTTTTGAAAATAACAATACTATATCATAATTCATAATGGTATATAATTTAAATATTATATCATTTGATATAATAGAGGAACATAGTTAACAATCCAAGCTTTATTATACCATTGGTCCATTATTATATCAATGTTTTGGAAATCATATTCAATAATATTGATTTAATAGCAAAAATAGTAGCATATAGTATAATAAATTATATTTATTAATTAAATTTAGTTTCATAAATTAGATTTATTAGATCAATATCATCGCAGTATTGTACCAAAAGATAAATTTTCAACTGGGTCATTGTCAAATTAATATAGGTACACAATTTGCACTTTTGATGACGTGAAGACTGCCCAAGCACACGCCGTCAAGAACTATCTCGGCCATGCCTCTTCCTTGCCCGACGAGCTGATGTTCAGACACCCTATTTGGTCCACGTGGGCGCGCTACAAGAAAGACATCAACGAAAGCACGGTGATGCAGTTCGCTCAGGAAATTCTGGACAATGGCTTCAACAACAGCCAGCTTGAGATTGACGACGACTGGGAAACGTGTTACGGTGAGCTTCAATTCAACTCGGCCAAATTCCCTAATCCCAAGGGTATGGTGGACGCTCTACACCAGTTGGGCTTCAGAGTCACCCTCTGGGTGCATCCCTTCATCAACAGCAACTGCCCCCTTTACAACACCGCTCTGCAGCAGGGATATTTTGTCAGGAATTTGCAGAATGAAGTCAAAGTCGAGTGGTGGAATGGAAAAGACGCTGCCATTATCGACGTTACGAACCCTGCAGCCCGCACTTGGTGGGCAAATCGGCTGATCAGTCTGAAAAACCAAATTGGCCTGGACGGCTACAAATTTGACGCCGGCGAGGCACTCGGATTTTTGCCTCAGCTACCATTTTTGCGAAATGTAGTATTTTAATTTAAATAATGGGATTTTTATTGATAAAGATTTTTTAGATCAACACTCAATCTGATTATTCCCTTGCCTATTCAAACTTCGTCAATGGGATAATCAATGATATTGGATCCGCGGTTGAGATCAGGTCTACCTACAGCAACCAGGGTGCGCCCATCTTTCTCCGCATGATTGACAAAGACAGTCGCTGGGGCCTGAACAACGGCCTCCGCTCAGTGGTCACCACCTTATTGCAGATGAATGTCGTTGGCTACCCAATGGTCCTTGCAGACATGATTGGCGGAAACGGCTACGGCTCGGATCAAATCACACCTGAACTGTTCATCAGATGGCTCCAGGCCTCAACCTTCATGCCCTCACTGCAGTTTTCCTACGTCCCATGGCAATTTAATGACCCCTCCGTAATAATCATAAAAATAAGCGTATAAATTAAACTACAAATTTTAATTTTTTTTCTGCAGGTTGTTGAAATTTCTAAGAAATTTGTTGATCTTCACTACAATTACTCGGAATTAATTCTTCAGCTGGCTAACGATGCTACAACTGGTAGCGGTTTGCCGATCAACAGACCAATTTGCTTTGCACTCCCAAACGGAGTTGTTGACGGCAATGCTTCGTATGTTGATGATGGTACTAACTTGCATATTAACTTTTTATGATTAAAACCTCTAATTTTTTTTTTTTTTTTTTTTTTTAGAATTTATGTTAGGAAACAACATCTTAGTCGCTCCAGTCATGGACCCAAACGCAACTTCAAGGACAATTTATTTGCCGGAAGGATTTTGGACAGATATGAACACAGGCTTCATGATAAATGGCCCAATTACGATAGTTGACTATCCAGCACCTTTGGACACCCTACCTTACTTCCGCAAGGAGAACATTGTCAATTCTTCCTCCAACTTAAGTCCGACTCTGATTTTACTACTCGCCTCCGCCTTGATTTCCTCCTTGTATTTTAAATAAAAAAAGGTTTCATTCCCTTTTATACTGTAAAGGAAAAGGGAAACTTTATTGAAATGATAATGCAGTGTTTATTTAACTTGACAAGCACAAAATATTGCGCGCTAACCAAATAGAACCAGACACTAAGTGGACTCGCGCGCCACGTTTTATGCTAATTCGAGCAATAATTACATATTTCAAAATATAATATAAATGCTCGCGGCCGCTCCACGCACGCACATTCAGTACCAGGCGAGCGCGTCATTGTGCGCGAGTAAAAATACACATTAATCCAACATTAAGGTGTAGGTTCTACAAGTTAATAAATAAATTCGAGCTGGCCCCCTCGGCAGGTAGTTTTTGGGCAGATGACTCTGTGGGGGTCGCGCAGGCGACATGGGCGTTCGTGCACTTGCGACCAGCATGTGGGAGTAGTTACACGTCGTAAAGAACCCTTCACAACGTGGACCACCTTCATTCTCCTCCGAAAAAGAAACTGCGCGCGGCCGCTTTTCGGAAATTACTCATAATTCACGCGCTCTACACCGCTCGAATTAAATAAAAGTTTGGTTAATTTGTCCTGATGTGACACAAAATATGTACCCCAGCGAGATGAAATATTTCCTTGCTGCGCAGTAGGAATTTTTATAGGGACTAATCGTCTGTGAAGTTAAATCATAAACATTACTTTAATAAAATGGTTAAAGCGATAATATGAAAATTATTATCCGGTGTAATTAATGAATTCATAATTGTTTTTCCTTTCTTTCTTTCTTTGGCAAAGTAATTTAATGTCCCTCACCGTTTAAGCATAATTAAATCTGGTCGTCCGCAGGAAGTGCGTAGAACTTGCGATCGGATCATAAGAACAAAGTAGGGGGCAGAAAGTTTTCGTTTTTAAGGGTTGAAGCCTTTCCGGTGAGAGTGCTGAGGAGATGAATGGAAATGCGGAAGGGTGAATGTGTTTGGTTTCCTTTTATTAGTGCGCGTACACGCTACGTCGCAAGCAATTAACTTGAGCCCTCGTAAGAGCTATGGAAAACAAACTGCGAATTTGGCTCATCGCATTGTCCACATACAACCTACGCCGTACTTATACGTAAGGCTTCTGCTTACAAACATATGCGTCCGCACTAAAAATAGAGATTTATCGCATCCGTAAAAATACAAATGCATGCATTTTAAAATAATTAAATAAATTCATGATAATCTTCACTGCAAAAAATGAAAATCACCTTTAATTTATTATTTTTTTAAAAATATTATTGATAATTTGCATTCAAATTTAGATAATTTTTAATGTTTTTTATATTTGACAACCATTGTGTTTATAGCAAACACAAAGCATAAAATTATTTAATTTTTATGATTTATTTAATTAATGAATTTAATAATTTTCATAAATTAAAATTCAGTATAACGGAGTTAACAATAAAAGTTTTATTATATTCTAAAATTCACTGAATTGATCAAAATTCCCTTACGGAAAATCACAAAATATTGCCTGTGAAATTGAGATGAGGCGTGTGAGCGCAATTAGCAGAGAGTGAATTTGGAGAGCAATTTCGTCTTATACGAAGAAGGAACGAGCAATAAAATGCGCGCTCGTGAATTTATTGGCCTTATTAAACAGCGCTGATCCTAATTACGATCAATTTGCATGTAGCTAAAACGCGCTGCAGCTCAACATCATTTTACCCCGCTTTTTGAAACACAAGGCACAATTTGTGTGTATATAAACGGAAGATATTTAGATTGCTTCCTACACGCGTCCTGTGGTATGCAGAGCCGAAAAGAGAGATGTGTGTTGTATGTGCGCGTGTAAAACAACTTAGGAATATCGGATGTCAAAATAACGTATGTTAAAGATAGCAAACTTTTTGGGTTAAAAGTTAAAAGATCAATAAGTTTGGAGCATAAATTATTTTGATTAAATTTATATTTTGAAATTTCAGCACCATTTGTTGATTCAAAATTAACAATTTTAATTTTCATTCTTCAATTGAATTTTTAATATTCCACTTTATTTACAACATATCATTCATTATTTTTAATTAAACCTTGATAAATTTGAATGGATTATGTTTTGTAAGTTACGTTCTAGTCTGTTACTTTTGTAAGGAATTGAGAAGAACCGCACAGATTTATGGCGCCTTTCACTGTCAGCTCGTGGCAGCCAACAGAGAAATTCCACTCTTCGGCCATTTGAATGGGAAATTAGTGAACGGCAGGCATCTCTCTTCTAATCGTAAAATAAAGCAGCAGCTAGTTAGTTGTGATTGCAATTTGATATTCACACCCTCGAAATTAGAACATAAAAACCACTATTAGTGCGCCGCTACTGCTTTTTATTCACGCGAAGGAATTAAGTATTTAGAATATATAAGAGCGCGTTCTGGCAGCGGCTGCGAATGAGCGCGGCGGCGGCAGTCGCATTCTCGGCGCAGACGACGGGCTCATGTTACAAAAACAGCTTCTCGAAAGGAAAAAAATTAAAACACGGAACTAAACGTTTTTTTCATCCACTTCCCTCTCGCGCCGCCGGAAAGTCCTTATAGCTCCTAAGAGAGAAAAAGAGCACCGCGATAATATTCATAAAAATTAACGCATTAAATCTCTCTCCTTGCTGAGAGAAGTGAATTGAGTTTTAATACCCTCAAGCGCGAGAATATCGCGTTTCCAGCCAGAAGGTGTTAATTATGTATTTACCGCGAGGATAATAAATTCATTGTCAGGTGTGCTCAGACTATTGAACAAATCGACACGCGGCAAGTGCTCAGTATACTTGCTGGCAGGTGCCTGATGTTACGCCAGGGCAAGATGTCTGAAAGTCTTTAAAATTTATATAGTTAATTAAAAAGTGAACTCAGGGAATTAAATAATAAAATCTTTAATCAGAAAGCTTTGATAATTTTGATGAGCATTCAATGAGATGAAAAAATGAGTTAATATTTTTCAAATCTATCATTTGGACGGGTTTTAAAGCAAACAATTTGTTCACTATTTGAAATTAATAGAACTCTCAGTCAGTAGCAATGGAGATTAACAAATTTAAAACAAAAAATAGAAAGAAAAACAACAGATAAAGGTTATGCAACCGGCTACGCTTTGGTGTCAAACAGTCTGCCGCTTTTCAATATGTGGGTACTTAAATACTTGAATTAAATTTTACACATCTTCCTTCCACTTTATTAGAGCTAAAAAATCAACCTGGACATAACGTGAATGTATTTATATAGTTTGTTTAATAGAGTTCTCAACTTCACACGTGTAGCGATCGACACGCAGGAATTCGCCGTCGAAGGTTGCCTCAAATTGGAAACGCGTGAAATATAAGCCGAGCGAAGTTTGCTGGAAATTGCGCGGCGAGGAGAATGAAAATAAATTGGCCAGTCGAGCGGAAAGGAATGGATCGACGTACGGGCGAATGCGCGAAACAAACAGCGATTGACAAACGCATCGGGGGCAGGTAGAGGCGCGCGCGTAATTACGGCGCCCGTCGCAGAAGACACTTGAGCTGCAGGACTTTTTCTTATTCTTTCTATATGAAAATTTTATATAAAAAGTAACCTGAGATGGACGGGAGCCTTGCTGCTGACTGACTAGATGTGCATGCAGGTATGAAGCAGCAAAAACAAGAATGTGCAACTGCGCGGAAACCAGGACAAGCATGTCGACGGAAATTTTTTTATTCTCAAACCCATCAATCCTAATGCGTAACTATTGTGTTGTCTCGAGCGCCTTTGTGCGTTCATATTAACGCGTGGCTATTATTAAGACAACAATTAGAGATTATCCACGCATATAAATAATAGAAAGGGATTGACACGTGCTAATTTCTAAACCTATAGTGACACAAAAGTTGCTGACAAAAGACGTTTATTGAAATGATAAATTTAATCGATTAGTCTTTTGCGAGACTGAGAGAAAGATAATTTTCTTTTCTTTCAATATGAAATGTTTTGTAACTTATAGATTAATTTATAAATTTTTCAATTAGGCAATTATTTTTAAATTTTCAAATAAGTACATCAATAAAGTATTGACTTGAAAGGTTAAATACTTTTCCATTCGCAAAGAGAATATCAAATTAGTCGGTTGGAAAATTATACACATGTTTAATTAAGATGGCTGAATGATTATTTTATTAGTTTATTTTATTGAGGATAGGAAGTGAATCGTGTTGAAGGTGCTTTGGTGTTGTTATATAATTGCGCTTGGCAGAGATAAGTCGTTGACTTGACACGCTGTCAAAATACACCTCGGTTCGCAACATCTCACTCCATTTTGCCAATAATCAAATTGCGCACGTGCACGTGAGCGAGGGAGTTAATGTGGAAATTATGCACAGAGAGCTGTGAGCGTAATAATAAACAAGTCTGCGCGGAATATGTATTAAAGTGACGCACACACCTGAGGAGCAAGAGCTCTGCATGGCCGTCGGTCTTGTTTTGTTCCCTTTGTTTCTCGTTTGACAGGTCGAGCACCAGCCTCTTTCAGCAGCCTGTCTGCCTTGTGCAAAGTATACGTGCACGTTTCATTCTGCTGCTGACCGCAATAGTTTTTGCACGCGCGTCTCTTTATTTCAGCTCTGGATGCAAAATGTCAAATATTACTGTGCCCAAAAAAGGCCAAACTCAAGTTTCCCTCAAGGAATATTTATTATATAAATTGAGATATGTAGCAAAATAATTTTTAATGTAACACTTGAATGTCTAAAATTTAACGCTCTTTTAATAAAACAAAATCATACTTTTTTAAATATACCTATTTAGTCAGCCAAGTCAGCTGTAGTGTTTTGCTCTTATTATGTCCTTACTTTTTTCTCAAATTGAATCAGTAAGTAAATTTTACAAAACGTTTTTAATTGTTAAGGACAATTTTGCATTATTTGTCAATTTGTATAACAATGTAGCGTATTTTCGGAGAAAAAATGTATGAGAATAAGTCACAGGTTCAGCAGCACCAAAAACAGCCTGAACAAAAAACATCTCAAATTCATTATAAAATGTACTTTTTGTTAAATTTAATATTTTCTTATTTTATAAATATAACATTAATTTTTAATGTATGATACGTCTGGAAACCTTAAATTGACTGTGGTTCACCGTATTAAAAAACTGCGCTTTACAGGACCGAGAGGAAAAACACAGGAGCTTTTCAATTAGACGGTGGCTCGGAAATGATTAAGGCTGAGAGATGAGAGGAGGCGAGTTTGATTGCCCTGCGGTAAGAAAGGCGGAGCTGCAACGCAAAAAAGCTGCAGATGGAGAGAGCAGGGCGAAATTGCCTGGCTGCTGGAAAGAGAGCATCTCCGGTCGGGCAGCGCAGCTTCCCAGATTCCGTGCTGCTCTTTTTGCGCGACGACGTCTCCATGGCAACGGCGGCGCTGATGATGGAAATGCCTGCAGTGTACGAAGAAACACCATTTTGGTGTCATCACGCTCAAAGCTATGAAAAATCAATTTATTCCTTCACCATCGAAATCCTTCTGCACAGCAGAATCTTCTCCCAGAATTGATATTTTTTCCCTTCTGCTGCGCCTTTTTCAGAGATATAATATATAATAAAAATAACGCGGACAAACTCTCTGCGTGATGAAGCTTTCGCGCGCGCTCTATTCGTTAATAAAATTTCGTCCCTCCTGCCTGCGATGTTTTTCCTCTTTCGCACTGATCGCCCTGTACAGTAATTGGATATCCATTGCAATAAGCGGAATTAATAATCGTTCTCTGCAGCGCCACTGCCTCTCTCCTCTGCTTTTGTGTTGGCTCCCAAATTAAAGGCACTCGAGGCAAATTAAATACAAGTGAAGAGAGGGTGGGTTTATTTTTCTATTTCGCTTTACGGCAAACTCTGTAATACATTGTAAAATCTAGGAACACAAATTTAAAAGACTGTTTCAATTCAAAGTATTCAAAGTACCATGAACTAATTAATTATTAAAAATCAAATCCAGCAAAACTATTGAAGAATTATTAATTTTAATTCATTAATTTTTTAAAAAATCATTATTAAATTATTATGAGCGCGAGCGGTGAAAATATCATTATAAAACATTAAATTTGTAAAATTTTATAAAATAAATTTATTTCCAATTTCCAATGTTTAAGTAATTATTCACGTCTACGTTTTTCTTCAAAAAATAATATTAATAATAATAATAATTAACCTTGTTTTATATTAAAAAAGAAACCTGATTAGTCCTTTATGTTGTGTTTCTCTAATTGTAAAAAGCTACGCAATTCATTATGCACCACGGGGGCGAGATAACGAGATTCATTAAATTGACCTAATCCAAAGTACGCGACGAGTGTAGTGTTTGGTCCCTCGGGGGCGGCGGCTGCACGCCTCCCTAATAGGAAATAATAAAATGGTTTTTTCTGCGGCTCTCTACGACGACATAATGGTTTTTGTACGTAGACGCACGTTAGTACGGCGTCTACACTTTGTCTACCGAGGGACCCTCGATTTCGGAGCCAGCTCATGATATGTGCGCGCTGGGCGTCTAGAATTTCACCCTCTCGCTTCCAATCTATCTGGGCTTGCATATACGCAGCACGCACGGCACTGCACGCGGTGTATTGGCGAATGCACCCTCTCCGCTCTGCAAACCGTCCACCCTCGTGTTTTGGCGGCGCCGAATGATGCTCACTATTTACAAAACGCCCGCAACGACGTCCAATGTATGCAAAGGTGGAAATGAAGTTTTCATTATTCCCACAAAAGAGACAAAGATGCTAAAAACTTTTAATTTCATTGAAAAATTAAAATCCACATACAAGTACGCGGTTATATTAATTACTTGGCTTTGTTCAACTAATTTTCATACATCTTATTGGCTTGAATTTTTCATATTAACACAAACAAAATCATATTATGAATAAAAAAAAATTAAACCGCAAACAAAATGGATAGAGACAATTGAAAATAAATGTTTTTTTTACCACTTTGTTACCATTTAGAAATTATCGACGCAATCGTTAAGTTAATATCCCAACCTAAATATCAAATTCAAATTTGAAATAACTAATTTTTTCAATTAATCTCTCAAACAAAAACTTTCAATGATTGAGATCCAATAAATATTTCATCACTATATACGCACGGTCTTATAATTTGGTACTTTAATTGTTGTAGACACGAATGGAAATTTTTCTACTAAATTTAAAACCCTAAATAATGATATCGGTTTTATAATGCGGTGATATATAGCAAATAATAAGCATTCCAAACCATAAAAGCAACAAATAATTTAGCAGTTTAAATGCTGTTAATCCCACCTTCAGATAAACAATGGCAAGGAGAGGATCAGCGTGAAAAAGGCTTATATGCTCGCCCATAAAAATAAAATACCTCTCTAACTCCTCTATCCACATCACGAAAACGCGTCGTGGTCGCGAAGCATCTGAAAAACTCCGGCCAGCGTGCATTATTTTATGATTTTTATATTACGGACATTGCCCACCGCGACATTTTCATTAATCTCCCTCGCGTAATCTTCGGTGTCTCATCTCAAAACATCCAAAAACACACACACTGCGGCTGTTGTGCCGTGCGTGCGTTTTTTATATACGGCCCGAACCGCGGTGTGACATACTTAACGATTTATATTTAAAGATTCGAGGCGCAGATTAGGTGGAAAAAAACAGCGTTTAATCGCTCCAATCCGCTTTCAATACAATATAACATCGTGTTTCTGTGACAAACTTACGAGGCCAGCCGCGTTCGAGCGCGATGTAATTGATAAAATTACAAATTCCCTTCGTTTATTATTCCAGAGAGGAAATTTTATTTCCAAATTGATCCACACCTGCTGCTTTTTATTTGATACTTTCTTTTACATAATTAAATTGGCAGCCCACAGGAGAAAAAAAAGAGGAGGAGCAAGAGCGATAAAAATAATTTTATCGCACCGTTTTTTTTTAAATGAATTGCCGGGCCACCCAAAGATTTGAGTCTCCAAGGCGTGAATCATTTTGACGGGCCGCTTTTATGACTACAATTTTATCTTTTGAGGATTCTTTTGGAGACAGAGGACGTCTAGAATAATTTACGTCGGGGATGTCGCGCGAGCATGCAACAATATCTGATGTTCAAAAAATGCAAAATAATGTGTTTCAATAAAAAATAATTTTTACCTTGGTCGGAATCCCTAATTATTAAAAATAAAGCTAATAAATGCCAAAATGCCTAATAAATGAATAGATCCAAACCAAATAATAAAAATCTACAACTCTTATCTGAAAATGGAAAAGGTTTCCAAATTTCAGCAATTAAAGAATTTTAAAAATCACAATAACCTGAGAATCAATTGTTTATGGGAGGTCAGTAGTCACAATTCTCCATAATATTTTTAATTTTTAGCCTATAACAAGGAGAGGAGCGTCGTGAGAGGTGAGGAAGACATAATGTCACCACTCCAGAGAATCTGTTTTTTGTCGACTCACAAGTTTCTTTTTATTTTTTTCCCCACAGAACCAACACACCTGACACAACTTGTGTTTTCGTAATTATTATTTTCCAGGCGGAGCGCGTGAATAAGTAGTCAGCTTTATGCAAGAGTTGGCGATTATGCTAATCACTTCAAGTCACCGACTAAACGAGACACGTCTTTCACGAAGGAGCAGCCAAAGCTGGCTGCCTGCGACCATAAGCCTCTTTCCTGAGGTGATTTAAGTGCCACTAAATCCTTGGTTTTTCATTGATGCAGCGCGCGGCACCCGCGAGTGGACGCGTATTTTTTCCATCAGCAGGTCGATTTATTCGGATTAAGGGCGAAAATATGCTGCTCATTATAGCCGAGTTTTATGTCCACCATTTTTCGCTCGACTCTCAACAGCTTTATTCAGAGTGGATTTACTCATGCTTCAATTGCACTCATTAAAGTCGGGTTTAGTTCTTGTAACCTCGGCGCTAGGTGTGTTGGATTAAAATAAATTTTGTCCCTACTCCGTACTCTGTATAGCGAATATTTGGCCGCATTAATTTTTGAATGAGATTAAAGATTAAAATTTGTTCAATCTGAATGTGATTAAGTATTTCATTGCATACTTGTAGCAATGCCTAAACATCTCACAAAAAAAATTTATTTCAATTATTCAAATTTAAAAAATAAATCAAATTTAAGATGGGAATTTCTTAAAAACAATCAAGTACTCTAACAAGAACACAACAAATATGTCATTAAATTTACTAAATTATATCACCTTAATTATTAGTATTTTTATTATTTTCAATTTTTTTTCACAAAACAATTTCTTTAATTAATTTAAAAATTTACATTTTATTTTTTCTTATTTATTTAATTTTTGATCTTCATTTAAAATATAATTGAAGATATATTTTTATAGAAAATGGGAAAAATTTAATTTTTAAATATTAATATCAGAACGCAATAAAGTCATTCAACAAAACTTGAGACTTGAATATAGATAAATAATAATAAATCATACATTTTTCATTCCTCATGATCAAACTTAATAATCATTCTGCAGAAAATTTGAAAACGCTCGTTATAGACGTCGAGTGATAAATTTTTCTTGGGTCTCAAACTACTAAACTCTGGTCTAAGCAAACAAATTTTTTTTCTCATTCAGGGGGAGAGTGTTTGGGAGCGCGGCGCAGTTTCACAGAGCATTGCACCGAGTGAACTGGTTTACCCTGTTTGGAAGGGTGCGCCCTGAGCAAGGTGAGTGCTGAAGTGAAGGTGATCACGCGATGAAAATGTGGGCCTTGTTGGTCCCACGGGTTTACATTTGCCTGTCACAACTCAGCAAGCATCGTCGTCACGCAATATTGTCACATTTTAAAATAGGCAGTCATTCTTTGTCTTGCGAAGCCATCAGGGCCCGTACGGAACGGACACACTCGCTTGCCCACCGCCCTGACAGAGGTGAAGCCTTTGAAAGTGCCTTTGTGTCGACGGGTATCGTGTTCTGGGCAAATTCTTTTGCGCCACCCTGTGCGCGTTCTGCCTCGTTTGTTTCTGCTCCGATTCAAGGTTTCAAAAGTTGTAGAGTGTAAAATGAAAATACCTTGCATTGAAAAAATTAAATGCATTAAGTTTAATGTAATTACTATCTCAAAGAATAAAAAGGTTAAAATTTACATAGTTTAAAACTGAATAATAAATTTTTAAACTAAACTCTGTAAAATACATAACGAGCAGTGGAATAAAATCCATACAAATATTATTTACCTTTAAATTATTTAAAATATTAAACCCAATTTTCCATAATCAACTCTATGAGCTATGAATTTGATGGAAATAATATTTTCGCTCCATAATACTTGTAAAAAGTAAAATTCTACTCCCTCTCTACGCATATGATGAATCCCTTGCTGGCCAACACACCGCGGCACTTGACATGAACCTGAGAGCGCAGCACCCATCCCAAACGCCATCCAGCGCCGAAAATCTCACTCACTGTAGTATCAGGCAGCAAGTCTACAAAATTAATGAAAATATTGATTGTCACTTAAATCTTTTTGAAATTTTTTTATTCTTTCTTACCGAGAGGGTCGTTGTGAGTCAGCAACTGGACATTGTTTTCTTTCGTAAATGCCTGAAGTGCGGGAGGAACGACACAGCAGGTGGCCAAATTTATCTGGACAATGCTTGGCTTCACCTGAAGAAATAAAAATAAATAAATACAAGATGGAAATTGGCAGTCGTAATTTTTCATTCAATTATAGAACAGGAAAATCTTAACATTTCCTTGTGATTTTAACACATACTTTAGCATTGTTGTGAAGAGTGACGAATGACTCTGTGTCGATATCACTGACCCCTGCACTCAAAACCCGACCACTGTCTAGCTCTTGCTCAATCTGTTTCCACAAAGGTTCCAATCGAGACAGCTGCTGCTCAGTTTCAATTCCCTCGGCTTGTCTACCAGCTTGACTCAAGACAAATGACTCAACATGAGGCGTGTCAAGTTCTTTCATGACTAAAATACAAATTTTTAATTGTTTTCTAGAAAATTGGATATTGTGATTGAATACGTTTCGACAGGGCGCTTGAAATCATGGTGACATCAGTCGGTGCTCGCACTGGCAGGAACATCTTTAGACCAATCTTTAAATCTTTCCTTTCTTCTTGAACATCTAATGAACATTGCTTCCCTCGAACCTACAAAAAAAATCAAAATAAACAATTAAAATATTAGTTAATTGTATGCAATCCTTAAATAATGATATTATGTATAACATCTAATCTCTGCATATTTATTTATTTATGCATAAAAAATGCAGTTAAAGAAATTAAAAAAAAAAAAAAAAAAAAAAATACCTCAACTACTGAAGTATCGCTGCCAAGGTTTCCGTTTGATGCAATCCAGTCATTCAAAGTGATTCGCAGACTTTCAGTAACCTGTTAAGAGTGAAGAGTGAATTTCAAAATTATCTCTGAGCGTACAGAAACAGCACGTTCGACGGTCAAATTAAGGACAATTCCAACATTTTTTTATTTGTCTTACCTCTTCCGTGAGATTTTGTCCGACTTTTTTCTTAACCTCGCTCAGATTGAGAATGTTGCCAGTGTGAATGATCAAGTGTTTGGTCTCGTTGCTAAATTGAGGAATCATGATTCGTGCAGATTTTAATTTGCTAGTCAAGAATGTTTAAATGGTGAGATTTCCGGGTGTTGACAAAAATCCTCCAAAACACGTCCAGCTGATTATGCAATCCCACTTCTGTGACACCTTAAGCGGTCTCTCCTTTGCTATGTATTCCAAGCTTCTGTACCCGTTACACGATTCAGACCTGCTATAAATAAGTTAAAAAATTTATGCGTAACATGATAAAATGACTTGCATTTCCAGATAAGAGGAAAGAGATAAGAAATTACTCTAATGTTATCAATGGAACGTAATTTTAAAGTGAGCGCTCTTATTTAGCCAATCAGCGAGTGATTCATTATACGACGACTAGCGCAGCTTTTTCATTGGTTGGCTACTCGCGCCAATATAAAAAATTGTAAACATTCACACATGTTATTTCGTTGTGCACATGTACAGCTCCCAAAAATCATTTATAACGAACAGTATTTACCGATATTTTACCTTGAAAAAATAGAATAATCTGGCAATGTTCATTGATAAAAGATACTTGGGATGAAGTAGGTTAAAATGGATGTTGACGAAGTTATGAAAATATATGAGCAAGGAGGCTCAGAGGATGAAGAAAAACTGCTGAAAATGTTGAAAAAAAAGGTAGACGAGGCTTTAGACAGAGGATTTCACCAGGGAATGCATCACAGCACATTATTTGAGAGTACGTGACTTTTGAATCTATTTTCTATCTCTTGGGAAAGTTTACTACAAAAATATAATCTATTTAGCGCTGCACAAGGAAAAGGCGATTTTGGAACTGCACACTGGCAACAACGACAAGGCCATTGCTTCGTTTCTCGAGTCATGCGGCTCCTCAGCAAGACAGAAATTTTGCAGCAGGATGGACGAAACAAAATTGTGAGATTTTTTTTAAACTCTATCCGTTCTTAATAATCCGAGTAATTTATTTCAATATGTATTCAGCCCTCAAACAAAACCATCTTCGGCTAGTGAGACGTCTTCAGAATTGGATGAAATAATACCGAAGGGATTTGACGAAGAATTGATAAACTTCTCAATGGACCCAATGGATTTCAAACAGCGTTTACAAAATTTGCCTTCAGACTGTGTCATTGTGGAAATTTCGGAAGTCTTTCCAGGACAGAGGCAATGTCCCCCCGAAGTCAAGGCTAGACCCCTTTGCGTTATTCGCTGCAGCTGTGGAGAAAATACCGACTACATCAGCCAGTGCATTGCGAATCCCCATCCTTTGCCTGCTGCAAGAAATTCAGATATTTTGGTTGAACTCAAGTCAATCATTAAAGAGCACGCAGCTCTGACCACCTCTTTAATAAGATGCAATTACAAAGATGATAAATTGCTCATGGAGGAGCGGTTTCAGGTATTATTTTCTTACTTGAAATTTTTTAATATAACCTAGTTGCTCTTCCACACAGATTGTCATGGAGGCTGTTCGAGATTGGCTTGGGCCATGGAGAAGTATGTTCTTGGGAAGAATTTTAGACAATCACGTGCTCAAAAATTGGGACAAGAAAATTGGTCAGCTTGCAAGCAAGCTAGAAATTGTAATTTTCAAAAACTACGTATACCTTAATAAAAAGTGCTGTTTAAATTCAGGCTGATGCGGACAGAGTTAAATTCTCCCTCCTGGCGCAATGCTCGAATATCTTCACCAAAGTGGATCTGGTGCAAGGTCTGCAGAAAATTATTCCTAAAAATAGCAGCAACAAAGCAAAATTTATATTGGATGCTTCAAAACAAATGAAAAAGCTCTCGGAGGAGTTCTTTGGTACAAATTTAGAGTCGTTTACGGAAGTGGAGAGGCACCCGGTTATTCTCATTGCAGACAAAGTAATTGACAATGAATTTTTTTACATATTTGAAGTATTCCTCTTTAGAGCGTCTTCATGGTACCATGGGAGCAGCTAGACATTCTCCAGACCCATCCTATTTCCAGAATGCCAAGCTTAGCCATGACCCATGCAGTTTACATGGCACCAAGATCCCAGCGCAAACTAGACTCGCGCTCGGCCTTCTTTGTTGTCGATCCAGACAAGAATCTCCCAGCAACGTCCAAGAGACTGAGACCTGTTTTGAAGGCAAGAGAGGAGTGGATAGGAACCATTGCAGAGCTGCCTGAGAAGCCTATCATTGCAAAGCAGCTACAAGAGAATGACATTTACATGTATGATTTAAAATAATATTATTTAACACGCTTTTTAATTTTTGAAAATCCACTTCTATTTTGTTGTAAGTTAAATTGAGGAAAATATTTGTTTTGCTTTAGTTACTGTGGCCATGGTTCCGGCTCCCACTTGATTGACTCTGATCACTTCAATCCGGTGAACTCGGCAGCAATTCTCATGGGCTGCAGCAGTGCCGATATTAACAAAATTGGCATCCACTGGGAATCGCAGGGTGCCCCATTGGACTTTCTTTTAGGAGGAAGGTAGGTTGATTCTCTAAAGAATATCTCCTTGGCATTTACTTTTGGTTTGTAGTCCTGTTACTTTAGGGATGCTGTGGATTGTGACTGACACGGACACAGACAAGATGACAGTACGCATGTTGGACACTTGGCTTCCGCCTAAAGACACAAGAAACACTAAATATCGGATGGAGCTTTGTACCCAGGACAAGTCATTTGTGAAGGTTTTTGAGGACCTGACCCCGCAAAAGGGTGTTCTGAAGGCCCTACGTAGTGCCCAGAAAGCTTCTACTTCACAAATTATTGCATCTGCTTTTATAGCTCATGGAGTGCCTGTTTATGTAGGGCATAATTCTAAGTGATAATTAATGTTCAAAAATAGGGGCACGAGTACGTCTTTTTTTTTTTAAGTATGTTGCAAAAATAAATTCATAAATTGTCCATGTTCATTAATATTTTAACTTTTGAGGGTTATTGGAAGTTTAAAGATCACAAGATGATATTTTATTGAGACAAATATAATTTATTCTATGAATTTAGTACAATCATAATAAATTTTTTGAAATAATTTGATTATAATGTATTTTATTGTTACCGGATTCGATTGGTACAGTCATCACAGAAATGATTTATTCCGAAGGTTGCTCGTTCAGGCTTATCACACATTCATCATTTTGCAAAAATAAAATTTTCATGCAGTAAGTTTGATCAAAAAATAATATGAAATAGATTTCCACAATAAACAGCGAGTTGGGTTGATAAGTGAATTAACCTTATAGATGATTAATAAGCTAATTGTAGAGTTTACATAATTGATCTGATCATTTTGATGCAGGAAGTTGATTTTTTACACACTGGGCAGATTATACTTGGGAAAATATTTTAATATTTGATTTAACTCAGCAGTCAAAATTGAAAATAATATAATAATTCCCTTGGAATAACTTAATGGAACAATATAAATTTAGTAAATAGCAACAAAAATTATAATATAAGAAATACAAACAACAATTACATTTATATGATCTTATTGATAGTACTACAAAGAAATGTGAAAATGGCACATCAGATAGAAACTAAAAATGCAATTAACTAGTTCAAGTTGCTTAAGAAACACAAATCACAAGTTATAGAAATAAAATATAGCAAGCCATCTGCCCTTGGTAGTTTGTCTTTAACTAATTAAGTGCAAAATTAAAGCTAAAGAGAGCATATTATGAATTTTGAACACATTTCCAAATAATTGATCTAAAGGGAGGTCAAGTTCAGGAATTTAGCTGTCTTGCCTCTTGTGCCTGATGCTTCCCAAATGACGACAGTTCCATCCATAGCTGTGGCATATAGATGCTGTGCATCAAAAGAAAATACCAAGCTGCAATGAAATAAATTAGTCTAAGTTTAAAGGAGAAAAAAATGATCAAAATATTACTCAATTATAGAGGTGTTGATGTATTCACTGGTAATTTTCCTCAGTGGTGCAAGGTCCCAAGCATTCCAAAGTCTAAATTAATCAGATGATTAGTATTCAAAATTATGTTCATAAGTTTCTTTTCACACCTGATTTCACCGGAAGCAAGCCCAGCTGCTACAGCATTAACTGCTAATCCTTCCTGCGCACACGAGAAGCAAAGTGCTGTGATCTGTTCTTCACAAGATATCGACCCTACAAGTCTGGCATTGACTGTGTAAAGGCGCAGGACTGAACCAGGTTTTGTGTCAACTAATGTCGTTTGAGGGCCAGACAGGACAATATCTCCGGACACGTCGCTGACAGCTACTTTCTGCACAGGTCCACCAAAGTTTTCAATTGTCCTCACATATGATAGCCTGTATTGAAAAAAATTTAATAAAAAATGACACATATATAGAGGTGAAAATATTACGTGTTCAAATCCCAAATGATGGCACTGCCGTCTTGGCTTCCGGACACGGCCACGCTGTACGCAGTGCACAAAGCAAGACTCAGAACTGGTCCTTGGTGCCCCAGTAGCTGCACCATTTCTTTTTTTGGGTCAAGCTGACTTTTGGCAGGTTGAAAGTTGAAACGCATAACCAGAATTCGCCCCGATGACAAGGATATCCAAAGTTGCGGAAGATCAGGGGTGCTTGCACACATTACAACTGGGTCTAGGCAGGGAGTTTGGATTAGAGGGACGGGAGGCTGCTCCTTGCGCATTTTGGCGCGAATCACTCCGTCCGAGTGCCCCCAGGAAATAAGAGCGGCGCCCAGAACGTTTGGTGTGCCCAAGAGGCTGCCTCTTCCACCCTGGTGTGCCAGCAGCAAGGATGTGCAGGGAGCCAAACCAAACACATCATTCGACCTAAATTTTGTATAAAAAATTATTCGCCAAAATTAGGCGCTTTGTATATTTTTTACCTGAGAGGAACCAGCCCGCTGACAGGGGTTCTGTGTGTATGTTTCCAAGCAACTTTGGGTTCTCCCTCGGCAGGCGAACCCACATAGCTGCCCCAGCGTAGACTTTGGACGGCACCGTTGAACGGAGGTGTAAAGCTGAAGTTGCCTTTTTTTGAATCCTTACTGGAAAGCGATTGGACGATCATGGGGTGAGGTGCCTTGAAAAGCTGCCGTGGCGTTTGGCCATAAGTGCGCACCATTGTCTCCCAAGCCAACCTCTCCAAGGGGTCTTTAATACTGGTCACGTCAAAGCCGATGTAGGTGGCAGGGTGGAAAACATTGATAGCGTCTACAGCTGCCTTTCCTGTAGTTTAAAATATTTAAAATTTAAAATTACAAGATTTAAAAAGTTTTCTACCAGTCTGTTTACATCCAAATACAAGGTCAATCCAGTGAGGAAGATTTTCACGCACATAATCAGACTCGAGTGCCTGTCTGTGAGCTAAAATAAAGCTTCGAGGACTGCCTTCACACCACGGAGGTAGCTGCACGTGGTTGACACGCTCTCCATTCTGTCGAATGCCCAAACTGAATCCCTCAGAATTGAGCAGGAACTCTGGCAGAAAGAAAAATTCAGGTATCAGCTCCTTGACATCAGTCGTTGAGTCCGAGCTTGTCAATCGCCACGTTGTTTTCAAAGCATGGAAGGTACGGTCAGGAATATCAAAATTGTTGTCTTGGTAGGAAAGGAACATCTTTGTAAAGGGTGGCATCCGCACAAGGAAGTGCAGAATAGTGCCTGAATTGGAGTAGTGAGAGCCATAGTGGAAGGGTTCGTGATTGAGGGAAATGGTGCTGAGACCTCCCTGCAACTCTTGTTTCAGGTAATTGTAGGTGTCAATGTAATGCTGCTCGTTTTTCTTGTCCTGGACGGCCATGGGTTTTTCAAAGTTGCGGTAAATAGTGGTGCTGGCAAGATCAAGTCGAGGACTGACGTAGTCAGACAGGACAAAGGGGAAAACGGGGTACTGCATTAGATCGTTAAAGCTGCGTCCAGCCATTTTATTTAGCTGTATGAGGTACTCAAAGTTGGAAAGCAAGCCATCACGCCATAATTGCATGATGCTGTTCAGGTTTTCAGCTGGAAGAAGGTTTGGGAAGAGGCACTGAGAAATCACCTGAAACAAATTTGAAACTTAAGTATAAGAAATTAAATTTCTTTACTTTGTGTTCAACTTGCCTGCAAAAATTCATCTCGTTGCTTAGAGGATTGCAAGGCCAATAAATAAGTTCTTCCGTTTGCGAGGAAAATTTCAACTGCCCGTTCCTGTAGCTGGAATCTCCTTTGATGGATTTCTCGGACGTCCTCAAACTGCCAGGCCATGGAGGAGACTTCTAAGGTTGCGTCAATGTCGTCGGACACAAAGTAGAGGCACGTCTCGCCAACCAACATTTCTCCAGACACTTCCTGCGCAGGTGTGACTACTTGGACTGTCGTCATGTATCTGATTTTCTCGTTGGTGTGAAGCCGCTCAATTAGCACAGAGGAACTGCCTTTTCCGTCAATATCAAAAAGAAAACTTAGAGTTGATGGCTTGTCAACTGATTCTACTTTATAGAATTAAAATTAGTGTTAATTGCAACTTTATCAGCCAGGATAACAAACCTAATTTCTGTCTGAATTCAGGCATAAAGTACCGATCCTTGATTCCCAAGTGGCATCGTTGGAGCCTTTTTCTAACTCGGGACGGTCCTTCTGTTGGGTCAAGTTGCCAAGACCTGTTTTAAAATTTGTAAATCTTCTTGTTGATCAAATAAACAGACAACAAATACCCTGGGTATGATTCAGGGAAAAACCAGACTGCCTTTTCATGAGTTAGCTGCTGCACAATGCTGTGCCACTGAGCTCGCAAATGGACACTCTCACTTGTTGATGCTTTGATGTGCTCCATGAAGGCTTTTCTCTCAGCATTTTGTGCTTCTACGGCAGCTCTTGTAGTGACCATGGCAGACTCTGCCACTGCTTTGGCCATTTCTTCTAACTTTGTAACAGCTCTGAAAGTGATATAATTTTTACTGCCCCTTTTAATGCTTTTAATAAGAAGACATACCTCCTTTGAGAAATCTCTTGCTGTTTGCCACTGGTTTGCCTTAACCTATCAATCTCTTCGTGGAATAAAGCCAACTCTTCCGACCAAAGCACTGGGTCTGATGGGGTATTTTTTACACTGATGACACCCCAGGTGGTCATTTTGGATATCAAAGTTTCACAGACTTTGATATCTGATGAAGTTAGAGGCAATCCCCTGTGAGGCATCAGGAGGTCTCTCAAAAATACTGAAAACCTGTGTTCCACCTACATAAATAAATTTTTCAATAAAAATTTGTTGTAGCTATTTAAGATTTGAGTCCATACTTGAGTATTTAACTGTAGGAGAGTAGTCAAAACTTCTCGACATTTGATCTCTCCATGCAGAGTTGCGACAACAAACATTCTTATTCGCACTGGCTGACGAGGCGACATCATAAACCCAGCCAACTGACCCAAAAGCACCCTAATTGTATCCCTCGCTGCCCACACAGCCCCTTGCCATGCAGTCCGCGCTGCAGGCCGCGGCTGCTTTTCAAGGGTTGAAGCAAGAGCTCTGATTAACAGAACAAGCAAAGAGCGAGCAAATCCATTCTCAGACTCACTCACTTTATAAACACCATTTAGGGGCTCTGAAAAATATTCAATATAATAAAAAAAACTTATTTTTATATTTATTACTTACCAACACCTGTTAAGAACTCCACAGATTTCTGAATAAGGAGTTTAAAGCGCTCGTTGATTTCTCCACGAGGAACATCTTTTAACTGGCCACTTAGTGTAAGTACTTGCTGGGCACTGACAGTTCCAAATGCTGTGGGCAAATCATCATTGCTTGCAGATAGCACTTAAACAATTTTTTAGTCAAATTGAAGTCAGATTAAACATTAAACATACTGCTGGCTAGAATGGTTGCCGAGTTTCTTGTTTTGGAACTTGTTGCACTCATACAGGCAGATGATCCTCTTTCTTGCAATCTTTCCAAAGCACCTTCCAAAACAGCACTCTGTGCGTCTCTCATGGTTTGCGCACAGCGCGAAGGCCACCCGCACCTCAGCCTTTCTTGCTTTTCCAAGTAACCAATCTGCAGAAGCAGGTCCAAAATAACCTACACTCAGCCAAAGTGTTAAATGAGAAAAAAAAATACTATAAAATTTCAAACTTGAAGGTTTGTGGAGCCAGGCTGGCCGATAGCTCTTCCAATGATTGTCACAAAAAAGACGAAGATGTCACCAATTATTAAATCTTGCTCAGACACCCCACACAAGTCACTGTGATCAGGAGACAAGTGAGCAACAGCCAATAATGTGTGACCCATTGTCTCTAATAGTCCACATTCTAAAAGACCTTTGTATGAATTTTGAACCTGAAAAATTCAAATTAAGAGATGTTATTTATACATTTCTTGATGAAATTACCTTTGTCAGAATTTCTCTCAAGAAAAAAACAATGTTGTGGCACAAAGCAGTGTCACAAACTGATCTTGGTAGCAAAGAGAGGAGAGGTGGGAAGCTGGCAAATTGAAGAGGTGTCATGTCCTTCAGCGACCAGAGTTCCGTTTGTTCTTCCAGGCTCACCTTCAGAAAAATAAAAATAATAATAACAAAATTAAACAAATTTTGGATTGTACTTGGCATCTAGTGATAAGTGCAATGCATGCTTCAACAAGCTCTGCTGTTGCCTCAAACTGACTGAGTTGATTTGCCAGCAAGTAAAATCCCTTCATTTTTAAAAATTTGTTGATCTCCTCATCAGTTGCTCTTTGCAAGTAGGCTGATAGCACACGAACAACTGCTGTCCTGACTCTAGAGTCAGCATGGTTAGCCATGGCCAGCAGCATGTCGGGACGAACAACGTGATTTAACACCTGAGAGATCAGTTAATTCATCAGAAATAATTTGAGGCTGTGGGAGAAATAGTCAACTTACTTGTTGGCTCATGCTGTCGGGTAAGACCAAGATTGTATCCCTAAGAAGGAGAAGAAGACCCTCCACAACAATAAACTGGCAGTTTGCTTTTTCCCCTTCAATATCATTTTCCTTTAAGCCAGCTTCTGCATTGAACTTCTCCCAGTTGCTCTTGTTATTTTTCAATGCTGAAATTCTTCCTTCTTCATCTTCTGGCATATTGGGGTAAAAAGAGAGCCCGGAATCATTGCTGAAGCCAATGCTGCTCATGTCGGCCATATCCTCAGAGGAGTTTTGATCCGAAATAAACTGCTGCTGCTCCTCCACAAATCTATTGCTGTCTAGCTCACCGTCGCTGTCCATGTCGTTTTGCTTTATTTGAAGATTTGCCAAGGCTTTGTTCAATTTCGATGGATCAACAGGCTGGTACGATTCGTTCTTTGCTCTTTTCCTCTCCAGCTCCAAAGCAAATTGTTTGTTGAAATCATCAGTAGCCAGCAGAAAATAGAAATTTGATCTCGCATGACTGACATACGTGGCACTAGCTCGATGCACCAGCAGAAGAAAGTCGGCAACTGCGACTATGTGGGAAAACTCCGGGGGCGCCCCCATCAGAGACCTGACAAGCTCTACCACAGAGCAGCTTACATCAGGGGGCATTGGAGCTTTACAGTCCTCTTTTTCTTCATAGAGAAACTTTTCCTTGCAAAACATGAGCAAAGTCTCGACTAAACGAACTCTATTCATCTGCGCAGCATTGAACTCTCGGAATGGGTGGTCATCTCGAAGAAGAGCGTGGAGAGACCTGAAGAGACAGCTCAACGCGCTAGAATCCCATGCCCTCCAAGCCTTCACTGTAGTTGCAAGCAAGAATGAGTTGATTACAATGGCGTCAGATATGTGGCTGACTGCGATGTCTCCTCCTGGGAGCTGCAGGGGCATCAGAGATCTATCCGTGCAAGCATCTAAACAGGACTTTAGAACGTGGGGCCCTGCTTTGCATTGAGGTGATTCAAGGACTTGCAGCAGCAATTTGTGACATTCTGATAGTTGAGTGAAAAGTTCAGCTTCACCCTGGGCTAGACGCAAAAGAAGGGAAACAGCTTGGGCTTGTTCCGTCTCCGAGCCTCCAAGTTCAACAACTCTAGCAAAGAGCACGAGAAACACCTACAAAAAAATAACGATTTTTTACTTCTGTCGATCATTATTATTATTTCTTACCTGAATACCACCCAGAAGAGATGAAGCTGCGGCAAGACCCTTGAACTGCTGCGGTTCAAATGTTTTGTTAGGCGAAACCAAAAACACAGGGCTTGCTGTAAGTGGTACTTGTTGACTTGCCCTTTGCTCAGTTGCTACCACCCGAAATCCAGATGCAGTGGGCGGGAATAAGGAACCTAAATTTATTTTTATTAAATTTCTTGAATATATAAAAATTAATTAATATACCTGTTGCATTTGTGACAACTTGAGGGTAAATGTGAACAACTTGACAGTTCTGTGCAGAATATGTGAGCAGCAAATTTTCCTGCATAGCTTTCAGATTGCTGCAGGGACCTTCAAGAACAAGGTCCCAATTCAAACCACAGTTGACAGTCTTAGAATTGAATAGTTGTGAAAAATTCGGTTTAGGCTTATTTGCTTCACACTCAGTCAAATTTGTAATATTTGGGCCTAGCCCTGCCATGTACATAGCTCTTTCTCTTGTGAAAACAGAGTTTCTGAACAGCATCAGACCACCGAAGTACCACCTGCCACTAAGAAAAGAATAACTTGTTAACATTTTTGTTCCGACAAAAAAAATAATGCTTACATCTGTCTGTTCACTGAACTTGCAACATGGCCAAGCAAGAGACAGGTGGGTCGACTTTTTCTCACTAGAAGCCCAGTAAACCGAAGGTGGACTGTCATCTCCTTCCAACCGTCTAAGAAGAGTGTGACTTCAACAATGGTCTTTTTGTGTTGCATGAAGTCTCTGACATTGACAGCTAAGTGATGCCAATTGCCTTTGGGCAGGAAATGATTTATCACAGTCTCCGCAAGAATCTCATAATTATTGTCGCAGCGACAAAGTCGTAAACACAACAGCTCAGATGCTGCATCAGCCCAGAACTCCAAAGTTAGAGATTCTCCTCCCAGGGAAAACAGGTGAACAAGACTTTGGATCGATTGGGCCGATTTCATGCTGTCTGTTAGTGAAGATCTTGATGACCCTAAAATAAAATTGCAATGCATTGATTGCAAAAAAGAATTTCAAAAAAAATACCAGCGAACAAAGCGTTATTCCAATCTGAGATTAACGAGCCACTGGTGCAGCTTGCGTTTGAGTTACGAGGAGTGGCAGAGATGACTGGAATTTCTACGACGGCGCATTCGGTTCTCAGCCATAGTGCAGCTGAGAAGCCCTGAGTCCACATGGCCCAGCCAACAGACATATTTAAAGGCAGAGCAACTGCAGTGGAGGCCCAAGAAGAGTTTAGTCCCAATTTGATGTGCTTTGAATGCATGTCATAAGAAAGGCGCTCAGCTTCTTTAGCCATGGCTGGAATTTCATGAACACTGCAGTCTGATTCAGCAGGAAAGCAGAGTATGAAGTGGGGCTGTGGTCGTGTTTGGGCTGCCAAATTGGTAAGTGGAGCCAGCAGAATGTCACACGGAGGTTCCTTAGGTAAAAAAGAAGAAGAAAAAATGTTATAACGGCAAACGGTAATAAATATTTTTTTACCTCCGATTTAAAAAAGCTCAAATACAGAGAGAGCTCCTTTGGTGTAATGCTGTATCTTGCCAAAATTGAAACCAACTCCAAAATAACTTGTTGCAACTCGGCCTTGTCTGGATCTCTCACTTTCAAGCATTTTGAAAAACCTTTATATATAACTTTAAAGAGGTGCAAGATAATTAACCATTCATTTTTACCTGACAGAAGTGAAGCAATGACTCCATGGTTGGTTAGGGTTATGCAGTTTTGAGGACTGTCACGACAAACAGATGTCAGTTTCTGCAATGCGTGCACTAAACTAGGGTTGAGCTCGTCCTCGGAATTTTCATGAAGTTGAACCAATAACGACACCACCAAGCAACACAGTTCTGGTTTGCTGAAGGAGTTGCTTTTGACCGACTGTTGGGGAAGGATGAAACTTAAGGATAGTCGACTTTCAATGTTCATGGCTGTGTCTTCAGTAACCTCCGACAAATACTCAGCAACTTCGATGTCCGCCTCATAGCCTTCATCTGCTGTCAGGTACGAGTTGTCAATGGAAGAGCCTTCAGCTTCTTCCGAATCAGCATTGTTAGTAGGTGGTGGAGTTAAATCGAGTAGAATTGGTGGCAAAGTAGGCAACTGAAATGTTAAAGAACCTAAATATTGACCAATTCTCGCAAAATTATGTCCTCTAAAAATATCATTAACAATTTTAATTCATATATACCAATAATGCCACTTTGGTTACCTCGGGTTTGCTCCTTGCTGGTAATACTTGTTGGTCAAAAAAGTGAGTAGCAGCACAACGGAGGAGCATGTCGCAAATAGCCTGAACATGTGTCCGCCCTCTAGGTTTTAGCACAAGGATAGCTTGTCTGATAGAACTTAAGACATCCTGCTCGTCCCCATCGGAAGCTAAAAAAATAAACAGGAGTTGTTTTCACTCTATCTGTGCTGTTCATTAAAACAATAAACCCTGTTCCCTTTTGAATAATGTTTGGCCTTCAATAGATAAGATTAATGAGCTTTTTCAAAGAGGATTTAAAGTTAGTTTTTTTTTAATCACGTGCCCTAAGACAAGCTGTTGCACATTCTTAAGTTAATGGCCAACTCACCACTACTGTTAGAGTTGATGGAATTAGAAATCCCAAGACAGACAGTCACTAGAGCCTCTAGCAGACGCACCACAAAGTAAAACTCGGAGCCCTTGTGAAAATCATCTAAAATGTTTCAATTTATTTTTTATAATTAAAATTACTGTTTTTGACCCATCATTTTACCTTCTTCACTTGGTCCCCTTACTGCCTGGGTTACAATTAGGTGTAGAAGCTTTGTGGCTTGTGTTGCGAGTTCATGATTGGCCAAGTGATACCTAAATTCCGGGCTGCATGCAGTGAGACTTGCACATGAACGCCAGAATATAGCTGCTGAGCTAATCTGCTGCAAAAACCTATAATACACTTACATTAGATCTCGATAGAAAAATATTTTAAATTCACTAACTGTTTCCTGTTAGGAGTTGGAATATCATTCCCTTGAGCTTCGGACGAGTCTGTGGTCTCAGTAGGACAACCACTATCACTCTCTATGCTGCCATGCATGAATCTGTCCCTCTTCTGTTGTTTTAATGAGATTTTTTGCAGCGAGTTAATTAAAATGCCAGTTGAATTTTCTAGAGATGTTTGCAGCATATCCAAAGACGACAAGTTTCCCCTGTCCTCCGAGGGCTCATTTGTATTCCTCCATAGTTCAATGATAATTGTCACCTCCAGGATGGAGCAGCACAGCTTTGAGAAAGTAGGGATTGTAATCAGTTCAAGGATATTATCCAGACCTCCTCTGTTGATGAATTCTTCGGCAAAAGCCACATTACACAGCTGAGAGGAAAACACTGATAGGCAACATGTCAGGAGAAACTGGCCAACTTCGTCATCAGGATCTTCTAAATATTTGTTCTTCTGGCTGAGGAACGTTGGAAAGAAAACTTTGAACAGCAGTTCTCTCTTAACCACGTTGCTTGTATTTGGAATGACTTTGAATAGGTGCTCTATGATAATGAAGCAGATTTGCAAATCTTGAGATTCAAGCAGGTCTCTGTAGGATTCGAGACATGACCAATTGCTCATGGTGCTCTCTTCAAGCAATGACACTGCCGACTCTTGAAGTGTAGATGTGGAAGAGTTGTCTGTTGAAAACCCTGCTGGAGACAGTAAAAGTTGAAGCATTTTTGAGCCGCAAATTGAACAAGACGTTGATATTCCGGCTGAACTTCCAAGCTCAGAGTATAAGACCTAAAGAAAAATTTACAAATTTAGACTTGAATAAATTTGATTAAGAGAAAATCACCTTTTCTAGTAGTCCAAGAGCAACACTGCTCAACTTGAAATTGTTTCTAGAAACCAGTTCAAGCATTGGAAGTAAAAGGGCTCTCGGAGGTTGGCAGCAGCACGAGCCACAGTGGGTCATCACCTTTAGTGCCCTCATTTCAACCTCAAAGTCACCACAGTTCTGAGCAACCCTAGTTAGCACCATGAAGAGGGTGGTGATGCAGCACGATGAGGACAATGGATTGTAGGACTGGCCCATGAGGTCATGGTGGTGGTGCCGCTCAGCCGTGATGCACTGTTTGTGTCTTGGCCTTTTGCACAGGTGCGAGTGAACAAAATCGGAACGCACCTTTTTAAGCATAGCAATTAGCAAACCAACAAGACTGATGAGTTTCTTTGCTCGGCCAATGTCCACTTGTCTCTCTGAAGTGAGGAAGAGAGCAACAATATTTTCAAACAAGCGACCACCCAGACTGTCTGAAAAAGGCCTGAATATTTCCACAAACTCTTTTGATCTGAAACACATAATCAGAAATTACACACTTGTAAAACATTTAAATGATGAAGAATTGCAAGTAAAATGATTCCTTGTTTATACCTCTCATGTTGCTGAATGGTGGAATAGAATAAGCACAATATTGCGTGGATGCAGCCATATATGAAGTCGCGGCTCTTGGTCAGGTTGCTTTCGTCCAGCGCTTCTTCTCCGACGCTTTTGCGCACAGCATCCTCTAAGACGCGCACAAGCAGAGGAATGGTGCCGTTGTGCATGATGGTACTGCTAGACTCATGTGCACTGGCCACTCGGGAAAAAGCAGTCACCAAAAGGCCAGCCAAGGAACGCTTGATATCATAGTCCAAGTCTTTAGCGCCATAAGATACGGCGCCAAATTGCACCGAGCACAGATGCTCAAGGGCAAATCCGATAGCCTGGACAGAAGTCTGATTGTTCGAGTCCATCGGTTCTGACAAACATAGTTTTCTGATCAAGTCAATGAGCAACTGACAAAACTGGAAAGAACTCAGTTCTGCGTTTTCAGCAGCTTTAGTCTCGTCAGAATAAAAATCGTTGGGGTCAACACTCTTTTTTGCCGATTTAGTTCTCTCGAGTTCATCGTCACTCCGAACGACCGATGTAAAATAGTCAAAGTCCATAGGGTTCAAATGGATACGCAGCGTTGGTGCTATCACTGGAGAATCCCCGTCCTTATCTTGAAAATCGTTGTCCGAGTCACTGGAGGCAGATGGTTGCTGAAATGAGCCACAAGATGACCGCTTCCGTCTGAATCTGGCTGAGCTGCTTGCAGTTGAGCTGGCGGTCGAGTGACGCGCCTGCATGCTACCTGTGGTCCAGTTCTGCATCGACAAAAAGAGTAGGTTGGTTATATAACTTGTTAATGGTTACATAATCAACAGGTTTGGTTAAGAAGATCAGCCTTGAAAATATGTATTGAAATAGAAGACTGGATAGCACTTTCGGCTTTTACATTTTTTAGCAACTGCAAAATTGCAAAACAGCTTCAGAATTATCAATAATCAAAGTGATAATTTGGTGGATCTCGCAATTAAGAATAATATTTTACTTTCATTTATAAAATAATCATATGTACAGGGAAAGTACATGATTTTTAAAATCTGGTGAAAGTTGAAAGTGAACAAGTTTTAATGGTAAAAGATAAAAAGGTTTTAATAATTCAAATCCACTTTATATTAAAATTAATAAATTAATTCATAATAGGGTTCTTAAAAACCAAGATACAAACTAGAATGCATAAATCGGCTAATATGTAAAATTTTAAATGAGATTTACAATAGACAAAATCTCTATAGAGTATAAATAATTATTGATAAAAACATGCATTTTTTTTATCAAAAGTGCCTTGATGAATATTCTAAATTTATTAAATTCACCTTTTGGGAGTGGCTTTGTTTGTAGTTGAAAACAGCTTCAAACTCAACAGGCTGTTCGTCCACCAGAAAGGGGCACGTCTGCGAGGCTTCAGCGCTTTTAATTGGGTCATGGAGGCAAATGGGGTACAGCGAGACGAGCAGGCCGGCAAGTTCACGGCCACAAGAAATTCCCTAAAAAAGCAAAACAAAAATTGATAAGACGAGTGGCACACTTGGCACAGCGCCAACAGGGTTAGCATAGAAGAGTGCCAAGGCTGATTAAGTGACTTTGCTTGCCTGTGTGCCCAAGAGGTTGAGGGCCAAGAGACACTTGGTGCCCCGGCCTTGCAGAAGGTACCTTTGCAGCGGCCTTGTGTCGTCATTAGCACCACCGGGCTGTTGCTGGCAAAGCTGGTGCACATCAGTCAGCAGTTCACAGCTGATTAGGGTGCCAGCCAGGCTGGGAACACTGAATTGAGGAGAAATGGTCGTATATCAATTTTTTTCTTTAAATTAGATTGAACTGAAACTGTATAAATCGATTAGATTGAGAAAAAAAAAGACAAATAAACAACAAGATAAAGTTTAAATAATACAATGAATATTGAATTCAATAATAAAAATGTTCTTCAAAAAAAATTCTTTGTTTGTAAAATTATGAATGGATTTATTGATAAATCTTTAGAATAAAAAAGGGTTTTGTACCAGAAAGAAAGCAACAGCTCATTGAAATTATCGTCAGTGCGGTTTTTGTAGGCTGTCAGCAGCTCGATGAGGAATATTTCAGTCCATTGTGTTTTCTGCAACAAAAATGCGGTATCGCTGGTTACTACAGAGTCCACTCCAGCAGAATACAATTATACTGGTGACCTCAGCGGGTCACTTCCTGGAGCCATCTAATCAAGCCGGGGCAAAAACAATATTATGCAGCCGATGAACTGCACACGCACATGCATGTACTCATTAGGCTAACACATTTTTCCACTTGAACTTAGAGGGCAAGGGTCGGTCACTACTGGCGCCTGCAGCGAAATAATAATTTTCTCCTCTCGCTTGATTTCATTATTAATTAACATGACTTTTGAGCGGCAGCTCATTTTTATAGATATGTCAAACTGAGACGAGTTAGCCAGTGCCTGTCAACGCAGATAACTTTATAAATTATTGCGGTATATAGATTATATACTTTTACTAACGCCAGAGTAGAGTCATTGACCGTCTCTTAGAAAGGGATGCCTACGTGTCTCGTGACAGACCAGAAAATCCGGCTACGAGCCTCACAAAAATGTGCAAACTGTTCACGTTCAATCAAAGTGATCAAAGGTAACCGCAAGTAAATCGGTGAAATGATAATAAATCAATCACAAACAAAACAAGAAATTTATTTGGAATACTGAAATTTTTTTAAACAGTGAAAGAATTACGTAAATAGCAGGTAAATAGAAATAGTAAAAAAACATTATAAAATAAACCAATGAGTAAATAAACCCATCAAATTAAATAATCATGTTTAAAAAAATCAAAACTTTCTTATCATCTTAGGTAATAATTAAGTAATTATACTGATGATACGATTAGTGCAAAATTATCAAACAAACTATAAAATTGTTATCGTTTCTTCAATAAAAATTAAGTACTTAAAAATTTTATAATAACCAGGGTGCCCAAGTCTAGTGTCAATGTCAATTAACCTTTCTTCGTTTTTTCCTCAATTTTTGTGTTGACTAAGAAAATGATAAACAATAATTATAAAGTGAAGAAGAACAGGCTTTGTCCCACTTTGTCCTTGTTGAAAAAATTGTTTTTATTCTAAAAAACTGGCTTTACTAAAAGAGTTTTACTCACAGTCTGCAAGATAAATAAGAAAATCTGCATAATTGAAATATTTTGTTAAACAATAATTTAATTATTTTAACTTTGCTCATATTTTTTTATGTTTTCTTGCGCATCAAATATGGTCGCAGATTATGACCAAAAGTGCTAGAGCCATTTTTTTAAACAATTTTTTTAACGCGCACCAAGCAATTTTCTTCACTTTTATGATCATCTTATGGAGTGACAATATCCTAAATAATTATAAACATTCAGATAAGTAAATCATTTTTAATAAATATATATTTTTATAATTGGATGTCCCAGCTACTATTCATGAAATAAATTGAGAAATTCAATCACGTTTACAGTTTGTATTTTAACAATACTTATATTATTGTATAATGCGAGGTCATTCGCTTTTTAAAAGATAAAAAAAAGCAAAAATTAAAATAAAAAATCGCATGAGTCTACTCACTACCTCGTTGGTTGAGCTTTTGGCCTGGACAAATTGCTCCCATGACGTGATCAAATGGTCACTAACATTTTCCCTGTTTCGCACTGGAGCCATCTCCAGCTCTTTTCACAATATCCAGAGGTCCACTCGAAGCAACATCTCTCATCGAGTTTGATCTGGAAATGAAAAGACACAATTTATCATCGTGACTGACTTTCGTACGAGTTGATAAAAGAAATGTTATCACGCCTAAAATAGACCTCAATTAAAAGGCGAAAGCAAAAAATTATAGTGGCCTACTTTTGGTGTCAGAGCGACAAATGAGCTGAGGATGCGGCAAAATTAAGTCGGAAAATGTGTAAATAAACGAACGAGAGAGAAATACGAGTGGGTTAAGACAGGTCACTGGGCCAGTCACTCTTTAGCCAATCTCAAAGGTCGGCGTCTGCGACACAAGTGCAGACTGAATCAAAACGGGGCATAATAGAGGACGGGCTACAGATTCGATCGATTGGCCCGCAGCAGGTGAGAGAAAAGAAGAAAGTTGACGCGACGGCAAAGCCAAGATTCGTGGGAAGACTAAAACGAGAAATAAAAAGAGACGACGATCATAAAAAAGAATTAATAGATGCAGAACACTGACCGAGCTACATGGAATGCAAAAATCAATCGCCTTGATGAGTCCCTCGCGGGGTCACGTGCTGAAAATTCGATATTTTCGCACCGCCGAGGACGAAAAAGGGGTGTGGCGCGAAGGGACGGGGGGCTTTTTGCGCCGCGAATCACGCAATTGGGCCGAAAGAAATTGCAAAATCGGGTCAAAATAAGGGGGATTATTTAGTTCTGTCAAAAATCTGGTACCTACGTGTGTTTTCCAGTCGAGGGCCGTCCAGATTTAGACGAAACGCCGCATTCTTTCTCGTACACACTCGATCTCCTGGCTGCGTCAAGTGCAAGCAAAACAAGACGGGCTGTCAGGCTGAGCGCGCACGTGATCCAATGAATCCTTCGGCGAGGTCAAACGCGTCGTTCCCATTGGCCGCCGGCGATTGTTACGTAAAAAAAGGCGCCTCTTCGGTCGTTCGCGGGGAGCCTTGAAATCGCCGCGACGACACTTTTCTTCTTTCGTATTCTTTATTACTTTTTGCGGCATTCTCGCGTTTTAAAAGGATATTTTGTTTCTGATGCTTCTACGCAGTTGGTAGTTTTGCGGTCATTTAAGTACCACACGTAAACAACCACGCGCAGCTCTTCATTACGCAATTTTTGCCATTTTTGCAATCCCTTCATGTGCTCTAAAGTAAAATGACAATAATTTAATACAAACGCGTCTCTCAATATCGCGCGCATCGTGAATTTCAAGCTGGCGCACTGCCTATTGTCACGTGCTAAAATTTATTCAAACAGCAGACATATATTATACCTTCACTTTATTGCCAAAACAGGTTTATTTTTAGAGAGTGTGCGTAAAGGTGCCGCGCGAAACTTGCTTTTTTGCAAGGCCGCGAAAGTACTATAATTATGAAATTTCACAGCTCGTTATTTAGACTGTTATAATTTCGATATCAATGAATAACTTTTCATTTGTTCTATTTTATGACTGACATAATTATATCAATCATCAATACCAATGAATTGACTGAAAAAATAAAGGAACATAGTTAAAATCATTATTATTTATTATTGTTGTAGATTTGTGAAAAAGACACCACCACTAGCAAGAATTTTGCTAAAACTTCCGAGATCAAAAAGACCCCTCATCCGCCGCAGTGAGCCTCATAATATTAAAAAGCAAATATATAAATTTTCAAGATAATATCTGAAATTAGGAACTTATCGTATTTAAAACTAAGTAAAAAAAAAGAAAATAGCAATATTATATTCTTGGTATATAATAATATTTTATTACAAAATACTGCTGCTTTCTTGGAAGACGAACCGCATATTGAGATTTTGATCTTTGACTCGGGACTACTTTATTACATTATATATAAACATTTTCACAATGTTCACTTATTATTTTTGCTATATTTTTGCCATCTTCTGGTGTTTTACTCAATTTTCTTTCTTTTTTTGTAGGCATTTGATGGTAGTAAATAGATAAAACTAAAAATTTTAATTTGATTCTCTATCTTTTGGACTAAAAATTATTTTGAATAATTAAAAAATTTAGATTTTTACGCAAATAAATTTTCGAGAATTTAAAATTAGAAAATAATAGGAGAATATATTAATAATGTAGAATAAACAGGCAAGAACATATTTAAGCAAAGATATTGCATTTTTCTGGCATTTCATACAGTAATTAAAAACTAGTGCAACAAAATAAAAGCAATTAATTCAATTTATTTAAATAAATTAAATAATCTTTTTAATTTCAGAGTATAATGAAGGACACTGATGAATTGGTTTACAAAAAAATTGGTATGTTCAATATTTACATTTTAAGACATTTAAATTTACATTTATGTCAGATTCATTCGGATTTATATAAAATTAAATCTCAAATATATGTGTATTTTTTAAAAAAATATTATTTATATTAAGATAAATAAGGTTTTAATAATTAATTTATTTACACACACACAATAAAAATATAAAATTCAAGAATAATAAAATAAATTATTTTTCTTCTGTGCCTTGGGCGGACTCCAAATCGGGTCTATAAACCTGATCATTTGCTGCAATATTAGCTTTGCAGTTTGCATATTCACTGAAGGTGGCCTCCACCCACACTGTGCTCTGCGTGTCAGAGTGATGGCTCATTATAATATCCCAGCGTATAAAGATTAAAGTTTCTCAATATTTTATTTCATTGTATACCGCTTTATGACGGGCTTAAGGACTCCTGATTCGCCTGATTGACATAGTAAAATCAAGTCTTTACAACAATAGAAGTAATTTTTGGCAATTATTGGAAATGTAAGTAATTTAACACACCATTGTTGTAAAGACTTGATTTGACTGTGTCAATTAAGGAGTCCTTTAACGACTATAAATTCATAATATTCATACCCATATATAGATTTACAAAACCAAATAATGCTTTCAAAAGAATATATATTGTAAAAAATTATTATTCGTTGTCGTTGGTCGTTGAAGAATCTAAAATCAACATCAAAACACGGTTCCAATAAACCGCAATAAACTTCATGTGCGACTACGGACTGGGATTAATTTTGTAGGAATAGAGTGGGCAGAGATATAGGATATGTCTAGTGTGTTCAACATTTTTTTTTTCATTTTTTTTAAATGAAATAATATATTTCACAAAAAAATTTTTTTAATAAAATAATAATAAGTAACTCGTAATATACTTTTTAAGCGATTACAAAAGAGATTGGTAATATTTAACTATTATATTATTTTAAAGAACATTTTGCTGTTTTTTCTTTAGCCAGCACAAAATTCAACAGAGGTGTAAGCAGTATACAAAAATGGTCATTTTAAAATGTAAAAAGGGGTATATTTTTTCCTTTTGGAGATATTATAGGGATGGACCAGATATCCGAGCGTACATTAACTAATTAAGCACCTGCGGAAACGATATCACATTTTTATTATTGAAATTGCTTGACAGCGGCCCAGTGAAATTTTTAATAAACTATTCTATTAGATCTAAGTCCAAGAAGCAGCTGCATCATAATAATATCACTTGCTTGACTACATATCTTTTTACTTATGATCATTGTATTTGAATGGAGAATAAATAAATAAATTTTAAGGGGAAAAATTCTAATTTTGTAATATTCTCTCCACAATTTATTTTGCGCTTGATCAAAAAATTTTTTTTATATAGTTTTTTTTTTATTATTTCATATTTTTGAAGACTGAAGAAAATAAATTTATAATTTTATAAATGATTATATATAATTATATTTCATGTGGAACTGGATTTATTGCTATTGCATTGAAACATTATCTGTTTAAAATAAATACAGCACTGCTGCGTCGACACTGACGAGCAGTGAGAGAGCTTTAATTCTTATAGCAGCCACATAACTTACTTTAGCGACGGAGCAACGGCAAATCTATAACACTTGCCAGCAAATGCAATACTTCCACAACGGCTCCAAAATTTTGTCACAACCAAATCAGAGTGTTTGTTCAGTGCAGGTGGTATTTAATTAATTATAAAATATAATATTTAGTTATTTACCTAATTTAATTTATTTATTCTTCCTCATGAGAATTTAACATTTGAAGTGGTTAATAAACTAACAATTTATTCAATAATCATTGCTGATCATTTAAAATCAAAAAGAATCTATATTAATTATATTCTTTTTTAGTCAAGTTTGTTTGAAAATTAAATTTCACCTTTTTATTCAATGTGAAAATAAAAAGAAAAAGATACTACTTACATACAGAATGTCACAAATATTGCCTCCCCCAACTCAAGCCTTTAGTTCCAAATTAAAGGGGCATTGCCAAGAATCAAATATTGAACAGAACATTTTAGGACATTAGCAAATCGTTGATAATCCTTTGGAAATGCCTGACATCTCCGGCCTTGAAACTCTCCAGTGCCTCAACAACATGATCAGGGTAATTGGAAAATTTTAACCCTTCAGGAACTGCGAACATCGTGGCGCCTAATCTATACTTCGCCAGGTCAGTGCACTCATTCTTGAAAGCACCTTCCATGGAGCCTTCAATGACACTCTTAGGGTAAGCCCTGAATAGACCACTGGTGTATTTTGGGCAGATCGTGAGCTTGTCTACTTCGCCGAGCCGACCCTGCTTGCAGTTCCATTCTTGGTAGAATTTGCACGTGATTAAGCTGCCTTTGTCTGGCTCAACCTTTTCAGTCTCTTCTTGGATATACTGCTTATTTAAAGCCACCAGGATATCTGCCTCAGTTAGGATTGTCATGGCTTCATAAAGTTTTGTCAGTCTCGGTTCTCCAAGAATTGGTGATCCAACAACGGGCAATCCAAACGCCCTCCTTGCAACTTCTAGCAGCATCTCATATCTTTCTTTTGCCTCTCTCGCAGCAAGGTTATTTCCACATAAGAATTTCTTCATCTCAGATGGATTTTCCTTGTAAAGTGTACCTAGTTTGTTGGCCTCTTCCTGCCTGTTTTGAATGTTCAAACCCCAAGTTGTTTCCACAAACATCGGAGCCCAACCTTGGTGTATGGGGAAAAGGTCACTGGTAAAAATGTTCTTCCTATTCTTGCCGAGGAAGAACCAGTCCAAGAGACAGTTGAGCTCCTGAGACTTCACATTCATGGCAGTTAAATTATAAGCAAATTCCTCATAAGTAGCCTCGCTCTCCATTGTGGTGCTGAGCTTCTTTGGATTTTCCTGGTGCTTCTCAAAAGCTGACTCACAGTGCTGCACCAACGCCTCCAGGAACTTGACCATGTTCTCCATGGCAGGCGCCTTCTCTCCGACTTCACTTTTAGCCTTCCACATGATGGTAGCAGCCAGAGTTGGCAGGTAGTACTGAGTGAACTGCCACAATGGGAACGGCTCCAGCTGCCCATCCAACCATTTAAAATTTTCAGTCACAATTTGACCCATCAGGTCTTGGATTCTAATCTGTAAAAATTTTTTTATTTGAAATTCTTTATAATTATTTATGAATTTTTTTTCAAATGTACCTGAATTTTGTTAATTGGAGCTGTAAATCCTCTCTTTGATACTGATGTTGGTTTATTGGCTTCAAATGTTTGGAGAAATTTGGCTCTAGTGCACTTCGTCTCTCTGGTTGTCTTGAAATTCTGTGCTGCGTCTTCAAAAGAAATCTCTTCATCTTTCAGATTTTGGGCACAAAGCTGTTGAACGCCAACAGTTTTATCTGCAATAAGGATACCAAATGCATGCATTCTTCTGAAGTAACAGCGTTTGAAATCACTGAAGATAGTCTGATTGGAGTATTTCTGTTCTTCGCCTATCACAATAGGGTTGTTGTACTTGCCAAAGATTTCTTGCGACTCAAAGAAGAGCTCTTCAATTTCCTTTTTAATGTGTTGCTCCCTTGAAAGCAGCATGACATTGATTAAGAATTTTTCCATGCCCGAATCATCAGCACTTCCTTTGTTGGGGATCTTGATCATTTCAGAGTGGGTCACCAGAAGACTGTAAGCCTTAAACACAAGTGAACTTTGCTCATTGTAAATCCCTTCCCAAGGAGCAGGTTTGAGGCCAGGAATAAACTTGCGCAGTTTCAACTCCTGTTGCATCTTTTGAGCAGCAAGAATTTTGTTATTCAGTCTGGCGCACAGTTCTTTGAAATCTATGGCATTGCTGAACACAAATTCTGGCTTGCTCCTCTTTAAATTCACCCAGAATCTGTAGGAGTATACATGTCTGCTGCTCAGCTCAACCAGTTCTGGCTCAATCTCAAAAAGAGTATCAGGAATAGGTTGGACGAGATCTAAAAAAAAAAAAAGAATTGAATTATATAATAAAATATCCATTAATCTCGCATATAAAAATAAATTATATCAATTTATTAAAAATTTTACCTTTCAGTTTTTGCTCTCCATTCCAAATCAACCTCTTGAAACTCCTGAGTTTGGCTGCACCTCTGTTTGCATACCAATCAATGAGAGGAATGCAGGGCAGCAAAACCTCATCCATAATCATCCGAGGGATTTTGGGATCAAAGTTGGGAAACTGGTTAACCATGGCTCCCAGCAGCACATATCCAAAAAGTACTCTCTCTCTGAAGGTGTTGTTTATGTACAGCATGTCTAGCATTGGAGTGACAAACTTCTTGGGAAATGGCCATAGAACAAAATCTTTTACAATGAGGTCCACTGCGTTAGACATATTCATCGCAGACAGGAGCCAGTAGTTGAACTTTGCAGGACACCAAGGCACCTAAAATGTTCAAGAGGAAGTCATTGTAAACACGGGTCACTCAAAATGCCAAACTATGAGAGATAAATGTTTTTCAAAAAATCCCAGCCCCTCCATAACAGTTATTTCTATTGATTTATTTTCCTTACAAAAAATTGGCAAAATATGTTTTAAAAATGTTATGAAATATATTTATTGCATTTGCATAATATATACCCGAGCCACTGAGAAAGGGTCACTCAAAACTCCGAATCCAAGGCCATCAACTTCACAACGATATGGATCTTTCAATCGAATGCAATTCTCAATGCTCAGCATAGATTTCCACATGTCAAAGTCACTCTTTCGGATGTTCACTTTTGGCAAAAGTGTGTCTTGGATGAGTTTCAGCTGGGCCAGAGAGTTGAACTGTGTTAGACGCAGAAGAGTACACGCATTGTTCAGACTATGCTCATCTCTGGCAATCATAGCGGTGTAGAGTTTTTTTACATCACCCCTCGTGAGCTTGTAGTCAATGTACTGAAAAAAGCTGTGGTCGACAATTGTGTGAAGAAAGCTGGCTCTCTTTTTCTCGTCGTCTGGCCGCTTCAGGGCCTCGGCCACCCACTGATCGATTTTGTCCAGCTCCAGCAGGTCCTTGATGGCATCTTCATAGTAGATAATTTGATCATCATCTTCATCATTTATCAGCTCGCCCTGCTCATTGAGGGTCATTGACATTGGTGACATGAAGAACACACGTTCAGGTCCATAACGGGCAATGGCTTCACGGATGGCCTGAAGAGATACATTACGTAAAATATTAATACAAATTAAGATCAAATCAAATGGTGGGATAATTTAATTCATCATTAAGTGGTGTTTTTTTTTCCAGAAATTATTGATTAAAAATATAAAAAATTATATTTTAAGTTTCAGCCTGTACCGAGAGTCTGCCGAGAGTGATAATGAATTCTGAGGGACTCTTTTTCATTTTTCATTATTAAATGACTGCATTATTTCTGGCCGTGGCAAGATTAAAAATATTTGAATATATAAATGTCCTTTGACTGCCTCTATGTATAAATGTGAAATATAAAAATGCTGAACATACCTGTTGGTGTTGAGGGTTCATTATGAAAAAATGCTTTATAGGGTGATAATACCAAAAATTTGTATGCAGGAACAACACGTGTATGATGTACGCTTTTGCCTCGCTATAAAAAGAAAATTAAATATTTACAGAATTGGGCTCCGCAGTGATGAGGAAAAATAATAGCACAAAAACAACAAACATGCATGTTAGATATTATGCTATTTATGTGTGTATGTGCGCTGCAGTATGTTTTAAATACATATGTACATATGATAAATTAATTATACCTTTTACTTTACATGTTAGTTTTTTGGTGTACGCAAAAAAGTAAGAAGAGAAAATAGAGAATAAATTGACCAAAAAACGAAAGGTGTGCGCAGAATTTGGCACTTCATTAAATATAATTAACACTTAATTAAGTACAATTATACTCACGGGGAGAGGAGGTGGCAGCGTCACAGCACTCCGGTGCCTGTTGTCTGTTGGCGTTATTCCTTTCTGTTTTGTTAGACCGGAAATTTCTCAAATCCCTTGTTCTGTTTTACTATTTTTCTAGTTCTTTCATGCCCAGATCTGTTCGGCGTTGCGTGCAGTAGGTTGCGTGTGATCGGCTGTCGGCTGATTCATCCTCGTTCGCACACGAAAATTCCCTTCTCCCGTTGGCATTGGTTTGATTGGTTGGCTTGGCTATTGGCTCGGCTCGGCGCTCGGCCGTATTATTTTTCGCAGACGAAACCAAAGCAAACGTCGCAAACCATCCCTTCTTCTCGCTTCGCTTCTGCTCGCTCATGCTAACAGGAGACACTAGACAGGAGATAACGTGTAAGTATAGAAAGAATAATACATACAACTCACGCTACATACTGCAGCCGCCGTTGCACGTATCCTGCAGACCTGCAGCGCATAGCATTCGCCAGCCGCCAGTCACTCTCATTATACATTTATATTCAGACAGAGTGTATGGGCACTTCTCGTTGCATTGTATGTATTTCGCCGCTTTTACAATTTATTTTAAGTCTTTTTTTTAGATTTTGTATTTGTTGAGACTACTGCGCCTTATATTGTGCTTCAAAAAATATTGATTCAGGATTCAGAGGATATGTTAATGAAAACTGCATTTTTAAATTTCTACTGCATCGCGTTGAAAAGTTGGTTTTTGTGCTTAAGCAAGACTTTTTAAGCGCGTTATGTAATAATTGTGATTAACCCTTAATTCAATGCACACTTTGAGCCTTATGTTTTTTTGTGAAAAATAAATTTTATTTGTATTAGAAGTTTCAATTATAATTTCAATTTTAATTGAAACTTCTAGTTAAAATATAAAATGAATTAGTATTCTTCATTTTTTTTTTATTATGCAATTTAACGATAATCTGATATCATCGCGATTTTCTTATTTCTTTTTTATGTGCCCCTCAAGGAGTTGCCAGTTACCCCTATTGTCATTATCCCCACCATCGCAAACCAATTGACCAATCCCGATGCTGATATTTGAATTTTGAATTTGCAGTGTTCGAACTGCCGCCAGGATTCTTCACTTCCTCCCAAGGTTCCCAGCGTCTGGCGTCAACGGCGTCCGGCGTCCATTTTGTGGTTATCTTTGTGGTTTCGTCTCCTCGACCCTCGACCGCGTTGTGTCAACTCTTCACCGTCTATCGCATCGTAGGCTGGATTCCGCCGCCAATTAAGATTCTGAGGTAGGTTCATCGTTTGCTCTCTGGGCTAATTAATTACAGAAAAGCTTTTTTCAGGGGCAATCGCGACTACCTCCTGTCTGCCTAGCGGCGCAATCCGCCATCATCTAAGAATTCGTTCGGAGAACTAAAGAAGGTAGGTTTTTCAATTTCTAGGATGTGTTCTTCTTGAAATTATGGTTGACTTGAAATTCTGGGCCCTTTGTTTTTATCATAAGACCCAGTCAGCAATTTATATTTCACATTATTCAAAATTATACAAAATATTCACCTATATGTTCATTTTAATTTTTGCTAAGAAAGTAGGATTTTGGAAGATTCGTAGGTTTAAATAAATATTCGTGAATATTGACAACGGAATATATTAAAAAAATAATCACCAATATTTTGTAAATAATTTTTTAAATTTTTAAATGTTTTAACTTGCAATAATTTCTTCAAATTAATGTGGAATAAATTCTTAATTTACTGAGGCAAGATTAAACTTATTCGTTTTTGCCAAATATTCCAGTATAATGCTGAATATTGTAGTGCAATTATATAGACGGCGCTGCATACAATTCAGAAGTGCAGTTGTACACCGCCGGCCGGTGCATCGCCATTTTGAATCCAATCAATTTCGCTAGTTTCGGTTTTGCAGAGAAAATTTGCTGTTTCTGGAGTTCTAGCCGATTGAGTCAACTGTACGCGAAACAAGGTAAGCTGCTCCTCATTAATTTATCATCAATTTTCTTCGATTTTTTTTTAAATTTTGTGTGTCAGGTGGACGTTTAATTCTTTTCTCTAGGGCTTTTCTTGACTCGGGGCAGTGCGTGCTGGCTGCGCGTGACGAATTAAGATTTTTAACCGCAAATCTCGCGCAATGTTAATAATTATTTAATTGCACCATTTATGCGACGATGAATTGAACACCCTCTCGGGCCTCTCGCCACCGTGTGCACTGTGCAGAGGAAAAACTCAGAACAATAAATAATTTATCGTTTCTCAAAATTCTCGGTTGCCAAACATATAAGGGCGATTTTTTTAACGCGGTAGAGAAATTATTTACTTTTACATTTTTTTTAATTTAATTTTTCTAATCAAAGTTGTTTTTTGAGCATTAAGTTTAATTAAGAAAATAATTGTAAAAATGATTTGCGTTATTGGCGCAAACCCTTACATATCATACAATTAGGTGCATTTGAAAAAAAAAGTAATTATTTATTTTATCCACAGATGATTGCGTGTGCCACAGCCACAAAGCCGAGTAAAAGGAAATCTTTCAAAAATTCAAAAGGGCTAAAAGGAGTAGCACACACGTGATGAATAACCATTCTGTAAGGTAAAATACATTTTTTCCCCCAATCTTAAATTCATAATAATTTTTTTTACAGAAATTCTTGATGATGAAGCCATGAGTTTGTGTGATGGCCTGATGAGCCTACCTTCAGTACAGATCAGCCAAGAAGCCCTTTGTTGAAACTCCCCTGTACCTGATTTCGCTACACATTTTGACCTGGGACTCATGATAATTTTGAGGGGACTGAAAATTGTTTGGCCATTTGTCAAAACATGGGTATAAGCTTGACAATTAATACGCTATCGTGCGCACTGACAAAAATGGTGCATAATTTGTTATGGTTATTCTGCTAAATTTTTGTGTAATTGCAAAGTTTTAAGGACTCTCCTTATTGATATAGTCAAATCAAGTCTTTTGACACAACAGAAGCAATTTTTGGCAATTATTGTAAATTTAACAAACCATTGTTGTACAGACTTGATTTGACTATATCATTAAGAAGTCCTTAACTGAATGAATGCCACAAGTTTTTTGTATCTCAATAATAAATTTTGATTAATTGCAAATAATATTCAGCATTATTTCAGTTATAATTCCTTTAATTGAAATGAAAATATAAAGCAGTGAGGGAATAAAACTGCTTATAATATTGCAGTAATATTGCTGAATAATATGTGAAAATATATTCATACATTATTCCTGAATGATGAAAAAGCATTACATTTTCTAATTTTGAATAATGTGGAATAATTTCTGAAATTAATTTGAACATATTCAAAATTATTCAGGAATATTCAGGCAAAAAAAATTGCTGGTTGGGGATGGTCCAGAATTGAAAGGAAAAGTGTGGCCGCAGAATCGAAAGTTAGGGGCCCAGAATCAACGCACAGTCGCAAGGATATCGAAATTTCTTAAATTGATCCAATTATCTGATAAATTGTAATTAATACGAATAGCATGTCCAGAAATTGCTTAAATAAGGTTATCCCTCTCATTTTGTATACAACCAAATTCCCCGCTGTTGTAAATATTTTGAAAATTGCCAATTTAAAAAAAGTGGCCCAGAATTGCAAGTCAAACATAATTTTTTCTGAATGGTGAATTATTTAAAGTAAAGCTTTTATTAATTTTCAGGTTAGCTCAAGTGCATCAACACTTCATTGTCTTTCGTCTACACGAAAAGAAAAAATGCCACGCAAATCGAAAGATTTCTTCATGGTCCCAGCCACTGAACTTCCTGGTGCCATTCAACAACTGTATGAGGGCATCACCGATGGAGGCCACATTCTTCTCCACCCCAACCAGGAAGAGTGGGTTGAGCGAAACCGGCTGGAAGCCGACTGCATTTTCTTCGAGGGCAGGTTGCTCGACACCGGCAAGGTGACGACCTTAGGGCTCATGGGATACCAAATTGGTCCCAAAGATCTCAAGCTCAGTGTGCTCTGTCCCAACTGGCAGCTTCAAAACCTAGGAGCTGAGAACCGCAGCAAGATCAGGCTTCGAGTTGTCAAGCTGAAGCCTGTGACTTTGGTTGCATTTGAAGCTCGAGAACTTCAAGATGCAGCCCTGGGAAGAGAGGCTGTGAAAAGCTTCCTCAGAAAACTGGTGTCAATTTGCAAGGGAGATGCAGTAAACCTGCTGGTTGGAGACACCCTCACTTCCTTCACAGTGGTTGAGACCCAGCCACGAAACAAAGTCAGGCTGACCCCTTTTCTGTTGGGAGATGATCCAGAGTATCAATTGCTTTTGTTTGGATCTGGTGACCATCCTCATCAAACTGAAGCGTTAGTTGAGGAGGACGAGAGCAATGGAAGTTCCGGGAATACTTGAAGGATGTGATTAGTGGATCTATTGAAGCTGCCTTTAAGTTGGAATGTTCTAAGCTGGCCAAGTACCGTGAAAGCAACAAAGCGTTTGTGGTACCCGCGGGACTTCAGTTTTCAAATAATAGGTACCCCGATAGTGTCTCAACTGCCTTAGACACTTTCAAGGTTGGAGATGTTGAGAGCTTTCAAGCAGCTGTTAAAAGTCTTTTAGAATAAAATCTTCAAACAAAAAACAAAGGATTTTTGGAATTTCTATTAAGCATCTTTCTTAAGAAGATGCATATTTATGAATAGAAAAAAACAGGCTTTTTCTGGCTGTTAGATATAATAATAAACATTATGTAACACACGGCAAGAAAAATGTATTTATGTCTTATATTATAATCAGCTACCGCGGCAGCCGAGGCTCTTTTTTTGATGTCAGGCGACTCGGGCGTTTTGGCAAACATCTGCCTGCTGCAAACCATTTCGACTTTTTTCCCGCAATTTAAAATTTCGTTTTGGCCGAAAAGAATAAAAAAATAATTATTTAGTAGTAGAGGTTAACCCTTACACGGTTAACATAATGGTCCTGTGGAAAAACAGTCTTCATTTGTCAAACCATCACCCTAGCGAAAATTAAAATAATCATTTTCTTTCATGAAAAATTGAAACCGGGCGAACCTCGTTGCAAAGAAAAAATGAAAAAATATAAAGGACAACTGACCCCAAAGGCGACCTGCGGTCTGCTGGTACTTTTTTATCATTTTCTTTCCTATGCTTTTATTTGCCGCTCACGCGCGCTTCTTACTCAAAATTTACTTCCAGCGCCAAATTATCCTCTAGTGTCGATCCCGTTAATGAAAGACATAAACAACTTTCAGGAAAAAGACCGGCTCCCAAGCAACCACATCAAAGATATCATCGTACATACTTTTGCTACTTATAGAATTTTTAATAATACCGCATTGATTTGCGTCATGTTTCTGGTGTCATCGTTGTTGATTTTCTTGAATTTTCACTCGATATCATCTGCAGGCGAGCTAGAGGCGGACTTGAATGGCTATGTTTTGTATTGCCCATGCATGGGTGGGAAATTTTTTTTTAAAGAAAGGAAAATCTTTAATAAATAATTTTTTAATTTTCAGGACGTTTTGGCAACCAAGCCGATCATTTTTTGGGCTCCCTGGGATTTGCTCGTGGACTAAATAGAACTCTGGTTTTGCCTCCATGGGTTGAATACAGACCTAATGAAGTTAAATCTGTAAAATAATCACTCATAAGAAATTGCTTAAGATTCTAAAACTATGCTTTGATTGTTAGCATCAAGTGCCCTTCGATTTTTACTTTGACGTAAAGCCTTTGGAGGAATTTCACCGTGTCATCACCATGGAAAAATTCATGCGAGAGTTGGCACCTAAAATCTGGCCTCCCGAGAAAAGAATATGTAAGTGAGCTGCTTTGTTGTTATTTATTAATTTTGAGATAGTATCTTCAGTATTTGTTGTCCTCCCAGGGTAACCGTAACCATTAAAGCACATTCATGTGTTAAATGCATTTCTATCCCACGATAAATATATTAAAATAGAGTTAGTAACACATAATTCCACGCATCCATGTGAAGGCGATTAGTTAAATTAGCATCTAATTTCAAGCGGTCGTTTCTTTGGTTTTAAATTCCATTAAATTAGTTTATTAATATTATAAGTATAAATCGCAAACATTTTTTTGCCATTCAGTTCTTTCTTTGTAATTGAATTGAACAGTCTCATCAAATAATTCAATTTTTGGTATTCTATTAGAATTAAAATTTAATGATTGAGTTGGGAGCCACGGTATGATAAATGGTACTTTGACACGCTTTAAAAATATTTGCTCGAGGCCAGGCTTATGCTATAAAATAATTTAGACTAGAGTGATATTTATCAAACGCATTCGCAAAGCATACAAATGATCAATCATTTTCTATTTTATAGCCTTTTGCTACATGGCCAGGAACAGCATTGCCAACAAGGGTGGCAAAAAGGAAATAAACGGAGGATGCAACGCCAAAGACGGCAACCCATTCGGTCCTTTCTGGGATACATTCAACATTGACTTTGTTGGATCTGAAATGTATGCTCCACTGCACTACGATGTGCACCACGGCAAAGCAGCTGAAAAGTGGAATGAAAAGTACTCTCCCAGCAAGTGGCCGGTTCTTGCCTTCACTGGTGCCCCTGCCAGTTTTCCTGTCCAGGAAGAAAATAGAGGGCTTCACCAGTATTTAAAATGGTCAGAACCTGTTCGATCAGCAGCCATGAGCTTCATCCACAAGGAATTGCCAAATGCTCCATTCATTGGTATTCACCTCAGGAATGGAATGGATTGGGTTAGTTTTACTTTTAATATGATTTCAAATTTGAAAGAAAAGAATCGGTTTTGTTTTACTTTAATGTTACCTGGTAGTGACTTTTTATCAGCTCTTATTTAAAGAGTGAAAAGTTTCATTTAAACTGCTTCTATAATTACTGTGTTTCTGAGACGACAATTATTTTCTGCTAGATATGTAGATATTCATTGAAAATTAATTTCAATTGCAATGAAACATGAGAAAGAAAATATAATTAATTTTTATTCATCTAATGTTCTTATTTTGATGATCAGGTGAGAGCTTGTCAGCACATTCCAGAGACGAGAAATTTGTTTTCGTCCCCCCAATGCCTTGGCTATAATAACGAACACGGAACAGCGACTCCGGCTATGTGTATGCCCAACAAAGAGATCATCATTCGACAATTGAGGCAGCTGCTGAAGAATGGCAATTTTGAATCAATTTTTGTTGCCTCAGACAACAATCATATGTTAAAAGAACTTGCAAATGCGCTGAAGAAGTTCAATGTAGGCTTTTAGTGCACTTTTAATCAGAAGAGCTTTTGATTTTCATTTTTGTGTAACAGGTGGTTGTGAAGAAGCTGGAACCAAGCAATCCCCATGTTGAGCTTGCAATACTTGGAATGTCAAACCACTTTGTTGGAAATTGTGTCTCTTCATTTTCTTCTTTTGTAAAGAGAGAAAGAGATTCACGAGGACTTCCTTCTTCATTTTGGGCATTTCCAGACCAACGTTCGACAAAAAAATCTGTTCGCCATGACGAATTTTAAATAATGCGTGAGTGCAATTTAATTTTTAAGTATAATTTTCGATCCCTTATCACCCTTGATTTGCATATATCACAATTTTTTTTTTGTAATGTTTGAGTCTCCTGGCTCATCATTAATCTCAATAACCATTCATTATTATTCTATTGTACAGCATTAAGAACAGAATGAAATTTTTTAAGTTTTCAACGGTTTTCAAATAGTGGAGCGTTGTATCTAAATTTTTAAGCGCACACATATTAGAAAAGTGGATATTATAGTGGTTATCTATAGTGGCCTCAGAATATTATTTTAAAAGCTTTCAAATTATTTTAACCATTTTTAAGAGGTTCTTGCATTGTTTTACTGAAACTATGAGAAAAAATGGTTCTAAAGAGTGCAATACATACCAAAATATTAACTTTTAGTTAAAAGAAATTAATTTTTTAATTCGACTATAATTTAATCTTTTTGTGTCTCAAAAATTCTGAAAATATTTTAACCATGTTTTTTGGAGCAATAAGAACATTTAAAATTTTGATATAATTTCTTTATTTTTTAATTCTATGTTTGCAATTGAGATTATCCGGCGATTATTCATAGGTCATAGTGTTTTTTCATAACGATAGATGTTGAATGTACTACTTGAGATATTATTACTTCAGAAACTTTTAAACTTTGGCGCCAACTGACTTTGTTATTGTCCCTGGTGTGTAGCGTGGAAAATTCAGATTTGATGTACTTATCGCCATCTTGCGATAATGGCAATATAGAAAGGAATATAGCGGGAAGTGTGGGTTTTGAGGACTTTGGAAAATCTGTAATCGGTAATAATAAGTTATAAGAGTACTTGTGGGATATCTTGATGGGCATAATCCTTGTTTTATGATGATACGTGCACTAGAATTTATCCCAGACCAACCAAACATACAATGCAGACCCGGGAAAAATTCTGCAGCTGTGTTTACATTTTGATCTTATTTACTTTTTATTTTAACCACACAACAAACATTTTTTTTATGTTAAATTGCACTATCCACTAATTAAAGGGCTTTTAAATCGTAATCTCTATACTTGTTAAATTGGTTGATCAAACGTTTTCCTTCAATTTTCAGGCAATTATGGGCTAAGGACGTCCCATCTCGCTGCATTCAATTCCTCAGTCATGGCAACATCTACAGAAGAGAAATCTCTGCTAAGAGGATTTGTCGGTTTTCAAAATGACAACGTCCAGGAAATAAACATTTTTGTGACTGAAGAAGGTGCATCGCTCTCGGAGCGCATAGAATTAGGAGGTATATTAGAAGAAAGTAAATTGGAGGTACCAGTCGTCACCATTCGTGTGCCCGTTGATGCTGACGATGACACTGAATCCTGCAACATTGAGCTAAAATATGTACCAAAAAGCCTTGTCCACGAAGAGATTACCTTGAAAGACGAAAAGCCTACGATCGTCATTAACCCAAACCAGGCGCCAGCAGTCTTGAAACCCCCAGCAAAGGCACCATTACCAAAAGCAATAAAATCAGCAATCACTAGGCCAAAGACCTGCCTGTCGCCAATTAAGCTATTGCCCATTAAATCAAATAAGGTACCTGTTTGGAAACGACTAACGCCGAAGGCTCCAGGGACAGTTTCTAATTTCTTCTACCCCCATGAGATACGACCCAATCGCAGCCGGCTGATTATCGACTGTCCAACAAACATCCCTGTGCCAGAATTCAAGTCGCAATTGGCGGACACTTCAGACATTGTGTCCAGCATGGATCTGGCACCTTCAACAAAAAAGAAAGTAAAGGAGCTCAACACAAACAGTGTTTCAAAATTGTTTGCTTATCCTGGGAAGTGTCATCTTAGTCCTAACCTTCGACGACTTTACCAAAGGCACCTTACAAGCAAATTTACTGACCATGAGCCAGTAACCGACCTCAATCTGCCTTCCCTGGACATCAGTAGTGTCCCACGCAACCCTAGAAAGACTGTTGCAGCCCTTAATGGTGCTTTGCAAAATAAAAAACTTGCTTCTGTTGCTCCTCCAGCAAAGAAGCAGAAAAAGGAAGTCAAGACAAAAGTTTTACCAGAGCAACAACAGCAAGTGGTGCGATTTTTTGTGAAGTCCGATGACAATTCAGAGCCGCAAGAGATTATTGTGCTTCAGGAAGGTGCTGAGACATTGAACACTGACACAATGCAGAGTATAGAGATGATCCTGGCCGCCGCCGAAGGTGAACAAGTTGTGAACTCAAGAGACCAAGTGTTTATTTGCGGTTCGGAGAATTCTGAATTCATTATTGTGCAGAATGAGGAAGTGACTATACCTGTTGGGGTCTCGCATGACACGCCATGAGCTTTAAAATAATGAAAGAATTTAGCAAAACACTTGACTATAGATCTAAAATTACTAGTTTATAAAACAGTCTTATTATTATTTAAGATATTTATTGAAAGAAAAATGAGTGTATGCCAATTTTAAGTTTTTTCCAGGAAAATAAAATTAAACTATATCTAATCTAGGCTATATTTTTTATAAAACCCAATGACTGTGATTGAAAAATAATTTATTGCACTAGTTATAACATAATTAAAACGGTTTCTGCTTTTTAACAGTACAAAACTATTGAAATAATCAAGGACCGGCAATAATTGAACAAAGTACCACAGAGAACACCGGAAAAAGTTTGAAGTTATCCTTAATTAAGCAAGTACTAGAGGATGCAAAAGCGTTGTGTTGAAACTAAAGACTCTTTTGCTGACTTTCCTTGTTGATCAGTCCATTTTTGTGAGGCAAGAAGAATTCGTGATCCTTGTATTTAAGCTTGCTTGGCTGGTCTAATGCCTCTGACGCGTTCTTGATGTCTTGATTGATTGCCTCTATTAATTCGTCTAAAAATAAAATTAATTTAACTTTGCATAAAAACATAGGAAAAGATGAACATACCTAGAGACTTGAAGTCCATTTCTGGTCTCAGGTATCCTACCATACACACTTTTAAAGTAGATCCGTAAAAATCATCATCAAACTTGTGCATAATGTGAGTTTCCTGCATAATAGAGGATTAATAATATTATATATTGTAGGTGCGAAAAGGTTGAATTATAATTCAAATATTATGTAATCATAAAATTTTATGCATATTTACCATCGACTTTTTTTCATTCTTATAGTAGGGATTCCAGCCCACACTCATGACCATCTTGTAAACAGGACCATCATCCACACTGGCCCAGCCATAGTAGATTCCAGTCTCAACCCCAGTCGGAAGGTTTTCGACCACCTCATGAGGAAAATTAGCTGCAAATTATGATTTTGTCGAGTAAATGCACTTTTGCTATTTAGGTGTAAAAGGAGGAAAAACTTTGATGCTAACCTGTGGGGATTCCAAGTTCCTTGGATCCTCTCTGAAACCCTTTGATCACTTCACCCACAGCGAAATGCGGGAGTCCCTTTAAAAGCATTTTGAGGAGCTTTGAAATGCTTTTAATAAAAAAATAATTAAGGCTAAAGATGTGCCGAGATGCTGATAGTGGACTGATGTTTTGGTTTATTATCACACAAGCTCCGCTAGTTTTGCACTACGTGCAAGATCACATGACTCTAAGTATTTTGCTCAACTCCAGTTAGATCTGAATTGGCAAAATAGTTGACCCCAGCGAACCTGAGGCACGTGACTTGCACTGTTGTTTTCCTTCAGGAACTGGGTCAACAAAAACTTTACCCCTCCATCTGCCACATGGTCCCCACTCCCCACCTCTTTCATTCTAACAGCGATTCCCCTTCAAGAGGCGGGTGCTTTGAGCAGTGAAGGGTGACAAAAGAATGAAAATTTAAATCACATCTTTAAAAAAAAATTAAATATTGTAATTATTTGATGAAAAAATCAGCACTAAAAAATAGTTAATACCGGTTAATACCTACGAATTAATATTAAAATGAAATTATTGGTAGAAATTGATATTATTTATTTGATTTAAAATAAGATTCTCACTGCAGCAGAAAACAAAGTAAAAATTGGAAACCGCAGATGTGCTATGGCATTGATAACATGCAATTTCTTTTTAAGTGTCTTAAAAATTTAGTCAATTGTTTTAAATTATCCTCGGTTTCCATTACATTAGCACACAAAAAATATGTACGACTTAGCAAAAAGTGAATAAATCTGTTAGTATGGTTTTCATGGCAAAATGTACAAAACATGTGAGAACAGTTAGTATGAATGCTTTAGAAATTTGTTAATGTACTAATCAATCCATTAAATAGCATGTGACATAGAGTTTGAAGGTTCCACAATCTTCAATAAAGTTTATAAGTTTTATAACAAGGAAGGAATGTAATTATTTTCTGCAAGACCTCTTGCTGTGACCCTCAATGCCGGTTTTGCAGCGCTCAGTAACCTCCTCGGGCTGAAGTTTTCCATTTTCCTTACAATTACCATTGGCACTGCGCTTGCGGGTGGGTGACAGTCTTGGACTGGTTGGGGAGGCTTGCTTCAGCACCTCAACATCTGTCAACACAACCTGAGCACCTCCACCGACAGTTGGCAACACATCACCCTAGGTTTAAGAAAAAAAAATTATTTTACCGTACCAACTTAAGAAAAGTATATATATTTAATTTAGTGATCTAACCTTGTACAGCTTTGTTTCCAGTTCCCCCTCCGAGTCTTGCTCCTGGGTTGTTAGACAATACTTGCTAGTAGAAGGGTCAGTGACATCCTTAGGGTCTGTCAGTTTTGTGACCGACTTCCTACGTGGCATATTTGGTTGGAAAATGGTTTGCAGCTCAAGAAATTTGCTGCTGGCAGTCTGAGGCTTGTGGTCAAGCCAGCGTTCGTTTCCGCAAGCAGAGCGAGAACGTCTGTGCCGTGGGTTGCTGACAGCTGGACCCTGTTCACAAATAAAGTAAATATAATTCATTCTTTGTCTTTATATATAAAAATACCCTTTTGGGGTTTGGAGTGAAAGCGTTCCTTGCATTGGCAGAACTGGCTGCTACACTTGAAGTGCTCAGATCTGCATCAGACTTGGCAGCTGCAAGCCGTGTGACCCTGCCCGTCGGACGGTTGGGTGCATTCTTGTCTAGACCATCAACAATTTGACGCACTTGGCGAAGTTTTTCCTCTTTCTCCTTATTGTCCATCTATAAATGTTTACAAACTAAATGTATCAATCGTTAATCATTTATTTTTTACCTTTAAGTTGGATTGTTCAGCTAAGAATCGAGAGCGCATTTCACGAGCCACTCTTTCCTTTTCGTTCAGCATTTTATCTTGCATTCTTTGCTTAGTGCGCTCGGAGTCCATTTTCTTTTGGTTAAGTTTCAGCATTAGATCTTCGTTCTGAAGGTACAAAATGAGAAAAATAAATCTTCAGATTTACAATAGAACTCAAACCTGATGGTTCAGCTTTCTGATTTCTTCTCGCTCCCCTTCAGAGTTCAGCCGGGCAGCTACAAGCTGCCCCTCAGACTCCACAAGTTTCTGCTCAAGTATACTCCTCCCAGCCCTCTCCTGCTCAAGGGATGCTCTAAGACTGGCATTTTCTTGCTTTAGGCTTATATTTTCCCTTTCAAGGGAAACCAGACCAGACCTCACTTGATCCACTAGAACAATAAGATATTTAGGCATTTAGCATAAATCAATCAACAACAAAATTTTACTTTGTGATTTGTATTGCTGCTGCAAACACCTCCTCTTGGCCAAACGAGATTCCAAGACCATCATTACGGAGCGAATTATCTCTTCGTTGTTGGGGTCTGTAAGCTGTGTGGTAGGAATCGGAAGTCCAAGGCTAAGATATAAAGAAGTTATATTAGATATTTGCGACATCATTAACAAAATTAATATTGACAAACCTGTAGACAATTCCAAGGTCAAATGGTATGGGTTCACCCTGAGAAGCTCCAGTTTCCTCCAATCTCTTGGCTGCTTCCTTGAATATCTAAGCAACGGCTTATTGTGAGTATAAGTTATCACAGGGAAAAAAAGCAATTTTACTTGATTAGCTCTGCGACGTCCAGGAGTGTAGTTAATGTCAGGCCTCTTTGGAGTTGGTGCAATTCTGGTTACTTGAACCTCTTGAGACATTTCAGCAAACTTCATCACATGCTACAGAAAAATGCATTTTAGAGCCACTTCTAATATGGATAAGTTACAAATTACCAAAGTCTCCTCGTAGTCATTTGGATTAGGGTTGACACAAACAACCATCCTGACTTTACCTTCACCATCAAAGAAACTCTTAAAGAGATGTGTAAGGCGCGAATCCCTGAAAGGCACCATTTTGGGAGCCCCATTTCCAGCATTCATTTGATTCTCCCTTAGAATTTCAAAGCACATTCTCAGAGTGAGCAGAGAGTTGTTAATGTTTCCAGCCTCCTTCAAACGTTGCCCCTGAGTCTTGGACCGATTTGTCCTCTCACTTCCAGCCAAGTCAACCAAAGACAGTTGACTGATGGTTATGGCCTCTTTGTTTTGCAGAATCTCTTCCCCATTGGAATCATAAGGGGCCTTTAATTTTATTTGTAATTTTTTATTTGCAAATATTGATTCTTAAACTTACCTTCACAAGACGAATGCTGAATATAGCATGAGATCTACTAGATTCTGCGTTGAGGACTGTGTGTGCAGTCGTCTTCCGCTTCATACCACGGCAGAAAACCTCAAAAGCTTCATTTGCAGAGGTGACCTCTACTTCATGAACACCATGTACATACATAGTCCTACTCCCATCCTCCCTAACAAGCCTTGGTTGAGGATGCCTGGTGATTACAAAAAATCAAATAATTAATTAAATTAAACTCTTTAAAATAAAAATAATGCAAAAGCAAACCTCAGCCGTGCCATGTCATCAGCTGGTTCATCCAACAAGTCATAAACACAGTTGTTGTAAATTTCAACATAAGTCACAAATACTGAGTAGACAAAGTCCTCGTCACTGATTGACAATCTAGTGTTTTCTGCAATTCGAGTAGCAGTTTCCCACTGGGCCAGTCGTCTAAATAAAATGAAATATATTTTTCAATCTTAGTAAATAGTTTTGAATAATAATAAATGGAGACATACTTCCTGGGAGTTTTTGGGTATTCGAGTCTGGTGCGGATAGGCACCTCCACGCTGGCTATTATTTCGTGTTGCCGTTCCTTTGCAGCATCAACATCAGCCTGAATGTCAAATCCATTCATTCGATCAGGCTTGAATGTGAATTTCCTTGCCTATAATGGTAGTTTTATAATTGTGCTATTGTTAATTAAAAATAATGAATCAAACTACCTGGCAGCCACTGATAGAGTTGAAAATCACGTCCAGCGCACGAGGCAAAATGCCAGAGTCCTGGGGTGTGCCTGTCATTGTAAACGTTTTGCCTGATCCTGTCACTCCGTAAGTGAATAAAAGGCCATTGAGGCCTTTCAGGAAATTATCCACCAATGGAAGAGCAACTTTTTCAAACACATCTTTTTGTTGTGCTTCCGGGTCAAAGACACGCTAAAATATTAAAAAAATAAATAAAAATAAATATGTAGCCAATTATTTTGGAAAACAAAGTCTTACGCTAAATTTATATTGGATCTCTTTGTATGTTCCTCTATTGCCGATGGAGCTGTCTGGTGTAGCCAGTTGGATGGTCCGCTCGTCAATGACTTTGATGTAGCCATCGTCAATGACAGAAACTGGACGAATTCTGCAATAGACTTCCACAGGATCTTTGATCACAAGCTTCTCCCTGGAATTGTTGCGGGAAGGCGTCTTCTTACCGGGAGTTCGAATCACCCTTCTGCTTGAAAGATATTTTTAGTGGAGAATTAATTAAATAAAAATAAAAATGCTGCTACAGGGACCAAACAAGCGTGACGGTTTGTTGCCGCCAAAGCAATTTTCTCGGTGAGAATGAATTGAAAGCTTGAGAATAACACACGTAAACACTTACGAGGGCTTCATTTCATCGACTGATATTCGGCAGTGAGGCCGATAATCGTTGTAGAAAGGATAAACTGACGAAATTCCAGAAAAAGTCGGGTGCGGTGCTATGATTCCGTCATCCAATTTTGCCGTTAAAAACAGCCGATTGTTACGCGAGTTTCAAATGTTTGCCGAATGCGCCTGCGCGCTGTTGGAGGTTGGCTTCGTTGATTGGCGGCATTCAAATATAACGCGCGAAAGAGGCGTACCTTTTATAGGAATTTTGTTTTGTATCAAAAATTTTTGCAAATTTTATCAAAACAAGAATTAAAATTTAAAAGAGAAAATAAATGCAAAATTTCATTGATATTTTGTAATATTTGTCTTATCTTGCTAATTTAGTAATTTTATCAATACAATAATTTAAAAAGAAAGAATTTAAAATCAAATCAAAATTATGATTTATAAAACAATCTGAGTTATTATGGTTCAAACTTTGGAATTCCAGAAGTTAAATTTTTTATTAACGATCTAAACAAATTTTGTTTTATTTTGCAAAGTTTACAAAATTTATAAAACTTATTTTGTTTTAAAACTCTTTTGTCTCACACATCACGAAATAAATGTCAGGAACACCAATTTTGTCACCTACCATAATGTTCACACTACATTAATTTAATTCATTTTATCCTTCCGTTCAATATTTAGTAATGTTTCACTACATTAATTTTTAAAATCAAATCTACTTTGGCCAATCGGAATAAAAATAACAATATATATTTTTTATTAAAATTAAATACCCTGTGAAATTGAGATTGTGCCTAATTGATACATAAGTTTTTAATTGAGTCATCATCATTGTGGACTCTTTCCACATCAGAGGCCATCAATGGCTCGTCGACATTAATGTCCTTTAACAAAATACAATCTTTGACCAAGTAATATTGGCTGGCAGGAATACCCTGCGGTTCAGAGACTTTTATGCAGATATCGGTTTCGGGCTCGAGCTTAGTACCCTTGGTGAGGGCTCTTGAGGCAACTAAACTTTTCCCAAGTTTTTGCTTGCAAGGCAACTCGCACTGGAGAAACGACTTTTGCGGGCTGCCCATTGCAACCTCCACCGATCTCACAGCTAGAATTAAATCACGTAATGCTTGCGGCTCCAAGGAACAGGCGTGATCGCTACCACGCAATGATTTGCTTAGGGTAATGTGTCGCTCTAGTACCTAAAAATATTGTCAAGTTTAAAAATATTTTAATTTATTTTAAAAATATAATATGCATTACCTTGGCACCGAGCGCCACGGCGGCAATTGATATTGAAATACCCTCTTCGTGGCAGGAAAGGCCAATGTGGGCTTTGGGGAATCTGGCTCGATAATCTTCCATCACACGCAAGTTGGCTTCACAAGCCGGCGTTGGGTAGGCCGAGGTGCACTGAAGCATCACAAAACTGGCCAGATGCTTTGTAATAATGTTATAAGCTTCTTCTACGACCCACAACTCTTGCATCCCTATAATTTTAAAATTATATTCTGTGCTTTTTAAATTATTTTAATTTAAAATGGATATTAAAAATTTTGAATTATATTTATTTTAACTTTGAAATGCTTTTAAGTACCTGTGGACAAAACTAGGTTTCTTTTCTTCTTTGCAACATGTTCAAGCAGTGGAAAGTTGTCAGTATCGCCGGAACCTATTTTAATAAAAGGGACATCAAGAGATTCCAGATCATCAGCAGATCGCTGTTAAAAAAAAATGGTATAAAATAAATATAGGCATAAAAAGGATATACAAAGGAATTTTACCCAATCCATTGCTGACGCAGTAAATGGAATGCCAACAATTTTTTCTGCATAGTCTTGCAGTTCTTTCATTTGCTTGATATCAAACTCCAAGTGTTCCTTGTGTTCTCCATAAGTTTTTCCCCAAGAATTTGGTCCATCATATATTCTAGATAATGCGTTTGTTGTAAACTTTTCTTTGAGGCAGCTTTTTTGTAGCTTAACACAGTCAGCGCCACACTCCTATAAATTTAAACAAGTTGCGGATTAAAAAAAAAAAAGAAAATCATTTTAATTTAAAAATGTTATATACATTTTCTTCTTTTATTAAAATTTCATTTTTCATCGTGAAAATACCTTTGCGGCTTTTATTAATTGCTTTGCGATTTCAATGTCACCTTGGTGATTTTGTCCAATCTCGGCAATAATAAAGCAAGGCTGGTCGTCTCCAATGTATCGTCCACAAACAATTTCTATATCTTTGGGCATAGCGGTGGCAGTTTAATTATTGCGACTGAAACAAACAAATTAATCAAATTTTTCTTTTTAAAAATTTCAATATCTTGTGCCAAGAAAAATTTCCTCTTATAATATAATTATACATATATTTTTTTTTTATTCATTTAAGTGTTCAAATAATTTATTTTTAAATATTTTTATTTTTTTTTTTAAATTTTTTTTTATTAAAAAAATCAAAATAAAATAATATATGAATACTTCTCTTAGACAGATCCTTAAACAAAAACACTAACATACTGCAGTCCAACTAATAATATAATGCATAATTATAATGCTTTTATCGGCTTTTATTAAACGCTTTTTGCGTACTGAAGTCGCTGCTGCGGTTTCGCGCCATACAATGGTCAATGTAGCGTATTTTATGACTATAACATTTGTGAATTAATATAAAAGGTTAAAAAGTCCTAATGAATAAAATACTTAAAGTTTTATATCTGAGATATTGAAATAGTTATTACTTCTTGACACTTCAATCTTGCTTTTATCTGAGTTAAAAAGATCGTATTTTGACTTAAATTTAACTTCCATCATCACTGCTTCGTCCAATCAAATTTGCGCTTGCCGCTTACCGGCAAAAATCTGCGCCAGCCAATCAGCGCACAGCTCTCATTTCAAAACCCAACCGCTCATCTCGACAACAGAGTAATTTTTGCGAATTTCAAAAAGAAATCTCGATTTTTCGTGTTAGTTCTTTTATTCGGGAACATCGATAGGTGAGGACATAAACCCGAAGGCTCAGGGTTTCCTTTGAAGCTGTAAAACCTCATCGTAAGTCCAATTTTATGTTACAAAATCATAATCCAACGTGTTCAGTCCTTAGACCTAGAGGCTGGTAAAAGTCTCAAATGGGTTAAATTTTATAATCACTATTTAACTGCAATACATCCAAATTATACAATTTGAAGCTGCTAAATATATGTTTATGGCCCATTAATTTTCTTATTTTCTCTACATTAAACCGGATTTTTACATAAACATTCTCGACGAAAATTTTTATTTTTGCCGTAATGGCCGTTCAAAGCTGAGAAGATTTTATTTTTATTTTTTTTTGTCCTGCGATTTTAAGATTAAATCGGTTGAAAATTGAGGTAAGAAAAAAATTTAATTGTCACCCAATGTGACTTATGACAAAATCTAATTTCAGACGATGTTCAACTCAATCACGAGTGACACATTTTATGGAGATAGTCCAAAATTCAGCAAACAATTTGAGACGCCCAAGCCTCTGGACCGTCGGCTCGCCCTTCAGAATAGACCTGGCTCACTGTTAGACAATTCTCGGACCTGGAAGGTGTTTGAGCGGCAGGACGAAGCCCTGCACTTTGCTCAGGACAGAGGCAACGGCCTTCAAACATTTGTATTCCACGCTGCAGGTTCTGGCACTCGACAATTCCTAGTGGCCCATCCTCGTGAATTTTGGCTCTACGACCAACTGAAGGAGCCTCAGCAACGGTGTTCTTATGAAATTATCCCCGAATTTAAGCCGTGCAAAATTTATCTTGACCTTGAATTTGACAGAGAGCTCAACCCAACCAGTAACGGGCCGGAAATGGTCGAAACTTTCATCAAAGTGATTGCTGGATACATCAAGCAGCAACTATCCGTGGTGGTCACTCGTGCGGAAATTCTTGACCTGGACTCCACAACTGCAAAGAAATTCAGCAGGCATTTGATTTTCCAAAGCCGCCTGTGCATATTTCCAAACAACTACATGGTCGGGGCTCTGGTCAAGGACACATGTGACATCATCCGAAATTGGGAAGAGCATTTGAGCGAAAGATATGAAGTCTCAAGTGAAGAAGTGCAGAGGCTATTTGTTAAAAACAGACATGGAAAGAAGGTCCTATTTTGTGACGAAGCAGTCTACACGAAGAACAGACATTTTCGTCTCTACCGTTCTTCGAAACCACACAAAAATGCACCCCTTGTACCAAGTGATGAGAATCAGTTCCGTCCTTTGTCGAAGGACCCAAAAATGACAGAAGAACTGATATTTCTTGCTTCTCTTCTGACCCACGTAGAAACCTACATAATAGACACAGCCACTTTGGAAAAATTTGGTGCAGAAAGTAAAATTTTAAAGGAAAAAAAATATTCCAAATGCGACTCAAATAGTGGAAGCACATCAAGCAAATTTCCCTCTCCCTTTCCAGAAGTGGACCACTTTGCTCGAATAGAGATGGAGATGGAAGGAGTCCGTAGTTGGGTCTACTTTGAAAACAGCAGGTGCATCGTGTACGACAGCCGAGGACCTGCATTTTGTGGCAACGTTGGTCGCCGGCATCAGAGCAACAAGAGCATGCTTGTAGTGAACATGCACCAAATGCATTACTACAGAAAGTGCCACGACCCTGACTGCAGGGGATATCAGTCGGAGCCAAAGCCACTGCCGAACTCTTTGAAAACTGTGCTTGAACATCCGGAGTGTTCCAAAGAACAACGACAAGAGTTGAGAGACATTCTAGAAATGCTGGAGTCCAGTGATAATATATTTTGTGATGAATAAATGAGAAGTGAAAATAATATGACTTAACTTAATGAGTGGAATAAATACATAATATATAAAACTTTAAAAATTATTTTCATTAAAGGTGGTATGAATTTCCTCTACTAAATTAATATTTGATTCGATTATTTAACTGAAAAAGATTCGAATGCTGTTTTGCAGATTGATCAATGGAAGATACTGAGAACATATTGCCGAGTGCACCAGAACCTGTGAAGTCTGTCTTCTCTTTTGGCAACCAGCCAATATTGGCAAGGAGAATTCTACAGCAAGTTAACAGCGCTAATGAGGTAAATTATAAATGTCATAGTCAATTTTATAATCTTGCTAGACTAATCTCATTCAATTTTTCAAGTTTCTATTGGTCTGAAAATTTGAAAGATAAATTTAAAAATGCATAAATATAGCTATTTTTTTAATGAACTACCTTAAAATTTTTCAATTGATAAAAAATTGGATAATTTATTAAAAATTTTGTTCCTACCATTTCTATGTATAATAGGAATAATATTAAAAATATTTTCAATTTTAAAACGCTAGTTTTTAAGGTCTTATTGCTGAGTCAGTAATTATGATACCGCCGTCCTGGACCAATCAGGATTTAAAGTAAGAGCATTTGTCAAAATCCGAATCAGCTAACTAACTTAATTGCCAAAGAAAAAGATGAATGAAGGTGCCTAAACACGGAGGCTAATTAAAACTTAAGTGCCATTAATACTCACTTAATAACAAAGCGCCAAAATTTCTTGTCGACTGCGTGCTATTGATTTTTCGGCTGCGAAAACACCATCCCTTATTTTGCAACCCCCGGACAGTTTTTAGTGCCCCCCGACAGGTCGCGTCGTTAGCGGTGAGGCCCCGCCGGCTTTTGCTCTAGTTCGTGCCTCCGCCGGAAGGTGTCCACTGGAAACTGGAGAGAAAAAAAACTGGTTTGCAAAAGAAGAGTGGGTTGGGTTGGCCCCGAGACCGACCGACTGTCGGAGGCTTGTGTGTTGTCGTTTTATAGGCGACTTTTCTGATCGGGCGGATTTTCGCACCGAACGGCTTTTCCGCCGCTCGTGTAAGTATTTCCATTTCGCTTGTTTTTTCCATTTTCTCTTTGAGGAGGAGAAAATCGTCCTGAAAAATTAGTCCAAAGCAAGTTTGTCCTTCGACACTCGGGCAGGTGTACAGGAACAACAGTGGCCTTAGTTTTTGCCCTTATTTCGCACCATTTGATCGAGCGGTGTGCATTATAAAATTATCTCAGTCGTTTGCTCCGCGAGTTTTATATCAAAAGATTCCGACTGAATGTCTGACGGAAATTTCAAACACGTCATAGAGACGAAAAACCACCTTTTGTGTATTATTAGGGCGATAATTATTTTGGATACGGGAATTCGATAATCTGAGAATCAAATCAAATATAACTGAATAATTATACCTATCGCAATTTCTCCTGTCCTCTTTCGTACGTGCAAACCTCCGTGGTGGTTTTCTTTCCTCTCTTCAAAATGAACTTATGCTGACAAAGCAAGCGAACAATATTTGAGTCGAGAGGAAGCTCCTGAAGTTTGTCCCGTTATCTTTTCGCATTATGCACACACGAACGAGAAAAGTGCGTGATTGAAAAAAATCCTTTTATGGTTATTTACAATCCGGCCACGATTGGGTGAAATAAGTTCTCAATATAGCACATATTGCCGACGGAAAAATTTTCATAATTTAGTTTTGAAGATGACAAAGTTCATATCTGAAAGTTCATCTGGTGAGGAATGAATAGCGTAGGCGAACGGAATGCGCCAATTTGGGCTATTCCATCCGGCCACACTGGCATTAAAAAACGGCAGAGTGGGTTTTTATTTGTGTCGCTCTGCCAGAAGTTCGTATTTATGTTGCAATTAATTAATGATCATTAGTTGGCAATGGACCAATACAAATAAATTTTGATTTATAGATGCATTATATTATTAAAAGGAGCAACAATTTCAAAACTATTTTTTTTTTCAATTTGTTAGTTCCATGTCTGCAATGAAGATGCCAAAGTTATTTTCTGGCTAATTTGCAATTCAACTATATTGTTTATGATTGTTTACTCTTTTCAGTTTATATAAAAAAATTCTTGATTTTTGCCATAATTATCATTTTTAAAGCTTTTTTTAAATTTGGTATTTTTATGAAGTACAAGTTACAAATTTAAATTGTAATGTCAAATTAATTTCATTCCGTTTGTCTGGAATTTTCCAAATCCGGCATCAGAATTCGCGACAGCGTCAAAACAGTATTGGACGCATGCGCCGGCGCCGAGTCAAATTCGCACTCTCGCTCAGGGTCCGTTCGCCTAGGGCACCCCTGGGCAGTCTGGAGTGCACTGCGTGGGCGTGAGTCGTGGTCAGTGCAGTCCTTCACCTTCGGCTGTCCAGACCAAGACCGCTTCAAATCGCGAGAAGCTGCATTCGAAGATGCAGCTCGTCCGCTGTTTTCAGCCGTGCCCTGTTGTGATGTCCTCCGCGAGCCAAAATGGGCAACGCTCTGAACCGCGCCAGCAAGGACTGCCTCGTAAGTGCCGTTCACCGAAAAACAGGAAAAATAGAATTAGTTGCAAATCATGTGGGCCGATTATCCCAAAAACTGTCGGCTAGTGTCAAGTGAAAATCTGTTCAACCACTTAGTATGACGTTTACTGCGCACTTTTGCTCTCCGTCTGTGTCAGTGCGAAATCAATAATTCACAAGTTGCATAATGAGGGTTTAAGATTTTTGTTGTTTCAATTATGGCAGCAACTCAAACTGCAAATACCACAGAAATTGCAATTTGTGATTTATTTTTCTTCGGTAATGAAAAGAAATATGTATTTTTATAGATTTTTTATTAGATTTTCATAAATATACTCATGATTCCAATCTGTTTTTTTCAATAGCGTAATTCAAAAATGTAGGGACAAACTTTAAAACAATCATTCTCTATCCGCTAAAACAACTCTAATCCAGGCAAGACGAAGATTTAGCCAAGTCCCGATTTTTTTTTGCGCAGATTTGCACGTCACAAAGTAAGAACTGCTGCCTGAAGTCGTAGATCTGGTTTGGAAACTGATATTGCGTTTGCTCTAATAGCTGAACACAGAATACAACACCGTGTGATTTTATTTTTTTCGTTTGAACTCGTCAACCTTAAAAGATTTTTTTTTTCAATAGTTTATTCCACTCTACTATGAGTGATTGATAATTTTTTATTCCCAACCAAATTGCCATTCAAAGCAAAGGGCTCTCCGTTGGCCACGTTGAAGTTGTCACACAATAGGAAGCAGAGCTTTTGACGGTCTGATTAGGATATTGCCATCCGCGAGCACAATTGGCATTCGCGCCGTGGATGCCTACGGTGTTTGGGTCCTTCTTTCCTCTGTGCAGCACACACCATCTGACTGACTGTGCCGCCAGATCAATACCCTGCGAACGGCCGTCGGGCTGCGTGTGCTCTACGTGCACTGCACATAAAATTTTCAGTGCCGTATAAACTTTTTTCAGAATGCGATGCCCGTTACCCCCAATGGTGCGTAAATTTATGACCAGTTTATTTGGAGCTTTTATGGAATATAATTTAAATTCTACATCAGTGACTTATTTTTAGTCAGGAAAATAAACCAAAATTGATAAAGCTCTTTATTTTATTTTGTAGCTTAAACACTGTTTCCATTGTTTGTTTGCAATCCATAAGAGCGATTATAATACTATTTTGGGTTGAATGAATTTAAAAGTGCTGATTTTGACTTGCAATTACAGACAAGTTTAATAATTTGTTTGAAGAAATTGACACTCAAGATATGGTCATGGAAGTGATGAAATTGGGCCTTTTCCTCGTATTTTTTATTTATTTTTTTCTTAAAAAAATGTGGATTCGCAAGTTGCGGATTTTTGTATTTTTCTTGCTCATCAGACCATGGCCGTGACCAAAACTAGTAGAGCCGTCGTGTTTTTGAATAAAAAATAGAAACAATTTTTATGTTAAGGAAAAAGCACGATTTCTTCACTTCCAGATTAAATAATAAAGTTAAATCTCAACTTCACTCATTTTATTATTGAAGACCATGATATAATTTTCAATTTCTTAAGCATATCCAGTTTCAAATTTAAATATTTTGTTTTTTGTTTACAAAATTCCCTAGTAAATAACAAGATCGTTTAGCGGTGACCAAAAAAGTCGCACGCACCCGTGCCTCTCTGGGAGATAAGTGCTTTCATCGGCTCGATTGCCCAAGAAAGCAGTGCGTGGCCTCCTCTTTTGGTCCCCATTGTCAGTTCACGTGGGCAAACTGGTAGCAAACGCTAGATGGAGTATTCATTTCCCCATGGGCTCTCGAGATTAGCATCAAGCGACACAACACACATTGGTCTCTGTGGGTGTACTGGGAGAAAAAAACTGCTGATTTTCAGCTTCAAGCGCGCACTCTCAACGCCGTCTTATTTGGCCGTCTGAATTTTGGTCTTGTTGTTTGGCGCGGCACGAATTTTTTCAAATGACAATGAGATAAAAATAGACTTTCGAATAATGGTTTACAAAAAGAAGATCTGCAAGCCCAATTTATTCAAAAATAATTAAGTACTATTGCAAATAGATATAAGAAAGTTATATTTAAAAAAAAAATTTCCATGAATGATTTTGTTGAATTTGGTAATTACATTATTTTATTATTTATTAACGTAGTTCCTTTTTAAAACAATGAGTTTGAATCGTGATGCATTAATATTGACAATAGATTCCAATCAAATCTCAGGATCATTGTTTTAAAGAACTGATACTTCAACCGCAAGTCTCAGCACCTAATTCTCAGCCTCTCTCACACACTCGCACTATAACCAAGAAGGCCCTTGATAATTAAAGTAAGATAAGCCGCGTTGAACACAATACCGAGACGCCGCATGTACATAATTGAAATCTATTCACAATGACGTGGTGACGATTAAAAGTGTGCGCCGTCGTGGTGAGGCTCAAGCGAGCGCCCCGAGATCGCACCAGTGCCAATCCGCGCGGCAGTGGATTTATTTCAGTCTGCTGGTCAGTTGGTGCGCGAGCTCGGCCAGTGCTGCGTGCGTGTGGATGTTCTATTGAGACCTCGACGGCCGCTGGCCAGTCTTCCCACTCGGAAAAAAATGGATTTCTTGTCGAAATTATTCAAAACACCTAACAAGGTAATCCGTATGCATCTGTGCCGCGAAAATTAATATCCGACCTAGTTCTTTTCTTATCAATTTGGAATTTCCGTCGTTCCTCTGCAGTTGATTGGCTCAATTGAGATCAACCTTTTGAAATTAAAGAGGTTGGGGAATGATCGTAATTGAAAAGGGGTTTGCAACTGGTCCGGTTAATTAATAGGTGAAGTGAACAAGCGAGCGGCCAGTTTGCTTGCGGGGCTATTTTTAATCTGCGAAACGCTCTTTATCATTCAAAACCTAGTTCCTAGTTGAAAACAGCCGTCATCTCTGTACTGCGTAGGAATTTAATTAAGATTAAGCAGCCATTTGAAATTAAGCAGCAAAGCGCTGTTTTTTTTTTAAGGAAGTCACATGATATTCAAGAGTCTCGTTGAGCAACATTGGGCGATTTGTGCAAAAATTAATGCCCTCGTAAACCTTGAGCGCGTCTGCCTCATTACGGATTCCTGAAATACTCTCAGCAGTATTTCACTGGTTGTTCTCTTGGCATACATGGCACGTTGTGATTTGCGTTTTCCACTTTTATGGTCGACAAACAAGAACAAAAAGCTGTCGCAGACTGCACACACCTATCGCAATAATGCTCCTATTTGTATCCTGGGCGCTCCGTTGGCCTCTTGAAATATTTGATCCTTCTTTCTCTGATAAATCATTGAAATACCACGCAGAAATCTTATGGCATAGTAATCTTATTTTATTTTTTAATTAATATTCATTTTCAATAAAATTGTAAGGATCATAATACAATATGACATAAAATTTGCATTCTTACTTTTGGAAATTTTTATGCATATTATTGTCAAATATTTTTTAAACCTTTTTAATATAATCTTGTTTGCAATGAAATTAAATTGCGCAGTTTAATCAAGTGTTAAATTTGATTGCTTATTTGTGTTGTAGAATGGAAACATCTGTGAGCGTGACCAGAGCTTGGCAATCGAAGCTGTAACAGCCAAAACTCCAAATGGGGACTCCGTAAATTCAATCCCACCGCAACTGATAACACTGCCACCATCAGAAGAAAAGCAAAGGTATACATCCTTTTTGCTGTAATTTTATGATTTAAATTAATGATTTCTACCTTTCTCTTAGCCCTGAAGAAGAACAATCACAAGCTCTCACAGACACAAATTCTGCGAGTTTTGCGAGTCTCAACACCCTCTCTGTTTCTGAAGCCAACTTCAATACAGCGGGAGGAGACCAAAGCAGGCCAAAATCAACAGGTAAAATTTATAATAACAACTAAACTTTGTTGTTAATAAGGAGTTCAATGTTTTCAGACACAGACAGTCTCGATTACGAAAGTGCCGACGAAGCTGTTTCCCTAAAGAATGAGACGCCAATTGAGGAAGATGGTGACGCTCATAACAAGTCTTTAGGCTTAGACGCGTTAGCCAACAAACTCTCCAATCTCTACCTGAACAGCCCAAACCCTCATAAGAAACCTCCTGCGTTTCACAACGAAGACCAGAGCAACCACCCCGTTCATTCACAGCTTGATGAGTCGGACAGTGACATCTCGTTTACTGCCAGCTTTGTTGAGGTTGTTAAACTTGAAGAGAGTAGTGAAGGAGCTGAAAAACCAGGGCTCAGTTGTATTGTTGAAGTGGAAAGCCCCATCGAAGAGGAAACTCTAATCGTTGAGGAAGTATCAGAGCCTGAGGATCAACCTCAATCCAAGGAACAGTCTAACGCAGAACTCCAGCCACCTAAGCCCAAGGAGCAACCTGAAACCTCTGAATCAGAACTTCAGCTGCCTAAGCTTGAAGAGCAACAAGACGAGACTAAAGTTGAAGAGGTGCAAGAAAGCCCCCGTGTTATTGAAGAAGCTCCTCAAGAAGCTGCAGCTAGAGAAGATCCTGTAGAGGAGAGTCACTGTGGTTTTGAGCAAGAAGTTCAACCCTGCGAAGTTCCGCTTCCAGAATCAGAGCCATCCTCTGCTGAACAATCTCCCAAGGAAAAAGAGTCTCCTGCTGAACAGCCAGAGGTTGTAGATAGCCAACCTGTTGTCAAATTTGATTCCCAGAAGAACGAAGTCAAGTCGTTGGCAGAGCTAGCCAAAGCTTGCACTAGCAACTCCCAAGAAGAAACTGCCACAGAAATTACTCTGGTTGTTACACCTATAGCAGAGCAAGAAACACCAATTGAGGTTACTGTCGAAGAAAATTCTGAGACGGTAATTAGTGAGGGAGCTACTGATAGCAAACTAGAAATAGTAACCTCATTAGCTGCTGCGAATGAAACTTGTAATGAAGAGCCCGAAGAATCTCACATTCCCGAAAACGTTCCTGTAGTAGATCCTACAGAAAGCAAAGAAGAAACGGTTACGATTAAGACAGCTGTTGTAGAGCCAATCCTTGCTGTAGCTGCTGTCAATCAGGAGGATCCCAAAGAGCCAGTCATTGAGGAAAAGTGCATTACCGAGGTAAATTTTTTGATTAAAATGTAGCTCCAAGTAAAGAATTAAAATGATTTATTTTTAGACTAAGGAATTTCTCATAGAATCCAAGGAAGATAAGCCAGTACTTGAATTAGAATCTCAAGAGCCCATTGTAGAAGTTTCGTTTGAAGAGCCAACTCCCATATTTCTTGAAGCACCTTCAACGGAGCTCTCGCAGGTTGAAGTTGAGGTTGAGCAGTTTAAGGCTTTAGAAATCAGAAGCAGTATTGAACAACACATTCCCAAGGAAGAGACCCCCAAAGAGCCAGGTAAGTTTTCTTATTTTCATCGGTTTACTTGCAATTTGCAATTATGATTTTGTGTTATTAAAAAATTATAACGTGTTTTTCCAAAATATATCAAATTTCATTCTTTAATTTTTTGTAGAAGGAGAAAAAGAAGTAGACCCAGAGCCTGAGAAGGAAGTTTCAGAGGAGAAACCTGTGACAGAGAGGAAAATAGCCCCTGCGACGCTGTTTATTCAACAAAGTCGGGGAGTAACCAATCCTCACAAAGACACACTTTTCACTTCCACAGGCTCTTTAAGTGAATTGCTTGACCTCTGTGAAAAGCAGCAGAGAAACCTTGAAGACGAAGTTGACACTCAAGTCTTTGAGGAATCAAACGAACTTGAGCAACTTCTTGCTGCTGACGCTGACCTCGTTTGCCAAGAGCTGAATGCTTCGTTGGACGCTGTTCATGCCGAGATGTCAGACAACGAAGTCCCAGTAACTCCTCCAAGAAGGTCTCGCAGCCCCCGAAAGCCAAGTCCTGGGAGGAACAACATTGATCAAGACGTATTCAAAATACCAACTCGTATAGGAAACTCGCCTTCACGAGGAACAGAGATTAACACTGCGTCAATGACCTCCTCTAGCGAATCTGCAGTCATGTCCAGCAGAATGTCTATGGTTAGATTTTAAACGTATTTTTGTTTATTTTATATTGATGAATATTTTTATATTTTCAGACCAAGAGTACAGATAGTGCCTCACCAAAATCAATGCGCAGCATGGATTCGGGAATCGCTGGTGCTGAAATGAACCACAGCGAAGCTGGTCCAGACATTGCTCCACACGAGGAGCAATTTGTCTCGGGCACTGAAGAGCTTTTCAAGGACCCGTCAGCCTTTGACTTTTTGTCAAAATTTGGAGGAAGTGATTCTTCAGCTTCTAGGCTAGAGAGAGAATCTCTTTATGTCAAGTTCGACCCTCTAGTGGGCAACAGAGACAGGAGGGTTTTCTTGTCTCCTTGCATTGAAGCAAGCCCTAGAAGGTTAGATCAAATTTTTATTGTCTTAAAAAAATTCTAAATTTAATTTTAAATAGTGAGGACAATGTAGAAGCCACTCCAGAAGCGCCAGGCAAGCGGGCATTAAGGTCAGAAACTCCTCTCACCAGCCGGCATGCAGTTGGCCCGCTGGTCCAAATAGCTACTCCAGTGAATGAAACAGAGACTGTAAGTTTATGTCCTGCTTTTAGACTCACAAGAGGATTTACATAATAATTTTTTTTAGCCTGCTGCCAAGTCAGAGCCAGTTTCACAGAGCAATTCAAAAGATGCCGAGACAGAAGCATTGCAACAGATGGTTGTTCTGCACAAAAAAGAGAGCGATGAGTTAAAAAAACTCATGACTTCGCAGATACAGGACTACGAAGAGAAGTTGTCAGCCTTGCAAGCCAAGTTGAAACAAAAGACTGAAGCTGAAGAACAAATGAGGTAATTTAAACATGGTACAGCATTCAGAGCAATCAAAATTTGTTCTTTCAGTTTGGTTATGAAGGAGTATGAGGACACAATATCGCGAATCCTGGCTGAAAAAGAGAAGGCTATGGAAAAGGCTCAGGAAGACAGGCAAAAGTTGACTGAGGAGCTGGTAATTATCCAGTCAGATCTCTCAGCTGCAGAAGTGGCATTTTCCGACCTCCACCGGAAGTACGAGAGGGCCAAGAGTGCAATAGAAGTCTTCAAATCAAATGAAAACACTCTCAAACAGTCCAACCTCCAATTCCAAGAGCAGATCAAGCAAGCAGAAAAGAGGTACTTGGTCCTCAAATCCCACGCTGAAGATAAACTCGAAGAGTAAGCAAATTTTTTTGAAAACCAAAATTTGTAGATACTTATATACTTTTTTCCCCAGAGCTGCCAAGGAAAATGAAGCCTTGGTGAAGACTTCTGAGCTGGAAATGAGTGCTTTGAAGGCACAGAACGCGCAGCTAAAGGCCCGCAATACAACTCTGGTGGAAACCCTTGCCATGAGGGAACGTGAGAACCAAGAACTGATGACCATTTGTGATGATTTGGTGCAAAAACTTGGTACCCAGAGTCACTAACTGAGTAAGTGCTTATGTGCTTCTGTCCTTCGATTTTGGTTCTGTTGTTTCTTTCAAAGCTTTTTATCACTCCAAGAGGCCTTAAATCTGTTTATTTAATCTTCTGCAATCAGTAGTACTCACCAGGTACTCACTTGGCCTTTTTTTCTGTAGTTTTCAAATTATTTCAAGTTTGCCGCCGTAGAGATATATCACCATTAATTATTCGGCGTCTAGTACTCTATGATATTTTACGGAAAGATTAATTACAAGAATATTCAGCTCAGTAAATTAATATAATATTGTAAAAAAATAAAATATTGTAAACTGAATGAAATCTGTAAATCAACTCAATTTTGGTCTACACTTGTGTGGTCTTGAAATTATTAATCTTAAAGCTTTCAAATGCCACTGTTTCTTCAATGTAAGAATTATTGTTGGATTGCAGTATTGATGAGTGAATTGATTTTATTTTTTTACCACGGTCATAAACAATTTTTCTCTAATTTAACTTGTGCGAAAGTCTTACTCGTATGGAAATATGTATTGGACATTTTTGTCTACCCTGCAAGTCATTTCCAATGTGTGAAGCAGATTAATATTGCCGCTCTAATTTGTACAGATCAATGAAGTCCAAACAAAAATAAAGTTCTTAGATTAAATCTGATTTATTTACTACTCTTTGGCTATATTTAAATTGCTTATTTATATTATTATTTTATTGTTTATTCTTCACATATCGAGGTTAAATAGGAAAAAAACTTGAGGAAAAGGCAATGCACTTGCTACGACGCGGACGGAGCTTAATAAAGGTCCACACCAAGATGGACTGCATTATCACAAATTTAAAAATTATATTACATTTAAAAAAATGCAATTATTGCTGTTGAAAGGATTAGTGATGCCAAGACGGAAATCACCCCTAATGGCGCCATCTAGAACTTTTTTTTAAGTAAAGTTTTCATTTGTTTCATTTGCAAAAGTTATTAAAACTTGTGCAAGATTCGTGGTCACCAGTATTGCTGTTGCCGTTAATGCAAAAAGTTATTCTTTTTGTTTCTTGCTGATGCTGCCCTGCTCCTCGACTCCTAATTGAAATAATACGTTTGGTTATATCAATGAATAGACTCAAGGAAAACGTTCATAGAGTGACAAAAACGGGCTCCTTTATTCTTTTGCTCATGGAATAGGGTTGCAAAATGTGACTGAAACTGTTATTTTTTTTTATAATTTTTTTTTTTTATTTTGAAAAATTCCGCAAGGAGGAAGTTGTTTTTTCAAAGTTTTTTATTTTCACTTAGGAGAAGATAGCTTACACTCATATATTTTATTTAATATAACTATGCATAACGTGTGTTGTTTTGAGTGGCATTTGATGGGCCGCCGAAAAATGAAATCCATCAGCGACCAAATGTAATTGATATTTGGTTAAAAATAAAACTATTAAATTTATTGTAAGTCCTTAAAATAATATACATACTTAAATGGACGTTTAAAAATTAAACAGTTGAAATTTGAGCTATTTAAAAAATAATAGTGTCATTGAAAGAACTAGAGATGCACAGAGGGAAATCGCTCCTAATTGACCAGCGCCATCTAAAAGAGTTTTCAATTTAGTTCTTGGATGCGCATGAGTCAAAATTATTTTACCTGTGCAGGTTTTGTGGTCCAGAGCCATGTGGAAGCCCATGATGCACTGGCATCTTCCTGCTGTACACGCGACTTTTTTGTTCATCTCGTCGTCCTCACTGACGTAGCACTCTTTGCTGCTCATGCACGGCTCGTCCAGTGCTATTTCAAAGATTGCAAACTTAATCCATTAGGTCATAACGATAATGACTTTAATACGGCAGCGTCGTAGTAATATTTATCAATTTTTCTTCAGCAATAATTCTAATTAAAATGCTTGATTTAATTGTAAAGTTCAACCTTTGCTCTGGATGCAGACGTTGTCTGTAAAGTGGTGCATGGGGATGCACTGGCATTTGGACTCTCGACACTCCATGCGGTCCCCGAAGGCTGAGATGCACTGGCCGTGTTCAACGCACGTCGCCATGTAGATCGGAGCCACTGAAATTTTTAAGTAGGCACTAAAACAATTAGCCGGCCAATTAAGAGCTACGGGGATGAAACTCACCCATGAGACATTCGCGAGCGCTCGAGTGCGCCACAAAGTTTTCTCTGCAGGAGCAAACGTTCATCGCACATTCCGAGTTTGGAAGGCCAGCGCAGTCATAGTGCGTCGTGCAATGCGCTCCGATTGCTGGTATTAAATCACGTCCAACAAAATGAAAATTAGGATCGGAAAATTCAAGATATTTGACATAATTATTTTCCTTTCAATGAACTCTAAATTAGACAAACATTTTTACTCTATTAGTTTAACACAATTGATTAATATTTAAATTTTCTTAGAAAAATGTAAGTGGCAATTATTATATAATTCAATTAATTCAGGAATTAACTTGTAAAAGTATTTGAAATTTTAATATAAATGATTATGTAAAATGTGAAATTTATATTGACGGTATTGACGCAACTTTACACAAGTACAAACTAATCAAAGATTTTATAATTATTTCTTCATGACCACCTATTGAATTTTTGTTTTCATTTTTCTATCGCCATTGTTTTTGCTTTCATTTAACTTCACAGATAAACTCACTTGCGACACATCGGTCTGTTGTTGGTCCTTGCTCGAATCCTCTTTTGCACTCACACACCTGCTGTCCTCTACAGAAGGAAAAGGCCACGTCGCAGTCGCTGTCATATTCGCACTTTTCTCCCAGTCTGCTCCCTGCAGATCCAAATCTCGCCAGTTAAACATTATTTAAATAAATATTAATGTCAAGTTCATAAAAGAATTTCATGAAATTATCATATAAAAATGAATAAAGAAAACACGAAATGATTTTGATACAAGAGCGTGAGTTAATAAATAACGTTTTTATAGGGCAAAATAAAATAATATAAATAATAATGTACACAAACGATTGGGAAAAACTAACAATATTTTTGCGTATTTTCAACACAAACACCAAATTGAATAAGTTCAAACAAATTCTTATCTTTCTACTCTTTCTATATGATCAACCATTAAAACACACCTTAAAAAATTGTCTTTATCCGTACCTGAAACCGCTACGGCGAACAGGGTCAAAAGAGCCAGGGTCGATCGAGGCTCCATCATGAAAATTGTTCCCGTTGCGAATGGCGAGTGCAGTTTTCTGGAGTCACGAAGGGCACCGTATGTGTCAGCACCTCGCTTGAAAATGATGTCCTAATAATCTCTCATCCACCTTATCTGATAAGCCGCTGCGCTAGCTGGTGGAGGCGCAGCCGTGTGTCCGCCTAGTTCTCTATATTTCGTACACACTGGGCAAACAAATAAAAATACGCGAGAGACGCGCTATCGCAAGCAGAGTGAAACGCGTCGCTTATCTTTGTTTTAACGCACTCGAATTTCATTTATATAAAATGTAGGTGTTTTTCTTGTTAACTGCTTGTCACGTATGTACTACAATTAATCAATTTATTTACAAAATAATTATAATTAATTTATTTTTATTTATATCTCAATAAAAAGAGGGAGAGATTTGGCGAGAGAAACTATTATGACGATGATTTTCTAAATGTTTATTTTTTACTAAACAACAAACCAGTTACCTGGATCAATTTTAAACAATAAGTTTTTAGCTCAACATTTCATTTTATTTTCATTACCCTTCTTTACTTTACACATTTTTAATCAACAATCATTCTCCCCATCTTCAAATTTTAACACATTCTAGAAATTCACTTTATATTCCGTCTCTTAAAATCGCAATGGAGTGAGTACAAAGTTTATTTATTTTTACCATACAGACTGATGCAAATATCACTCTCAACTCGCAATTAAATCTTTTGCATTGTTAAATCTTACAATTAGTATGTTCACTCGTTTTTAATTGATACGAAGCTTTTTAAAATCTATTTACACAATTTCAGCCACTTCCCTAATATGGCACAGAAACAACTCTTTTGTTGGCACGTCAGTGATTTAGTGGACACGTTTATTTAGTTAACAGTTCGATTTGCTTCATTTTTGCGTCAAACTCAAATTTTTTATAGCATTATATTTGGGATCTACGCTAAATTTTATTTGCTATGCGTTGAGCAAGTTGCATGTTAAAAAATTTGAATTGCAAAACAAATAATATAATATAATTGTTATTTTATATATTCTTGCTTAAATATTATTATTTTGAAATAAATTATATTTAATTTTTTTAACTCTAAATAATAATTAAATTAAACTCATGACAGAATAATTTGATTTATGTACATTTTTAATTATTACTCTTATTATATTGTCACGCTAAAAATTTGTTTTGAAATTTTATTCATGGATTAGTTAATTATTTTTGTGCTTTGAAGATTTAAACTAAAATGTTTTTCTTTTAACAAAGACTTAAACAATAAAGAACACCAATTATCGTAGCATGGACATTTTTCATAATTAGGTGCCAAATATTTACAGCCAATTGGTGCCGACGCCGACTAGTTTTGATATTTAGGCAAAACGACGTTTATCGATCCCCTTTCGCTCAAAGACGCGGCCGGCCTCACTAAATGGGAGTCGTTGAAATTAATAGTGGTTGTAAATAAGTTTTTATTGCTATTGCCCGCACACTTCTGTGCCATTTACATAAAACTGACTCGCTCGCAACTGCAAAACGCCGGCTGCTCCCCGACGTACTCTTTATCCAACCTGATCCGCCCCTGCTTTTATTTCTGCTGAAATGCACTGATACAAAGTAAAGATAAAACAAATTACAAATTGAATTTCCTCCCTCCGGATTATAGGTCAGGCGGTTTTCAACAACAATCAAACAAAAGTGGCGGCGTAATCAGACATACGTAGTTTACATCAAGCTCTATAAAAGTTTTGTTAGTTATGACGCTATACCTGTCACATTTTTATTTATAAAAATCACTAGCACTTGTCTACCTGGAAAATTCTTGAAATCTTTAACACTCGAAACTTATGCCAAGTTAGTTTGTTTTCTTGTGAAAAATCAAACTAATTTTTAATATACCGAGTACCAGAAAAACCAAAAGAGCAGCTCTGGGTTGACAGAAAACATGGCGAGGAAGTTGAGCTGCGCGCTTATTATGATATGAGAAGGTACTTTGGAGTATTCATCGCTCGCCTCCTTAACTCTTTGGAATCATCCTCTTAATTACAACATACAATTTTAATTTGTTTTTATTATAGTTATTTGTTTGCTAAACGATTTGTGCCAAAAGAGCACCGAGTGATTTTGGTTCCAGTACAAGCTGCAGCTGCGATTACAGGTCAGCCGAGGTGCAGTTGCCCTTGTTCTTGATGTATCTTGGAGGGATGTTCTCCTCCAGGGGCGTCATCCCTGACGTTTTCAATTTGTCTCGGTGCTGTGAAAAAAAAATTAGTTGAAAAAATAACGAGAAAATATACGTTGATAAAATTTTCATTTTTAATGCATCCAGATTTTATCTGATGTGAAAGTAATATAGGAAGACGAAGTTTCATTTCATTCAATTAAAAATCACAAGTTTGTAAATTTTTCTTTAAATTATGTATTCGAAACAACTTCTGTTAATTAAAGAGAAATAAAATTAGCTCAAACGTTCAACACGTAACATTTGGCATGTAAAAAATTTTCCACCTTTATAAAAGCAAAAGAAATAAAAATTCCGTGCTCACATTTTCCACACTCTCGATGACCCTGAGGAAATTGAGCCCGGCCAGTTGTTTCAACTCGTCCACCGTCCACTGGCCGGTGCGGATGAGCTCGGCAAACAGCGCCGGGTACCGGGAAACGTCTTCCAGTCCCAGAGGAGTGCTGAAAACACAAAACAATGCGTCGTCAATCGAGCCCTGCGACACGTGTACATGTGGAAAATGCACAAAGAAAAAAATAGCACACGTACAAGTTGATTCCGTCGTAGCCGGCGCCGAGTCCAACGCAGTCCACCCCGGCCACGGATCGAATATGATTTATGTGAGCTGCCGACAAAAAGGGGACAAACATGTTTATTACCATCGCTTGTGTGCAAACGTTGGGCTATTGGGCTATAAAAATCAAAACGAATCGTTCAAACGAGTGATGAATGGCCTGCGCCTTTTTGCAACCATGAAAATAGGGCAGACTTTTGCGGCAGTTCGAACTGCTGTCAAAAGCTATTCTATTCAATTTAGCTCTGCCCTCATGAGCAGGAATGTGGAGGAAGTTACAAAATTGTTTAAAAAATATAGATCAGCTGTAAAAAATAAGTATCGTGGAAAAACTCCTGTGAAAAAAAATGATTTAAATCTTAAAAAAAGGAAAAAATGAATTTTTGCAGTTCCAAAAAGAAATAAATTTACAAATATCGTTATTTATTGCAGCAGAAGCCATTTTTGTATTAAATTCCAAAATAGTGAGGCAACAGATGAAGAATATTACTAAAAAGGAATTTGGAAATGAATTTTTTTAGCGACGAAAAGCTTAATCTGTTGTTTGATTTTAGCAAGAGTGGCAATTAAAATAATTTCTTTAGTAACAATTACAGTAAATAATATAATAATTTGAAGAAAAATATTAAAAATTACTTTCTCTGAAGAAAAAAACATTTGTCTGACTAGAAAATTGCAAATGGTTCAAAGCTAGAATTTCAACTTGACCTATTTTGCGTTGCTCAAAAGACGCCTCAAGTGGCAAACTCTAATAATCTCGCAAACATTTCCGCAAAAGAGCCTTAATCAAAAGTCATTGTTGAGACGTCGAAAAATCACCCGTTCGCGAACATTGAAGGAGATATTGAGTTTTATTTCGCAGCGACCCCCGGTTGCGAGTGATACGAAGTCGAGCGGGTGGGTTGTTATCTGGCAAAAACCGCCTGCAGGTGCGCTTTTGAATCGTCGTCGCCTGCAAATACCGCCGCTTATGCAACACGCTCGAGTGAAAAAAGGAGCCGGTTGCCTAGTTGCTTGCCTGCAGGCGTTCGGATCCGCTCCTCACACGCGTCACAGCCATCTCGTCTTTCTTTCCTTCGACTGTCTTTCGCCCGCAACTTATTGAAAAACTTTTCGTGCGCGACATTTGCAAGTGAGTCGCCTTGAAATTAAATTATAATCTGCGAGAGACTCGAAATCTTGTTTCGCGCAATCCAGGTCAAACTTGGCGCCGAGAAAAATGGGCCGCAGCTCGAAGGACGCAAAGTTTTGCAATAAATATGCAAATCGGCCTATTCGGGCCGGTGATAGTCTCTTCCACTCACCGACTGCATCTTCGACAGTTGCTTTTTCTTGACAGGTCAGGAAAAGAGAGTAAAAATTCACCATCACCAATCCTCGGTTTAAGGCCTGAAACAAAATTTATGGAGGTAAGATGAGAGCTGCAAGAAAATATGATACATTTAAACAATTTTAGCATTTAATTTTAGCTGGTTAAGATTAAAACTTGGGTGCTGCACTTTGTTTTTCACAAAAAAAAAAAATACTAAATAAATATTTAGTTTTTCTTATTTAACATTAATTGACATTGGAAAAATTTATGAAAAGTAAATATTAAAGTGAATTACATTGCTTTAGATCAATATTGTCTTCATCTTTTAAGATAATGTATTCATAATTTTCCTCTGGATCCTTTCTTGGTAATTCTCATTCAACAATATTATGATGCATTAGAGTTATTTTTGTAGAACTTTCTACATCGTTATGTATTTTTTACAAAGATGTAAAATATTAAACTTCAGTCTCGCATACAAGCTGAAACATCAATAATTTAATTGTACATTTAAATATTCTATTTTATTCAATATATATTTTGAGTATAAATAAAATAAAATCAAACAATTTAAAATATTCTTTAAACTACATAATTAAAAATCCTTCTCGATTCTATTGTAAAATAGAGAAATAATATTTATTACTAATGAAGACGTGGCAAAATAATTGTCCCTGGTTTAAGAAGCCTTTGATATGCTGCGTCGTTTGCGTCTGTCTCTGCCCAAGGGCTCGTGTCGAGCCCGGCCGGCGGCGGAAGCGTTTAGTCCCATCATTTTGAAACACATCCACAAAACAAACAAGTCCCGCCTGGCATTTAATTAGCCCACACAATTCGCGCGCTTTTAGAGAGAGAGGCACTTGGAATAAACTCGTCGTGGTCGTTTTGCGTTGCCCGTTGCGCCGCGAGAAGAGCTCCTCAATAATAACGAGTTCAAAGGCTTTTAGCAACGCTCGGGCCCAACTCTCGAGGGCTTTGGCTCGCGGCACCGTGCGCTGAAAGACGGCGTAATTATCCTGAGAGAAACGCCGCCGCTGGTCAAACAGCATTAGTGAGATTATGTATTGTTTGGCGCCGTAAATCAAATAGCGCGAATTTATATACTCGGCAAGCGTTTCACTGCATTATTCCGATGATCAAATACAATTAAGTTAATGATTTTCAATCAGGTGTTTGAAACTAGAAAAAAATTAAAGATAATTTATGCCTATTTTGGAAACTTTTTAACGTTTATATATCTAAATGGGTGATTTTTCAACGTAAAATAAGCCACATTTTTTTGTTTTTTAAATTAAAAGCTACTGAATAACATTCCTTTTAATTTGATTCATATTATAATGGCCGAGGTAAAAAAAATCTTTGCCATGTTGATTAATTTTAAGCACGAAGAAGTCTGTGTCTTTCCTTAGCGTGATGCCCATTGTAACAATAATTAATTAATAAATGTTTTGAGCTGATCTTGTTTAAAGAGCAAAATTACTTTCCATTTTAAGCGTTACAGTTAATTGTAATGACTGTCCATGAAAATAAAAAGTATCGGCTGTAGAAATTCAACTCTAACGCATTTGGTAAAAGCGTTTACCCCTTCAATACTTCCTTCAGACCCAGCGATCGATCACTCGGCTCGCTATCAGACTGCTTTGTTGTTGACTTACAATTAGGAATAATGTGCAAAGCCGATGAGGAAGCTTGGGAGCTCGTCTCACAATAAGCAAAGTTTTGATGATAGAGAACTCTTGTCACGGTTGTTGATTTTACGAGGCCGTCGGCGAAGTTGGAAAGTGTCCGCCCGAGATTAAAACTTGCGACCGCAACTTTTGGCTCACGTACATGTATTTACTTCCTTAAGTTTAATGACGCTCGACTTTTCATTGGCGGAAACGAGATGAGTCGGATCCCAAACCAACTGGGAAATGAAAAACCGACTTAATAGCAAATGGTTTTATTTATCATATTTTATTACTCTCTGCATCTGAAAGCAAGTAAAAAACTGTCATTTCGTATTACATCAAACTTTAAAATTGATAACTTTGATGTTTTTAATATTCATATGTGATAATTTTAATTAATACAAACTTGACTGTTTTAGGGCATTAAATATAATTATTATTATTTATTCTTCTCAGTCGATAAAAAAATTTATGTTTGAAAAAAGAGAAGAAAACTTCATTTTTGAATTAAAATTATATTTATGTCAAATAATGCACCTATTCAAACTATATGGAGCATTAAAAATTAGAGCGTTGTAATAAAATAATAGAATTTTTTTAAATTTATAATTTTTTTAATATTAAATATTAAATCATCTAATTTTCTTAATGATTAAAAATTCCAATGCATACAAAATGCTGCTATTCTGGGTGAAAAAAATCCTACGATTCAGATTCAATCAATTATGTACTTTGATATAACCATTTAGCTTAAGCAAAAATACATTATGGAAGCTCTCAACTGGTAAATAAACAAATCAAAATTAATAATTTGAATTTACAGCGTGGAATATAATATATTTTTATTTTTTTTATAATGTAGTCAAAAAGTTTAAAATCGCGACCTGACACTGCTTTTTGGAATCGAACAAAAGTGTACTTTTGGCAATAAAGTTTTGCAAGCTGGATACTTTTGGCCAACACGAGTGACGTTGTGGCTGGTGGGCCAGATTGCAGATTGCGGCGTCGTCCTTGCTCTGCTCTTTCTCTCTCAATCCGGCGCCAATCAGTTTGCCGGCCGCCTCTCTCATTATTCTCGATTATATTCGGCCGGCCGTTGTGAGCGGCTCAAAATTCAGGCCATCGATTGGCGCCGCCTTGTAAGTGCAAAGCCCACTCGCTCACGTACCAGAAGCTGCAGTCGGCAGCAGTTCCGGGCCTGATAAATTACTCATCGGACGGCTAATGGGCCGGACGTGAGACTCACCACTTGTTTGAGGATGTCGTCGGGGACGTTTCTGGTCGAGTTGCAGAGCGCGCGGGCCGACGAGTGCGAAAAGATGACCGGGGCCTGCGAAGCGGCCAGCGCGGCGCGCATCGTTCCGATGGACACGTGTGACAGGTCCACGATCATCCCCAGACGGTTCATCTCCTTCACGATGCTCTGGAAAAAAAACAGAAGGGTGATTTTGACATAAAAAATAATATAAATATTTCAAAAACAATTACAAAAAAACGTAATTTTCGATGAATTTAAATATGACTTTTTAATCTTCATTCAAATTTGTGTGTTTCATTTTTATCCAGGGATAGTATTTACAAAATTGAAAACACCTTTATCCGTGAAATGATCAACATGATAGACATGATCTCTGTGTAAAGTGTTTGAAGAAATTGGCACTCGATTGGCAGTGGTTGTGAAAGTGAGGAAACAATTTTTTTCAACGAGGACTGGCCCGTTTTCTTCACTTTCACTATTATTATTGTCATCTTTATTTTACTAAAGCTCAACTTATTATGGAAATTACTAAAATGAAAAAAAAAGAGAAGGGTATCATTAGCTTATATGGAGATCTACCAAAAAGCCAGACATGCGAACTGAAAAATCTTAATAGTAAATTTAAATTACAAGAATAAGTAGTGGAAATGATGAGTAATTATTATTTAAACACGTTGGTTATATTTAGCAATTTTTTTTTATAATACCATAGCCATGGAACGTCCTTGGCATGATTAAACCTACTTGCATAATAAATATTGTAATCTTTTTCAGAGATTAAAAATTAAATTACTATTGTTAAAATACATGAAATAATTTACTGATTATGTTAAACTCACTAGCAGTAAAATATTTTTGCTAAAAGTAAAATTTTAAAATAATATATTGAATATTAAAACAAATTCAATTTTCTTTTGAATAACTATTCAAAGTAAAAAAAGTCTGGCTAAAAATTTAATCAAACAATAAAATTTTTTTGTGATATTAGTAGGAAAAATTCATTGTGCGCAAGTGTGCCAAAAGTAATAAGAAGTAAGGACGCTTACTGGCCCCTTTGCATTTTATTTCGTAACTGTTTGCTTTGCTGAAAAGCAAGCGTATGTGCACAGTGAACATGCAAACGGCGATTGAAATAGTGGTCGCGTAGGACGATTGCCGTTTTTTTTTTGCGGGCGGCACTGGAGCAAAATGAGATCCGCATGTGTAATGAAGACGAGCGTCGCCGTGTAAGCCGCACGTCCTACGTCTGCCGAGCATGGCCCTCTGCAGGCTTCTTATTTTGTGTCAGACACTTGAAAAAGGCATCGCATTTCGGCCGTATAATGACAGACGCACGCGAATTCAAACGAAGAAATCACCAGGCATGAAATTCCGCAAGACGGAACAACATTTAAATTTGCTTCAAAGGGCGTCTGCAAGGCTCGGCAGAGAAATCGATGGGGGCAGAGTCGGCGGAGTGTGTATATATTCGTTTTCATTACGTTTTATCTCATTGAGGCAAAGGGCTAATGAAAAATAGGTCGCCGGAGAAGCTGCAGAGAGGCGCACATCACGTCCTAGAGTAATCGATTTTTTGCCTCCGCTCCGATGAAAATTGAATCAATGGCTTGTGTCTGGATAATTTTCTGCAGATGAGCTTTTCAACGTTAAATTGCTTTGACTCGCGGAAAGATAAGTGTAATGATGATGATTAGGGTGGAAGTGCATTGCGAGTGCAATTCTCTGGATCTCATCTCGTTGTGGGATCGACAAAAAGGGAAGAAACTGCTCCGAGCGATGATGCTCTGGGAAATAATTGAGTTAAAAAGTGGGAAAAGACGGGCAATTCTCATTGTTCTAGATCCTACAGCGTGTCGATGTAATTCTCTCTCTGCATCGAGGAGTCATTTGAATGAATGTAATTAACTACAACTTTATTAGAGAAAACATTCTTGGGAATTGCATTAATGCAGCACAAGTTCTGAATTTAAAATATATTATGTTCTCCTTGGTTGTTACAATTGGATAACATATTATAAAAATGGTCGATAATAAGATCAGGATTTAAAATTGATTACATTCAATCGATATAAATTCATTGTCCCACCATCTGCTGGATAAACACGATCATTTATACCAAAGATTATAAGCATTGCACAGCTTTTTGGCCACAGACTGCCGCATTCTTTATTTCACACGTCAGCAAAATAAAAATCATTTTAGGTATGAAAAATTGAAGAGCTACTACTTGTTACATTAGTTTTACCACAAGTTAAAAAATTTCATTGCTATTTTTTTACTGATGTGTGGACTTATGGATTTCAAACAATGCCAATGATAATCTTTATCCCATCTGTTATTTAGTTGTAATCAACATTAATCATTTTTGGAATGAACCTCAAACAAGGAACTAATTGAGACTTACTTGATTTATTTTCTACTTCTGAATTAGTCTCATTTTGCGCTACTCGCGTGTGGCTCTTTTGACTTGAGCAAACAGCAACAAAATTGGTACGTCGGAGATTAAAAAGTGAAGCGTCTAAGATATTTGCAAAAAAAAAAAGAGAAAAGGTAACACGAAAAAGTGACTCTCGCGTGGTAAATTGGCAGCAGGTCGGCCAGCCGGTGGCTTTTTGGGGCCAGGAATTATTAACAGATATCGCCTTCACCACGCTTCTAATTATGAATTTTTCACGAAAAAAGCAACGGAAAAAGGCAGCAACCTACTTTCCCTGCGGCCTAGTTGGATGCCGGTCGGAGGTGTCAGTTATTAACTTATTAATAAAGCGCAGCGGGGCGCGGGGGGCTGAAAAAGTAATTAGTTTTTGCGCCAGCAGCAGGCGTGGAGGCGCAAGGGGGTCATGTGGGCGCAGATTATTTAGTGGTGCAGCGAGCAAGACCCACCACCGATTACGCAGACACACTCTCGCTAGTTCTTGCTCTCTCCCTTTCTGCTCTGCAAATACTTAAATTCCGCTGCTCTCACTCAAAGGTTGAGCAAAAGCTGCTGCTGTAAAATAAATATCCCGGCTGACTCTTCGTTAATTTTATCCACGGCGTAAATAATTTGGCGCGCAAACACAGACACTTTCGCTCTTTCTCTCCTCGTCGCCGGCGTGAATTTCAATCCTTACCTTGCCAAATTTGCTCAGCCCTCCGTGCTCGGGCAACGCTCCGGAATTCGGCTTGTCGACCAGCGAACAGTCCGCCCTGAAATTTTAATTGCATACGCTTGAATTAACATTCATCGCACACAGAGGGTAGGATACACATCATAGGATTCGCGTGCGGGCGCGGATTTTGTTTGTGCGCCTCGTTCGCTTTGATCTCTTGTTTGGCGTTGTTTTTATTAGGAGTGATTGACGTCAAAAGTTAATTACGAACACACGGGGAAGATAGATTTCCAATTTGTCAAAGTCACGAAATTTATTGCTTGAAATGGGAAAGCAACGGAATTAATCAATTTTGGTCACTCTATGATGATTAAAATTTAGATAACAAGAAAAATTATAAAAAATATTAATAATATTTTAGAATTTAATTCCTTTTTTCCTTACATAAAATCAAAATTCAATAAGAGACAAATTTTTTTTTATGAAATCATTGCAATCTAATTTTAGTATTATTATTTTTTAAATTAATAATTTAGTAACTTAATTTGTTTTAAAAATTGTTAATTCCTTTTTTTTAAATTTAATTACTAAGACTTAAATATTGTTCATTATTTATATTAATAACTTAATATTTTTTTAATTTTATTAACTTAACATTTTATCACATTTTGTTACATTTTTCGATTTGCTCTACTTTAAATATTATTTTTATAAATAATGTTTGCTAACAATAATAAGATAAGAAATTTAAAAATGTAAAGAAAGTGTAAGCTTTCCTAGCTGGTTTTTTAAAATAATATTACAATTATTTTCATAATTTTCTTTTAAACAAATTCGATAATCTGTTTGTGAGGTGTTGAAATTACAGAATAATTTGATTTAGTTGCGACTCTTATTAAAAGAATCGTAGTGACCCCTTCAAAGCCGAATTTTTTCCTTTGTTTCCGTGTCAATTTTTTAGGCCGCTCAACTCAATTCAGAGTCAGAGCACATACTTGGTCTGATGAACAATAAATGAGCTTGGTTCTTGATCGGAGGCCGTTGGCAGGAGGAAATAATATTGATGAGTGTGATTGATATTCTCTCGGCAATCAAAACAAATGCATTTCGCGGAACGAGTTCAGAGCATCCATTACCCATCAGGGAATATATAAAAAAAAAAACACTCGACGAGGGAAAGAACGAGTGGCACTTGATTTGCAACAAAGACGCCGCAGAGAGGATGCTGCACGAGCCGCGCAATGATGGGGCCGATCGAGGTCAAAAGTACAAACATGCACTTGAATCGGGTACATGCAAACAAAGACTTGTGAGAGATACCATCGCATTAATGGCGTTTGTTCGCGGCGCAGTTATTATCATTGGAGCGAGCAAGTGTTTTTGAATTGCATTACATTAAATGGATCCGTTGCCGCTCGTAAATCACACATGCCGGAGGGACGGATGAGAAGTGAGATGCGCCGGCCGCGTGTTTAATCCTTTTTATGTGGCTGTTTCACGGTGGATGGGCGCGTGGGGCGCGATGAGTGTCAAAATGTTGGTTGGCGTTCGCGCCACTAACAGCCTGTTTGCGACACAAAATCTAGTTGGAGCTTATTTTAGCTTGGAATATTATTTATTTAAGTAGTGACAAATTTATAATAAATTAGTTTTACATCTGAAAGAAAAAAACATCAAAGAAAAGGAGGCATTCTAACAATAAGAAAAATATCAAACTTTTTAATTTTTAAAACAATGTCTCTAGTTTAAATTTTGTATTTTTGTTTTAATCATTTAATTATATTTAACTCAACTGACGCTATTTTCCAAATTGATTTGAAAATAAAATTAAGGCGAAATGAACAATGTCTTTGTATTTTTTGATGTAATTTCTCTCTCTTGTAATCAATGTAATTTATAATATTGAATGTATGGATGATGTATTTGGGCAGAGAATGCCCGGTGGTACATTAATAAACACAATTTGTAACTAAACAATGTGATGTTACAATTTGGACAAATAATCAACAGTAATAATTATTATTGTTCATCAGGTATTATAATTTTGCAAATAAAAAATAATTTCTTTTCACAACCCAATAGATATATGTACATAAAAAATTGTATGAAAAAAGAAAGAAAATTTACTGATATCAAGGAATTTAACTTTTTATATTATTTTCACGACTGAATACACAAAATTGTGAATATTTGATGTGATAATGTGTCGGTTGGTGAATTACACGGTCTCATGGAGCATCCGGGGTAATGTAACCTGGCCCAGGCTAACGTTTCCCACCAATGAAGGACTAAATTAGCATGGCCAAGTTAATATTTAATGAAAATAACTGACGATTATTTATTTTAAGTAAGATTTATAAATTTTAATATAATCACAACAGAACCTTTTTTATGCAAGTACATGCGTTGGAAAATTTCAATTCTAGTGCGAGAACGTGTCCAACAGCACCATAAATAGACGCTTTTTTGCCGAGAAGGATGGACATGAGAGCGTTGAGCGCCGCGGGCGTCAAACTCGGCCCCGTTTCTCTGTCAGAGTAAAAAACAAAAAAACTAAAAAGCAGCTGCTGAACAATATTGCGGACGTCCAGATCGCAGAAAAAAGGTGTGATACGGACGGTAACGTTTCCATCACTCGCAACAAACTATTGATTTTTTCACTCGAAATTTCCTCTGATGGAATGAAAATAGAAAAGCAAATTAATTCTTTCTAGGTCTTGGTTTAAAAATGGAAATATCTCCATTTATATTTCATATATAGGAGGCGCCGTGGTTATAAAAGTGGGTGCGAAGGCGCGAAATCGTGCGTTGGCCGAAAGCCAGAAATCGCAGAGCGGTGAAATGAGCATGTATTGTACTAACCACGGCGTGTTGCAGGTGGAGGTGAGAGTGAGGTAGCGGACGCCGAGGTCGTACAGCGACCGCAGAACCGCCATCGAGTTGCCCAGCGAGTGGCCACCTTCGACCCCAATCAAACTGCACATGCGACCCGACTCGTGTGCTGCTCGTATGTCTGCAACAAATTGGATTACAAATGATTAAGTTAATTAATAACAATCGAGCAATCATCTGACCTGAATCATAATTCAATTAATGAATGAAAGACGAAATTGGAAAAAATATAGTTATGAAGCTTACATTTAAAAGATCCTGAAATATTAAAATATAGCTTTTTAAATCCATAAAAATCCCATATATTAATATAATTAGAGTTAATTTTGTAGCTTGACTCATATTAAACCATAATAGAAAAAGAATTTACAAACAATTTTCAATATAAATGCTTGAATTAAAAAAAGTCCTTCTTAGTACTTCATAATAAAAAGATTGAATTTTAGTACCAGTTGGACAAAAAATTAATTTGCAAAATTGACTTTACATTGCCTTGTGGGAAATAAATGTGTCTGTTCCCATCTGCAAACCGCTGTCTGCAGTTGGTTTAATTTTCTGTCCTGCTGACTCTCAAAATTATTCCGTCTTGCTGTTTGGCTAAATGTATATATCAAGTATCGAAGAAAATTTATTCCGAAAGGAAATGAAACAAGAAACGGGGAGAGAAAAACGAGGAGAGACTCTTCTGCGCTTAAATTTGTTTGCAGTCGCTGCACTCACGGGCCAGACATTTGCATTTAAATTAAGTGACTGGATCGTAAATCTGCGATGCTGCTTCCTCCGGAGCAGTCTTAACATTTCCTCCGCCGGCAAAAATGAACTTTTGCGGTTACAAAGGGCGGAATGCAAGAGAACAGCGTGGTTTTGAAATTAAAATTTTAAATTTTGAGCGAAATGGCCCGACTTGCAGTGCTTCTGTAGGAAAAGGAAACGAACTGCTCAGTTATCGGATTGGAAAATACCAGGGATCGGATTTCGTGCACCTCAAAGTGTACGTCGACTTCCAGCTGGGCGCATTCAGCAATCAATTACAAATTGCGCCGTTTAAGACGGCAAACGGTCAGAGAACGTGACTCTGTCGTGCTGATTTTTACGCGTCGGACCCGAAATGGGAAGCGATTGAGCGGAAAAGGCGAGAGCAACGAGGTCTGTTTGATCGAGCGGCGTTTGACTGACGTTGCAAAAAAAACGGCAGGAGGGCGAAAGAATTTGATGAATTCCTGCAGTGCGCCGAAAGCTGCGACTTGAAATGGGAAAAGGAGCAGCGGGAAAGCTACCATCGAGTCTCTGGAATAACGCTGAGGGCTGCGATATTTCTCGAAAGTAGATGATGTTGTAGAAATTGTTGGTTCAAGGAATGGCAACTGATTTGATTGCTTTCAAAAAGGTTTTTATAACATCAGGCCAAAATCAAGCAACCTTGCAAGTGTGCAATGTGTGATAAAAAATCAGTTCGTGAAAGTGTAATATTTTTGCTTATAAAAACTAGACTCATAAAATGTTTTAAATGGGCCGTGAACCACGATCAACCAAAACCAACATTTGTTATTTATTATTAGTTATTTATCTCGGTAAATACAAAATTTTTTAAAGTGAACAAAAGAGAAGAAAGGGCTTAAAACTAAAAAATATTTGAGAAAAATTTATTTTTACCTAACTTAAAATTCCCTTATCATTTTATGGGAAATGTTTTGAATTTTCTCTGTTGCGTGCTGCTTTCTCTCTCACACAATGCAATTTGTATTTTGATATATTCACTTCTTCTTATTAGCTTAAAATCCCTCATTATCTCAATTCTCATTGTCAGATAAATTTTTTTGAATGATTTTCCCAGGTAAAAGTAAAATACCTGAAACCCTTGTTTACATTTCTGCGGAGAGATAAGTATTCAGCTGAACAGAATTATTCATTCAAGGAAACAATTGATCAAAATTTTAAATATAGAAAAATTAACAAGATATTATTTTTGTTTTAAATTCAATCTGACAAATAAATTTTATTTATGGCTAAGCCAAAAGCCTAAAGAGATATTTTATTTAAAATAATATATTTTGAAAGTTAAAAGAATTTAATTAAACTAAATTTTTATAGCAGTGATTTTGCAAGTCAGCCTTTCTGTAAATATGTTAATTGGAAAGCTTGAGAGTGGGATTTGCGAAGCAATAAAGTTTTCAAAAGATCAAATTTTTATTAAATGAAAAGAATTTTCTGTCAGCGGGAAGGCAGCATAATTGAACAATAAATTATTTACCCGCGCCTCAGACAGAATCAACAACGAGAGTGAGAGCGTCAAATCCGTGGCTTAAATCTCAGCAAGCATCCGCCAAATCCCGGTTTAATTAATTTCGCCACCACTGCGCCGCTTTGAAAAGTCAGCTCTCGTGGCTAAACTAAACTGCAAACTCTTTTGCCTTTCAAAAATCGCCTGCTGAGAGGAAAAAACAATCGCGAAAAAATACACGCAGAAAAAGAGAATGGAAAGTGCGCGAATTTAATTGCTTTTTTGCTGGACAACAACAAGCAGGCCAGTCTGATTGACCACCGGCTGACCAGACGACCATTTATTTGTCCGTCCGTCAACTGGCGCGGGTAAATATATGGTCGGCGCCTCGTTAACATCCCATTCATTCATTGGTGTGTGCGGCGAGTTTTGCACACACGTGTGGTGCTACCAAAGTGCCACACAAAGAGCTGCTGGACCTCATGCAATCGCAGGTCAATTAAACGTCATATTACGGTCTTATTGCGGATGTTATCGCGCAAGGGTGCATGGAAGAGTCGTGCTCTGGATTGGGAATCACGTTCCGTTATTTGTTTTGATTGCTAAAGGGGCATTCAAATGCGAATATCAGATGGAAAAGGAATTGTCTTGAATCCCTAGGGCTCGATTATTGCGGTTGTCTTGCAATTTATTTATGTTAAAACCGATTTCATATATGATATTTTTAGAAAAGTTATGTTTAAATACAAGGGAATAATAATAACTGTTCATTGAGAATGGAGAAAAATATAAAAAGATATTATTTTATGAATCATCTGGAAAAAATTTATCTTTTTGAATTTCATGAGAATTTTTATAATTTTCATCGATATGAGTACATTTAAGTTAAATTCATGCACTCAACTGAACTTTCCTTTCTTGACCTGCGCATCAGAATTTCCATTGAATATTCATTGCAAATCTAATAGATGGCGATGCATGATAATCAGTACATATTTTTTTCAAAAGCCAACAAAATAATTTTATACAGTATAATGTAAGCGACAAAAAAAAACTGATACTATGAGGGGCGTTCATGTTTCAGCGGCACAGAAAATGAGCAGAATATATTAAGAGTTATGAGAGCTGCTTCAAATGAGAAAAAAAATACATTTGCAATTTTTTGCCCACTTTCACTTGAACGTTAATTTATTCGTCTTTTTTGCGAGTCGCTTGAATAATATCCTGCCAAAATAGCAGCCAGACTGAAAATGAAATTAGGAGAGAGAGAAAGACACACACAAAATGAAAAGGTGCACGGCGTCCTCGTTTCTGCAAAATTGTGCCTCCGAAAGCGCGGGAGGCAAAAGTAAACATAATTATGCAAGTGAATAGACGGTTGTGATTAATCTTCATTTAGGCCGGGGACTTACGTTTATCGCATTTAAATGTGAGCACAAAAGAGAAGGAGCGTGATTTATCAGATTGGCTGCTTATGCTAAACTGACGCTTTTAACCACTTTTAGCCATTTAAATGTTTAATTAGGACGAACAATTTATGACCTAATTCAACGAGAAATTCAGTTTTGTAATATGCAAGCTTTCAGCATCCAGAAAAAGAAAAAAAAAATGTCCAAAGAACTTGACTATTGTTATTTTTCTTTTGTTTATATTTTGTAATTGGAAAATTTTGTTTGTGAAATTTCGCATGTAAAACTTTGTTTGTAAAACTCTCATCTTTTCTCTCAATTGTATTGAATTTGTATAATTTTGAATGTATGAATGATGTATCCCGTTATGGGCAGCAATTGCCTTTGTGATATATCAATAAACACAATTTGCAATTTGCAACTAATATCATCAATTAGATGATTTGATGTTCATTTTTAATATAAATGATATACCTAATCAAAATCGATTAATTGGGATTTCTTGTGATGGACAAAACTATTGTTAAAAAAATTGATGAGCTTATTTAAATTTTCATATTTAGGAAACTTTGAGCTAAATCAAAATTGAATCCTACTTTTCTTAAATAATTTAATTATATTTGGTTACGGGTTTCTAAAAATATTCAATTTCTTTTCCATATATGATGATGAATTAAAAATTAGTGAATTTATCAGATATTTCACAGAGAGATGAAATTCTTTACCAAACATGCTACATGTTTCTGTTTATCAGCGTAAATATGCATACTTATACCTTATAATGCTGAATGACAAGCTGGAATTAACGTAAAGTAGCGAGTGGCTTATCTGCGATTGTCTAATTTCAGCCAGAATCGTAGCAACCCAAAAGGTCGTGCTTTTGTCAAATGCGCAAAACGTCACAAACACACTCTCATTCCGCTTTTGTCCCAAAACCAAGCTGCCGGCCGTTAATTTTGCAACGCGGCGGTGCTGCTAAAGTGCGGCGGGGTAAATGCGAAAATTCCCAGCATTGTGTGTTGGGGGTGAAAGGGTAAGCGGCCCTTGTATGCATGCAACATCGTCAAACAAACGGCAGGTCAGTGGGAAGCAGGGACGGACGGACAGATAGACAGGCCGCCCACTCGGTTTCAGTTTGTTTGTGTTTGTTCGGGTGCCATAAATGAAGGTGTGCGGCGGCGAGAGCAAGACGTCGCTTATGTACCTGCTGCTGACAGGCAGAGTGTCAGGTGGGGCTCGTATTTTTGGGTCAGTCTCCTGATCACGTCGATCTGCTCCAGGGTGAGTTGCACCGCGTCTCGGAATTGCGACTCGCACGGCACATACGCCGCCCAGAACTGCAAAAAGAAGAACAAAAAGACCCTTTGTTAGAGAATTGAACAAGCAGCAAAGGGCCGACGGGCGTGAGAGAAATCAAATGTCAGACTGTCACAGCGGCGCGCAGAGAAAAGATGAAAAAGAATTTCACGGAATAAAGGGGAAAATTTTGATTCTTTTTGCCCAATAATTTCGTAGTGAACTGAATTTAGGCAAAAAATATTTACAAAATTAAGAACCAGGCCAGGTCATTTTTTATTGTTGCCCATTGTTGTAATCTGGAGTCAAATCTGGTCCTTTACATGGTTTGAATGGGTCAAAAAGGTCAAGCAAGTCCAGCATTTCTCTATGCCAAAATTTTCACCTCATTTTTGTATGCAGACTGTAGAGAAAAATTGATTTGGCCATTTTTAGCAGTAAATTGTACTATCAATTGAAGTTAAAACTCCCAAGCAAAATTTCTTAGCAATTTGGAAGACCCAAGAATTACTTGAGTTTTAAATTTCTCTTTAAGGATGGTAAATAGGTATGCCAATTATTAGTTTCTACATTTTTTTTATTGAATATGAGAATAGAAATTGTGATTATTAGTATTAGCGTACTCCGAATAGCCATTACTTCAGGAGATAGGATTTAATTTTCATCAGGATTCTTATCTTTTCTATGCACAGACAATTATATTTAATTTTATGCAAAATAAAATTGTTAATTAATTTTTTATTACTGATTACAACTTTAATTTTCAAATAAAAATATATTCTTACTAAAAATATATAAAATAATATAAGAATAATATTTAATAGATAATAAATAATTAAAAATAATAACACAAAATAAAATATTAAGTAGATAAATAGAAAAGTGCAAAATAATTTATAAAAACTTTGAAACAGGTTCTTTGATACAAAAGGGTGCAAAAGGGAAAAATATAACTGAGAACTTTTATATTATATAAAACTTGCCCCAAAGGCGACCTACAGTCTGCTGGTACTTAAAAAAACCTAGGGTCGCTTGTCGTTTCCCAAATAAAACTCAGATTAATTAATAAATAAATAAAATTGAGAGATTCCATTCAATAATTAATATCTTAAAATTTTTGCTTATTAAATGAAAATTTCAAATTTAATTTTTAATTTCTTGTAAATTCCTCCCACTTAGTTTTATTTTGGACACGAAAAGTCCCTAGGTTTTAAAGTACAACATACCTGCAAACCGCAGGTTGGCTTATGGGGGTCAGTTGTGCATTAATCTTTCTTTTTTTTCTTCTAGCAATCTTTCATGAAATCCACCTCAATAATTACAATATTTTGAGTTAATTATTTGATGCAGTTTAAATTTACTTTTTAATTTTATCACTCTTTTGCTTTTCTACGAATATTTTGCGTTCTTTTCCATCCGAAATTATCCACCCAAGTTTCATTAAACTCGCACTCCACTGAAGAGCGAGCGGAAAGAAGAATGTGGTACACAACCACAATGTAATTCACTCCGGCGTGGTACTCCTCACACGTTCCGCGAGTAAATGAAATGCACATACATTTTATTTTTAATAAGTACAAAATCCCCGGTGGTTGGCGGGCGGGCTGACGCAATTGCGTGGAAGAAAAATGTTATTACAGCTTTAACGCTCGCGCACAAAGCGTTGTGCTATGTCGCGGTAAATATTAACAAAAAATAAAAAATCATAAAAAAAAAAACGCCGCGTTCAAAGGCACACACGTGATTTACATCAGCCTCTCGAAATGACGTATTACTCCCTTATTTTGCGAGGAGGAGTGTGTTTGCGAACGACCAGATTGCCGGTCGACAATTTTCTTCTCATCCTTTGTGCGCAAATTCAATTTTTGGCCGACGACTCTGAGAACAAAAGATTTCTGTTCTCCTCGTGCGCTGCCACGGGCCCTTCCCTCTCAACACACGCCGACGTGAGAAAAGTACATAGTGTGCCACTCGCACGCGCATTTTGTCTCTCAGCAACGGCGAATTTATCAAATCAAGATCAAAAATGTAAACGGCCAATTTGATATGCATTTGCATTTTTGTATTTATTGTTAGTAAAAATTAAAAGGATATTTTTAGAAATTTAAATCAGTAAATTTTAAAGGATACTTTTTATTTGTTTACTGGTTTTATCAAGTGAAAAGTCACTAATAGTTAAATAATTTACAGTCAATCCGTTTAAAAAGCTTGTAAAAGTAAAAAAAATCTTTTATTTATTCATCAAGTTTCTTAATGATCATTAAAACTTATCATAAGACCTCTTCCGCTTTAATGCTTAGAAATAATCTTAAATAATGGGAATTTGAAGGTAAAAAATTATATACAAAAATTCAGAAATGAAAAGTTTAAGGAAATTTGACAAATTCAAAATTAATTAGGAATTGATCATTTGATAATTAATTTAGCAACACAATCTTTTTTTTTTGTTTGCAAAAATAGCGTTTGGATAACCTTCATCATAACGTGCTCTAATTTTCGGCTACCCAAAATTTTAGACAGAGGTTGTCGAGGCCAACATGGCCCTCTCTCTTAGTGCTAATTTGTTGGGCAGCAAGGCAATTTGCATCCGAGGAAAGGCGAAATCACAACACCTTTCTGCAACCCAATTTGAGGGCCCCGCCTGCACGTTATGACCAGCACGGTAAGTGGGTATCGATCGCAGCTTGTCTTGCAATGTGTGTTTTGCTCGGCGAGTAATTAACCTGTGTACACAGAAGCTCCTTGAGAACATACATACGCTACACGGAATTGTGCTGCAACGTACGCTACGAGAGAGGAATCAATTTTGCAGTGCGGCCGCCCAAGCTGCTCCTATTTAAAGACGCGGGTCCTACCGCTTTTTAATTAACTTTTGAAATTCGCGAGAGCTGACAGAGAAAGTTGATTTGGGGCAGAAAAATTTCACCTGTCGTGAAAAATAATTAAAAATTCATCTCCATAATTCATACAATTATGCGTCTTTCACATAATTTTGTTAACTTTTTTAATTAATAGTCAATGATAAATTATTAATTAACAAAAATCAATTTTTCCATTTACAAAATTCTGAACACACAATTTGTTTATCCGAATCATCCGAAGAAACTTTTCTGGGGCCGGAGGCGAAAAATGATGCGATCGAAGCAGGTTAGAGATGGGGGCGTCGTTTTTGTCAGAATTGGTTTTGCGGCTCTTTGATCTCCGCACCACCCAGGCCTGCTGCTGACGCATCGTTTTTGCTGATGCTAGCAACATCAGTGGTGATCTTAATTATTATAATATCGAGTGGGTGGGTTTAAAACAAGAAAAGCGAGCGTGGGCGAATTCAATATGCACAAACGCAGAGGCTCCTGTGGCTGGGATCAAACATATTTGCATTCGTTCTGTTTCACATTCTGGGTGCCTATTTCTATCTGCTGAATACAAAACGCGACCTGAATAAATTTTGGCTTGTTTTGCTTTGTTCCTACATGGAGCTGCTAAGCAGCGTTTTATGTATCATGTGGAAATACAGTATTTGTGGTCATGTTTGTCAAATTGATTATTTAGTAAGTCCCTGCAATTATTGTATAGGCCTTTTTACTATTTAAATCTAAAACATGCGTTTAATTAATTTCTAAGAGGAACATTTGTTGTGAAAAACTTGTTTAAACATTAAATTGTATTTTTTTTTAATTTGTTTAAATTATGTTTTATTTTTCAGTAAATTTAATATTGAAGTATTTAGTAATAAATATTTTAAGAAATCATTTATTACTACTGAAAATAAAAAAAACAATATTAAAATTTTTGTTAATTCCATTTATAACAATTTTGTTTATTGCATGATGCTGACCATTATCTCGAAAGACATGTAAATAAATTAAAGAAGAAAATTTAATAAATAATCATAAATAAGCAAACTGAGTGATAATAATTATAAGTCAGTATTGGTATCATTAAATATGGGAACATTAGAGGGCAATCTCTTGAAATGAATACATTAAATTATATTATTTATATTGCTATTGAAAATAATCAGGCTAATGGTTGATGTGGGTCGCACACACGGATTTTTATTTTATTTTAAGGACGCCACGGATAATTGTTTAGTTCAAAGGGTGCTAAAAGCAACTTTGCACTTTCATTATTATTGGAGGCGCACAAACTAAGTCTCAAAATTAATAAACATAAGCGAAACGCGGACGGAATGTGGAGAGGCCAAGCTTTGGCAAAGTTTGCATGATCCCGATTTATAAAGTAAGCAAAGCACCACAAGAGGAAGTGAAAGAGCGGCTCAGGAGGGCTATATAAATATTGGAGGCTCGTCTTGCCCACCTGCCCCGCGGCCCGAATTCTCAAAACGCAGTCGTATATTTTCATTTCAGTGACGACGAAAACGACATCTGCAGGCGTTGCCGCATTTGGCAATTCAATTAAACAGACTCTAATTTAATGATCAAACGTTAAAAGCGAGAGAGCAACCCTTTGACGTGAAAAGAAGAGACAATCCGGGGTGAATTATGAGCCACTCTAAACCAGAGAGAGACATTAACATCGCATTTAAGAGACAAAAAAGGGCTCCTCTCTTCTTTGCGGGGCCGAACTTGCTTAATTTACTTTTGCACGAACGTCATGCACGAATCGGGGCCGCTGTGTGACTGCTCGTTTCGCGTCACTCGGGGGTTGTAAAAAGCATGCAGCTGCTTTTGGCCAAAACGAACCGGCGCAGATGTCTTGCTCACCATTCAATTTCCCCAGTGCAGCACTCTTTTATTTACTTCTGTGTGGAGAGAGCGAGTCTGTCTGCTTTTATTTCGCGTGTGCGTCGGAATTATTTATACAAATGAGAAAGATTTGCTGTGTCTCTCAAGAGGGCTGCCGCGAATCCTTCATTTCATTTGATGAGAAGACGATCCGGATCGCAGCAAAGCGAAAATGATGAACGAGCCATCGCGCTATGTGTATGCTCTCTGAATCATTTCACAGCAGAGGTAATAAGTGTGCCCCAATATCAGAGAAATGATCCTCACAGCAGTCCACACGCAAAGATTCTCGCGAA